AAATAAATATTTATATTTACAGCACTATTTTGTGTATAATTCAGAAATTTTCTCTCTGAACAAAACTCAATGAGATTCTAGCTTTTTATTGGTACATTCTTAATTTGGTTTTATTCCATTTTTTAATTAAAAATATCATGCTCTTCATCTTCTTCATAACTTCCATAAAGACTTTCCTCAAATTATTCATATTCTGATTTTAAATAATCAGCATATTATTCCTCAAATGTCAATATTTTTTTTCCTTTTTTTTTTATTAAAAAGAAAAGTTGTATCAAAATGGAACCAAGAACTACAAGCAATGACAGGATGATTATTTTTTGTTTTTTCATTTTTAATTTAGTTTAATTTAGCTAGTATATATGAAGTGATTTCAAAAGTATTATCGCTTTATTAAAAAAAAAACTTTGTATATTAAAATTGATTGATTAAAGATATTTCTTATAAAAAATCAAATAATTTTCTCAAAATTAAACAAATGTTATCTTCATCAAGTAAACTCTTAATTAGAATTAAAATTTATATGAATACACAAAAAACAAAGTTAAAACGTGTAGATTTTTTTAACTTTATGAAATTAAAATAATATAAATTATTTATGTATTTATTTATATGTTAAACATGATTTTATTTTGCATTAATTTTTTTAATTTTAAAAGCATTTTTATCAACATAAAAAATTAAATTTATTATTAAAATGCTAATTAAACAAATTGAAAAATAATTATTATATTTGTTTAACAATAAAAAATTTATAATTAACCTAATTGGTTGGATAGATAGATTGATGAAAAAATATTAGATTAAAGATATTTTAATTATTTTTAAACTGTTAACAATTTATAATTTAAAATAAAGATTTTCTTGAAATATATTTTTTATTATCTACTCTTTTTATTGGTGATAAATATATTTTATTTATTAAGTTATTAAGTTTAATTTGGTTGTCAAATTAAAAAGAAGATATAAAACACTTATGAATAATAGCTAATTTGCTACATTTTTTCAATTTATTTTAACACTTTAACCGAAAAACCATAAATTATTTTTTTATGAGAATAAAAATTAATATTGATATTATAAGTTAAATAATTTATTTATTAATTATCAAATTGATTACCATAAAAAAATCTTGATTGCTTATTTTTTTATTTATAATATTTTATATTTAATTCATTTTCTTGAATTTAAAGATAAATTCTTTTTATTATGTTCTAGCTTATCTTTTAAACTCATAATAACTTCATTTTTTTCTTATCTTTAGTTGTTACTAAGCTATCTTGAAGAAATAGAACCTTTAGAAGCAGCAGGTTATCTTTGGGTGTTAGAGGCATTTATATCGTTTTCATCGTTGTATTGTCTTTCATTTTAAATGGTATACATTCTTTACTTATCATAAGCTCTATCATTAATGGTGTCATTTATAGCATAGCTTTAATTGTTAATATTTTTATTATTTTAGCTTTAATTTCTGTATTGTTTTGTTGCTAAATTTTCTGTAAGATAATTATCTTGTAATTATGAGATATCGTTATTTGCTACCATCTAGGAAGAGTTTCTTTATGTTTATTTTTAATATCCAGTAATTTGAGATGTACTCCTAGATTCTCTATTTAATCTTGCTGTATTTGAAGGTTAGCAAGATTATATATCGCTGGAAAGAATATGCATTATTAAGTCATTCTCTAATTAAGTATGTTTACTAAATTATTGCTATTATTAAACTGATGTTATTTTAAGAGGTGGTTTAAATGTTTTTATAGTTGTTTATCCTTAGCACTTACTCATATTTGCAAAAGATTGATTTTAATAACTAGGTTTTGAAAAATTGCTTGAATTTTCGTATTTTTTACGGTTTTCTTCAAATTATATTTTAAGTTTTAAGTAATCTCTTTCACATTCTACAAGATCTTCTTTAATTCTTTTTTCATATAAACATGTCTCTTTCATTTTTTCATATGCATTCCACATTTTTTAGTTAGAAATTTCTTAGTTAATTATTTAAATTTTATTTAAAATAATGTTAAAAGAAAATTAATAAAATTTTACTTATTTTCTCTAAGACATCTTCTAGCTCTTGATTTTTTTATTATTTAAATTTTTTGAGTGGTTCTATGTCCTTTGAGCTTTATTTTGCCAAATTAATTTTTATTTCTGCATCAATTTCTTATATTTTTCTTTCTATAGAAAGCTTTGAATACTTTCTTTTTTCAATATCTTTTACCTTTTCAATAATTTCTTCACATAACTCATTAAGCTGCTTACTGTTTACAGCTTTTAGTATGCTTTCAATCATTTTCTCAAAGAATATCCTTTTTTTTTCTATTTTATTATTGTACTTTGTTTACAAATGTTCTAATTCCCCCTTCATTACTTTTACACTTTCTTGCATTTATTTATTCTAATTTTTAAATATATTCGATTAAATAAAAAAACTTTTTTTGAGAAGAATCAATTATTTTTACCTTAACTTCTAGGTCTACTTTTTGAAGAGAAAGCAATTCAATTTATTTTTGTTATTCCTAAATTTAAAATGTCTCCATAGCTTTTGGCTAGTATTATTCTCTTTCCCTTTCTAATTCTTCTATATCTTGCTTTAGTTTATTGATCTACATTTCTGCTTCATACAAGTATTAAATTTTAGTTTCTCCTTCTTATCTAAAATTATATTGAAAATTATTAATTAAAATTGATTCGTTGAAATAATAAAACAACTACCTTTCATTTATAAATATATTCATAAATGACTCTAATTATTTTAATGCTGATGATAAAAACTAATCTAATTAGTAGTAATCAAGAATTTCTACATTATGATTTAATATTGACTGTAAAAAATTTTCATGAAAGGATTGTTCAAGAACAGAAAAGCATTAACTTTTTCTGAGATCGTTTATAAATATACAAACGTTGTTAGCCATTGCATCAAATAATTGCTCTTTTTCTAAAAAATTCCTTTGTTTTTCTATAATTAAATAATTAATTATTCATTTTATATGTTAAAAAGCATTTTGAATAAAATTATTTACCTTCAAAATCTTAATTTTATAATTCATCTATTAGATTTTCTTTTTAAAAAAGCTCTTGCTCCAAGTAATAAATTCTATCTTTAAGGAGCTCTATTTAAGAATTGAGCTGAGAAATTTCATCTTTTGCTTGCTGAAAGGTTTGATCCATGTCTTAGATTTAAGAATCTTTCTTTTAAATTAACTACTCAAGATCCAATATTTCATTATTTTTACTCTATAATTCTTATTCATAGTTGCAATTTTACGAATATTTATTTAATTAAGAAATTAGAGATTGAATCTCTTATTCTTATTAAAAGGCTTTGTTTTGTGAAGATATTTTATGTTCTTAATATTATTCATAAATTTCCATATACAAATCTTTGTATTTTCTATTTTCGTCATGGTCCTCTCTTTATTATTCATTCATATCTCTTTAAGTTCTTAATTCTTAATTTTCTTGTCTTTCTTTTTCAATTTAGCTTTTCCATCCATCGTTATTTTCTTTTAATCTTTTTAAAATTTATTTTCAGTATTAAATCATTTAATTTAATTTTACCTGCTTATTTAGTGCTGTAGTTCTTAAATTAATATATTTTATTATTGAATAGTGATATTCTTCTCTATTAGATCATTATTTATATCATCTATTTTTTAAATAGTTGAATTTCTAATTGAGTTGCTTTGATTTTCAAGCTTATTTTGTAACTCAATAATGTATTCAGCAAGTTTAACTTCTTTAATTTTCATATTCTCGTTTTCCTTCCATAATTAATCATACTAACTAGATGCCTATCTTAAAAAACTTAATTCTTATTCTAGATCCTTTTTTTTAAATATTTTGTATTTATAAATTTAATTCAAATTCAAAATACCCAAGAAATATTACCTAAATGTATTACTTCATATCTTAAATTATATCTTCCTAATTTCTCTATGTATTTTACATCAAATCAAACTGACCTCTAAAAATATTGTTTAAAATTATTTTTTTATGCAAAGAGAAAAATTAATATTCAAATTTACTCTGAGATACCCTTTTCAGTAGATTAATTTGTCTTTTTAATACTCCTTTTTGATAATAGATAAATGAATTAAGCTTCGATAAATATATTTTCAGTACCTTTGAATAGGAATATTCTTTCTACTGCTTTAATTTTCTTTTTATGTTTCTTAAGATTTTGATTATCCATTAAATGTGCTATACTCTAATTCAGTATCTAATCTGTTTTCTTTAGAACTTTTAGTGTTAATGACACCATTATTTCTGTTTGTAAATGTATTAAGATCTTTTGCTTCACCTTGTGATTCTTAAAATTTCATTTCGCTGGCATTCTCTTTTTAAATTTCAAATAATCTATTAGCTATCTCTAGCATATTAATTTACTTGATAAAATTGTATGAGCAGATGCAAATGTTGATTTGTTGAAAGGCATATTATTCAATAGCTCTTCTTCTTACTAACTTAATTATTGTTAAGGACGCTACTGAGATTACTAAAACATCAATGACATGTCTTTTTACTGTGAACCAGAGGATTTATTTGATAAATATTTGATTTCTTCCTCATGTTCCCTAATTATTTCATCTTATAATTTTTCAATTTCTTCATCATTCAATAAATCATAGTCACTCATAATTTGTTGATAATTTCTACTTTTGATTGCTTTTAATTTCAAATTTCAATATATGCTATAATAATTAGTGTAATTATCAAATTAAATCTTGTGTCATTTCAAATTTTACAAATAACTAATTATTGGTTTCTAAACAAAATTTTGAAATTTATAATAAATAAATAATTTTTGCTTCAAAAATAAATTGTCAAATTTGTTAACTTAAAAATTTAATAAATTAAAAACACTTGCAAATAAAATAAATTTATTTTTATTTAAAAATTAAAAATAGTTAATTAATTTGTAACCTTTAAATAAATAATTTTTTATTTATTGATTTAAAATATTTTCAAACATAGAATTTTTTGAATATGATTTCTATTTATAATTTCATGGAAAGTTGTTTTCTTTCTCAATAAAGGAATAATTGATAATTTCAAACAAATTTGGTGAATATTTAAAAATCATAAATTAATGTTTTTATTTTTTAAAAAAAAATGTTATTTTACTTATTAAATAACTTTTATTTGTTTTGTAAAAAAAAAAAATCAAATTGAAATTTTACAAATTAATTATTGATTTTGAGAAAGTTTTTAGAGAATATCTATCTAACTTTTTAATTATGTATTTTTATAAAATTACATTTTCAGTATTAAATAATTTTTAGCTTTTTGAAAAAATATTTTCAATTTTAAAAATAAAATTAGTTATTATCTAAATTATATAATAAAAGTATAATTAAGATATGTTTGAATGTCTTTAAATTTATTTTTTCGTTTTTTAAATTTTAATAGTAATATCAAATAGGTGAAATCAAATACTTTCAATGGTGGCAAGAATAATAAATTTAAAAATAATAGTAAATATTGATTTGACAATTTTAATAAAATGAAAGCAATAAGTATGTCATAATTGTAGTATTAAGTCATTATAAACCACTTAATTACGGACTAATAAAGTAAAGTTAAAATATATAAAATAAACTTAAATTATTTCAAAGGTAAATTATTAATTTGATACAAGATACTGATGAATTTGGCTTAGTTATTCATTAAGAAAAATTTGTCTTATTCATTTTTTAATTTAGTTGCTCGAATTTTTTTTAAAAAAAGACAATTGTTTGTTTCTTAATAAAAGTGATTAATCATTTGTAAGTATCGCTTCTAATTTCATTTTAATTAAAATTGCATTGCTTCATTCAAAACTGCTTAACTTCATCAATAAGGTAACTAACTATCTTTAGTTAGATATTTCAAATTTATGGAAGAAATTTATAGAAAATAGTTTTTATTTGAATGTTTTGGAACTTTTTTGCTTCTCAATTTAACTTAAAATTTTTTTAAATGTGTAAAAAACCAATAATTGAATATGACTTTTGAAGTATTTATAATTATTATTGATAATTTTTAGTCAATTTAAACTCAAATTTAATTTTTATTTTGAATTAAATATGCTAAAGTATTTCATAAAGCTTAGTGTGATGCAATTTATATCTGTGAATTGCACAAATATAATTTTGAGATTAAGAAGCTATTAAATGAAGTCATTTATTTTTACATTTTTTCACTTTAATGTATTTGAGTCAAATCTCTCTCTGCTTAACTTTTACTTTATTAAGTATTCAAATTAAAATAGAGTAGTAAATAATCTCAAAAAGAAGAAAGTTATTTAGTTACAAAAGGTTTGTCTTGCTAGCTAAAACCTTTTCGATAAAGATATGGTTCATTAAATAATCAATACCGGTTACGTAAAAGAAAATAATTAGAGAACATTGTAATTTAAAGCTTAACTTATCATTCTCTCTATTAGACAAGATATCAAATGAAACAAATAAATAAATTCTCATAAAAAATCTATTATGCCTTTTTATTTAAATTTATTTTCATTCTTACATTCTTCGTCGTTTAAAATATTTTTTTCAATTTTTAGATAAGTTTGAGAAATCTTTTTTTTATGGTAAATATGGTAAGTATTTCTTTTCTAGAACAAAAAATTGCTCAAAGTAACTAATTTCATAGATTTTATACAGGAATAAAAGTATTAGACAGCTGTTTATGTAAGTAAAACTGAATATTTTTCATTTTTAAAAAGAATCAACAACAAAAAGTATAATAGTATAAAAATTAAAATACACTTAGTATAAATCAGATAGAAAATTTAGGATAAAAATTATGTCAGATAAATATTTTTGTATTAATGCTTCAATTACAGTTCAGGAAACTTAACTAAGGCATATTTTTTTTGTTTTGAATGTTTTAAAAATATATTTTTTATTTAAAATAATTGATAAAATTTTAAAAACTCTAATTGGGGTATTGAGATATAAATAAAACATTCATAATAATATGGAGAAATAGTATGCCTAAATAAACATTTCTAATATCCTTTATTATTTAAGTAAAGGCTACTTTATTTAGAAAATTTTTGACAAACCTTACATTGATTTCATACAAAAGAAAAGTTAGTGAATTATTATATGAGAAATGTTAATAATTAATTTGCTTTAAAATTTTTTAATTGCTTTTCTTCGAAAATGTGTCATTGTTAAATTGTAGTGTAATCTAACAAGACTTCAGGGTTTTTCTGCTTTAAAAACTTAATTCCCACCTTTACAAAAAAATTTATTAAATCTTAACAATTGTTTGATTTCTTTTTGGAAGACTATAAATTTCCAAAAATTGGCAGGTCAATTAACAATAAAAAATTTTTATACAATTAAAATTGATAAAGATTAAATACTCAAATAATACTGGCATTCGCAAATGACAACTGAAACTATTTGTTAAACAGAAGCTCAAGCTACATAACCTGCTTGCGAGAGTGATTCTATGAAAATTGTTTTACAAAAAAACATAGATGCTCACAATATTGAAACTAAGTAAAATGAGGTTTCTTCTAAGACTGCTGAAACAAAGAGTGACTTAAATAGCTAATAAGATTGCACTATGAACACGAAGTCTCAACTTCACAAAAAGAATATTGCTAAAGCAACTTACTTAGGTATTTGCTTTATGGTGACTTTCACGGCTTTTAACACCTGTCAGAATATGGTCTCATCCATTTATGATAAAATGGGATATGACTCTCTCGGTAATATTGCTTTGTTTGCAATATACTTTGCTTTTGGTATCTGTAACATTTTCGCACCAAGTATTGTCAGAAGAGTTAGCTATAAACTATGCCTCATAATTGGATCTCTGGGCTTTATCCCTTTTATGGCTATCGGAGTTGTAATTTCCGGATGCAGTAATTTTTACTTTGAATTGACAATTTTTTTTAATAGAAATTTCACCAACGAATTAACTAGCTATTGAAAAATATTAATGAATACTTTTATTATATAGCTGACGGAAACGATGTAGCTCCCAGCAGTAAAGATATTCAGTGTTAGGATAATTTTATATATTCATCTATAATTATCACTTCTCTTATTCTTGGTACTACTGCAGCTATTTATTACGTAATTAAATCTGACAATTTTCTTTAAAAAATTAATTAACATGAAATAATAATTATCCCCCCAGAATTATTTTACTAGTAACTTATTCTTAATTTTCTTCGAGCTTTTTCTCTATGAAATATTATTTTTAATTAATTATTTGATCCAATTTATTTACTTTATCTAAAACAAACTAAGCTTCCTAATCAAAAGTTACTCCTAATATAAATTATTAACTTAAGATTTTTGCAAAATTAAAATTTTAATTGTCTTTTTTCATTTTACATAAACTTAATTAAATATTTAAATAATAGACTACTGCTGGTAACTATATGGACTAGATTTCTAAGAGCTATCCTGAATAAAGAGGTACATACTTTGGAATATTCTGGTCATTAAATGCATCTTCATTTATAATTGGAGCTATATTAGGAACTGTCCTTCTAAGTAAAACTTCTTACTTAGTTTTTTTCACAGTGATGCTTATATTAGGTATTGTTGCTTCTTTTCTATGCCTATTTATTCCAAATATCTCTAAGCCCAAAGAATAATCAAAAAGTTCCTTTACTCTTCGCGCTGATTTATAAGAGTACTGGGCTTTGGTTAAAACTAAGTCTTTGCATCCTCTCCTTCTCTACATGGGATTCAATGGTGTTATTATTGCTTTTTACAGTGGCTTCTTATACAGATTAGTAGAAAGATCTCTTGGTGATGGAATTTCTTCATCTGAAATGACCACTTATGTTTCATATGTAATATTTTAATTTAATCATTTTACTTATTTGAAAAATTATTTAAATAAATAATAACTTTATTTAATAAAATTTTTAATTAAATTTAATTTAATTTAGATTTACATTTGTTTGGGAGTCAGCTAAATGATATCAGGATACCTCACTGGTAAGCTCTCTGACAAAATGAATTAATACAAACTGGCCTATCATAGTGTCACAATAATAGAAATTGCTCTTTTAATAGGTCTTCTCGCTTATATGGCTAAGTCATATATGATCTGCTTCTTTTGTGCATTTTTATTTGGTTTCTGTGACTGTTGTCTTCAAAGTCTTATTTCTATAATAAGTTCCAAAGATTATAGTGGCAAAGAATAAATTTTTGCAGTCAAGTACTTAGTGAGTAGCATATTCTTAGTATTAACAGTAGCTATTAATATCCTTCTCAAAAATTAAGAAGTTTACTATTTTATAATGATTATATTTATCTTCTAAATAATGGCTAGCTATGCTGTTATTAGTCTCAACAAACCTAAATAAGATGATGATTAAATTAAAAATGTAAAAGAATGCTAAGTTTGAATTTTAAATAAAAAACCATTACAAAAATATATCCTTACTACTATTACTTTACTTCATTTTATTTATTATGCCTATATATTCATATTTATTTATATTATTATTTTGTTTAATTATTCTTCATTTTAAAAATAAAAATAAATTATTTTAAAATCATCAATTATATTTTTTATGTAATTTAAATATTAATTAACATAATTAACAATATCATGCAAAATATATTTTAATCAACTATATTTTGAAACATAAATAGAACATTAATTCCTAAAAATCATTCCAAGCATGTAAAATTTAAAAAAATCTTTTTATTTTTACAAAATTTCTCATAAAGTAAATTAAAATTAGATGAAATTAAGATTAAAATCTAAAAGAATACAAAATTTAAATTTAAATAACATTACATAAAATAATCCCTCCCTTATTAATGTTATTTATTAACTCACTTTTTATTAATATTTTTTTATATTTATATTATGAAAAATTTTTTTTAATTAATAAAATTATTAATTGATTTAAAATTAAAGTATTTTATTTTTTTATATTTTTCTTCACATTTGATCATACAAATAAATTATTCTATAACCTGTCAATTAAATTATTTATAGCATAAATGATCCAACAAACAATAACTTTAGATATTAGCTCTAAGCCCTTTTACTACTTTTATCTTAAGAAAATTTTGCTGAAAAGTAGAAAATAAATCTTTCAATTGTTTGGCTAAATTATTGAGGAATGTAGTTTTACATCCAATTATGTGATATATGAAATATGAGTTGTTTTTTTGTATTTGAATGATAAGGATTTTTTAATTTAACAAAAGATTTTAAATTAATAAGTAAAATTATTTAATATTTTTTAAAAGCTTTTCACTAATAAATATTTATAAATAATTATAAACATAAAATACAAATAAATATTATTATTATTTGTAAATATTTAAAAACAATAAAGAAAGCATCATCCTATATCATATGATGAATTTTAGTAGTAAGCTAATTTTTTCATGAAAAAGCATAAAAATTAAATTATGATCTTCAATTTAAATGCCAGGTCTTATATTTTTTTTTGGTAAGATCCATTTAATTTCAACCAATTTCATAAAAGATATAAAACGTAAAAAATAACTAAAAATTTCCATCCATTGTTTAAATCAATTACTTAAAAACTTGTTTTAGGATACCTTTTATTTAAGAAATCAAAATAAGATATTTTTTATTTATTTACACTAAAAAACAGGTTTTATCATGTAATCTATTTAGATAAGTAATTAATATTAAATTATTTATAACATAAAGATTAATTAAGGTTAAGAAATAATAGTGAACGAGCAATAAAATAAAATAAAAATGAATTAAAAGGAAAACGTAGCACTTTTATTGTACACTGAAGACTATAAGTTTGTTGTTTTTAAATATGAGAATGGAAAATATGCTATTCCTCATTAAAAGTTAACAGAAGAAGATGACAACTCATGCCCTCCATTAGGTCTTACTAGACATATTTTAACAAAAATTAGTGGCGGATTCTAATTTTAAATGGTTTCATAAGAAGTTTAGCTAGAATAAAATATCGATGATCTGAAGAAATTATATGATCCAAATGATTGGCATAAATTATGGATGAGCTACGAATATAATGATTTGTGCGATTATGTTTGCTAGTTCTCTTTTTCAGAAGTATTGGTAGATAACTCTAATTATTAGATTTACTACCATAAAATTAATCATGAGCATTTTAGTTTAAATATGAAAAAATTAGGAGTTGAAATTATGATATTACATCTAGATCAAATAAAATAACTAGCTGATATTGATGAAGTTACATCTAAGATAACCAGTGCTAATATTGACTTTTAATCAGAGATTCAAAAATAAATTGAGCTTGAAAACTCCCCAATTTCAAGAGAGAATACTTTCATATTTATTCAAAATAAACCAAGCGATTTAAAGACAAAACTTGAAAAAGGTATTCCAGATATGCCTACAAAAGCGTTTTATTATGGCTTATTCAAAAAAAATAACCAAAAATGGCTTACATATAATTCTGGTACTCTCCATCTTCCAACAGATGAAATTTTAGAAAATAGTAAAGGTATAGTTTAGTCTGGTAGTGCAGCAAGTGCTTACGAAGATTTAGATTGGATTGTCAAATATAGAGAATGGTTGAACAAAATCTATTTTAAGCACCCACATTTAAAATTCCTTTCAATTTGCTTTGGAGAATAAGTACTTGCTCATTCTTTGAATGGCAAATGTGAAGAAGTAGAGGAAAGAAAAGGAGGAAATAGGTTATTTTATAACGTAAAAGTAGAAGCTTTAAATTTCGATGATAGCTTTTATAGCTTACCATATGTCTGTAAATTAAATGTTACAAAAAAACCTATTTTTATTAGTAAGGCCCATGGTGATATAGTAAGTCAGATAGACACTAATTTATTTAAAGTTATTGGAAGTTCAGAGAAATATCATGTAGAAGTTTATACAGATGCCACAAACTAAGGAAATAAAGTTCTTGCATTTTAGGGTCACCCTGAATATGCAGGTAAATGGAAAATCAGAAAAGATTCAGAATTTCTTGCTTTGTTCTAAAAGAAGCCACTTGAAGAAGTTTTTGAATTTATAAAAAAGAGTAGAGAAACAGGATTTGTTGACGATTACCACTTATTAAGATCTATCTGTGCTAGCTTTTTACAAAATTGATATTTTTGTTAAATACTAAATTAATTCTTGTGTTTTTTTTTGTTTATGTATTTGCTTATTTTGAATTACTTGACAAATTTTCAATCAATTTAAAGTTTTTTCAATTTATTTTGTCAGCTCTTTATTAATTGCATTACGAATTCAAAATAAAAAATATCTTTCAGATCTACAAATATACCAAACAAATAAACATAAACTGGGATAGATGATATTTAAAACAAAAAGCTAATACTTTTATTACAAGCTATTTTATATTTGTTTTTAAGAAACAAAATTATTGTAAACAATCTTTTCTTATTCAATTCAAGATAAAAAATTAGAAGATTTTAAAACATATCAATAATACCCACAAAAAAGGTGAGCATTTCTATTGTATGGGTGCTGATATATGATAATCTACAGTAATAAATATCAAAAATATTTTGGACATATCATAAATAAAGAAATTTAATGAATGAAATATTTAAATATGTTTTTCATAATTTAGCTTTAAAATTTATATCTAAAAAAAATTAAAATCTTGGCAATTAAATATCTTTTATATAAACTTTCATTCAATTTCTTTGAATCAGATTAAAGAAAATTGTTGAATGACTTGACTTGATGAATGAAAATTCATTTTTTTTAATAAATTTTGAAATGTATTTTTAATTTAATTTTTAAATCTTTGATTATAAAAAATAAAACAAAAAGAAACTCCACATATCAACAAAATATAATTTTAATATAACTAAATAAACTTAAAATTAATTTTATAAAATTTAACTCAGTGAAACATATCGAAAAAATTTTTTAAAATTGATGGAAGAACTGTACCTAAACCAACTAAGGTTGTAATTAAAGTTTACTCAAACCTTATATTGAAGTAATTTAAAAACTTATATTATTAAGTCTTTTAATCGGAAACAGTCTAAGCTTTTATTCTAATATAGCTTTGCAACATATTTTACATCATTTTTTGTTAAAGCATCTTCTCTGCCTCTAATGTATATCTTGATCCTAAAAATTCTTTTTTTTTTAGAATGTAGAATCTTGAAGAATATTTCAGCTTTCCAACTAGAATATCATACGTTGTACTCATACCTTCTTCTAGTTTTTATGCTATTTAATCTAAGCTATTTTGTTAATCTTTATTTTTTTCGTCTTCTTCCTACTCATCATCATCTTCATCTTCGATACCTTGAGGCATCATCGATTTTTCTATTGGATCTCTTACTTCCATTTATTTACGGTATATTTCTTACTAAGTTATGAGCTATTCTAAGCTGTTTTCATTGATATGCTTTTTTCCAAAATAATAGTCATACATCTATGCTAAATCTTAGATTAGACCCTCTAAAGAATCGATACGATGTTCAGATTTTTCAAATGAATCATTAAAAAGCTATCCTTAGTATAATCTCATAAAAATGATGATACTAAATAAAACAAAATCCATGCTATAGCAAATAATCATCAAGGGATGTAAGTGAATGGAATCCTTTTCAAAAAAGATGTAAAAATTGGCATAAAAAGAAGCGCATGCTAAAGCAACAAAAATAAAATAAAAGAAAAGACAAATGTAGCAAGCTTCTAATTTTTTTTATTCTTATTTAAAGAAATCATAAACGCATCGTCTACAATTATCCCATGTTTCCAAACTAATTGCTGAAGTGATATCTAGTTTTTCAAAGTATTATACAATGTCTCCACTCATTTTAATCATTCTGTTTAAGTTTCTAATCATTAATCTTTTACGTCTCAGATCATAGTTGCTTAGCACCCTATTCAGACTATAGCAAAAATTTATATAAAAGAAAAAAAGGACAATTATGTTAAAGATCTCATTTATTCCGTACTACTTTTCTTTTTTTACCACATACAATATTGTGAATCCTATCTTCATGAGAGAAACACACAACAATAAGATAAATTGAATTTTAAGAGGCTTTAGTTGCTGATTCATATCTAGAAATAAACAATATCCTCTCCATTCATATGTAGAAGGATTATCATCTAAATTGAAAAAGGTATTAAAAAGTTAACATTTTAAATCTACTTCATACATTTCGATTATTCTTTTGTATTCTTCCCTCCAAGACAAAGAGTTGTTATTGATATCAAATACACAGTTAGAGTTTTAAGGGCGAAATTATATCAATGAATTTGAGATATTGGCCTTATTTATGTAATTTTTAAAATGAAATATAACAGAGAGAGGTTAGTCAGAGTACCTTATATATTTAACATAAGCTAACACCAGTAGTTAAGTAAGTAGAAGAAAAAAAGCATTCTAAATCCACAACCTGTCAATATTTTAAGTATTTATCTGAAAAAAGTAAAAGTAAATTATATATATTTTCACAATGCTAAAGAAAATTGTTAAGATTGGATCTAGTAAATCAGATAAAATATCAGATTATCCTTTAAAAAGCAGATAAGCATAAGCAAACATTTTAAAGATAGAGAATATAATATAACCCGCAATAGAAACAAGCTCAAGTATAAAAGCTAACATAATAATAGTAATCTCAGATATTATATTGCGTCTGCTTTTTTGTTATTTCTAAATTTCTTCATCTTTTTATTCTAATTGCTCTTCGTATAGCTTGCTACCTTACTACGGTTGCTGTTATTATTATTATGATTGCTACTACTATGATTGCTACTGCTATTAATGTGATTGTTAAGAAATCCTAGACTACTATCTTTCATTAGTGTTTTACTAAAAATCCTACCTAGGATTTAAAAATTATGAAGGTTTTATGGGTTCACCTCTATTAGAATACACAGAATGCATTTAGTAACCGGCAGCAAAAAAGTTATCGTTCTAATTCCCTCTCTAACTTTAATTCATCTCTTTTTTATAAGTCTGTTTAATAAGTAATATTAAAATAAATTTCAAATCTTAATTTAATAAATAACTAATATTTATAACGAACTTCGATTTCAATACGTATAGATAAAAGTTGTATACATATCATTGAAAATACTACCAAATCAAATATATCACAATCTAAAGTATTTATTTAAAATAATACTGATATAAATGTCAATGAAAAATTTAATCGTTTTTAAGAAAAAAAATATTATTGCTCAACAAAATTTTTGAAAAAGGTCTATTACATTTAATTTTTCTACCTCATTGTATTCTAATCAGAATTAATTGATATACAATACTGCATCTACTAAAAATTATATCCTAATTTGAATTGATGATATAGCTTATATTTAAAAATAGTAATTAATTAAAAACATTCAATAACACATATTATTTTATTCTCTAATTAACTTAAAATAAGTAATACACACCATTCTAGTATAATGAGCCAAAAAGATATTTAGACTGAGCAAATAGAAACAGAGTAATCCTAGTTATTACACTCTAAAGACATATAGATAGATGCTTAAAATAAGGAGCAAGAGTCTACATCGCATTCAGAAAATTAGCAATCTACTGAAGATTCAAATAGCTCAAAAGAAATTTACATAGGAAACGAAAAGAATTAAATCAGAGAGGATGAAGATATTATTAATACAAATTGTTAAAATGAGGTATTATCTTCAGATAAGAAGGCTGAAATAAATACTGATTAAATATAGAAGGAAGAAAATACAAATTAAAGCAAAGAAGATATTTAAAGTGAGCAAAAAGAAGATAACAAAAATACAGATACAACATAATAGAATCAAAAGAGCTAAGTGGAGAGTAAATTCATATTTATATTATTTTATTATATAATTAAAGCATTTTGCTTATGGCAGTAAAATCAACTTAATAGATAATACAAGAAAGTAGAGAACTTGACCAAAAAGTATAAGATATGATAAAACAAACTCAATCTTCAATTTAATAAGTAATTATTGATTTTATCAAAGCCTTTTAAGAATATCAGAAAATATAAAAAAGACTTTAGATTCTACTAGCAGAACTTTAAAATCTGTAGAATAAACAATGAAAGAGATTAATGAAACTAATAAAAGATTTGATCAATTTAATGAAGGTAAATTCAATAAGTAGAAATGATACTATATAAATTTAATAATATAATAAACAGCCTACCAATCGACGATGTAATAGTTTGGGTAAAAGTTACAAGATGCATTTGGTCAAGGACACTTGTATGAATGATTAAATAAATTTTTATTAATTTCTGAAACTTAATTATTTTTTAGGGAGAGTGAATATGACTTTATGCCTCAAATTTCAGATGTTGAAGAAATAGCTCAAATACTTAAATTAAAAACAGAAGCTGTATTTTTAATAGGTAAATTTAATATTTTATAGATGTTTCTTATATAAAAATCAAAATAATTTTATGGAATTATTTAGGTAAAGAGAATTTGAATTCTGAGTTTAAAAGTAATTTATAGAAAAGAGAGTACTTTTAAAATTAAAGTGAGGAGTATTGGAAAACATATGGTATAGTAAAGGAGAATTTATCATTAAGTGGATCTAATGAAGTAGATAACAGTTTAGTTTAAATTGCAAACTCTCTTTACAGTGTGAGTACTAATTGCACTTTAATCACTACAAGTATAGAAGATGGTCTCCGAGCAGCATTATTTTAAAATATTAATAGAGAAAATTTAGATGATAATAGTAAAAGTAATTAAATAGGATGCTTGAATTAGTTTGAATAATAGTAAAATTAAAGTACATAGCAAAAAGAAGAAGAAGAAGAAATTAATTTAGATAAAAATACTAGGCAAATGACAAATTATGAAGTAGTAAAAAGTGTTTATTATGAAGATGAAGAATATAAGTCAACTTTTAAAGAAATGGATAATTTTGAAAAACAAGGTGTTTAGTATGATTTTGATTTATTTTCGGGTAAGTATAACTATTTTTAGATCCATGGCAATATTAACTTTATCAGATGCTCAAGCAATTAATGTAAAAACAAAAATAAATCAGAGTTTTTAAACTCGTATGGTCCTATATATGATTTAAAAAGTTGCCCTGAGTGTTAATGCCCAATGAGGTATTAATAATTTAAAAAAAAAAATATATATTTCTAATTTTATTTAAATAAAATATTTAAGGCCTCATATTAAATTTGATGATGAAGAAACTGACGAAAATATTTATAATGTTGATTGGATTAAATCTAAAGTAAACCAACTAGACTGTTTGATTCTAGTAGGCTTAAACGAAGATGAAAAAAATGAACCATTTTATAAAGAATTAATTTAAAAAAGTATCGAGTATGGAATTTTAATAATAGAAATATCAATCCAACCTTAATTAGAAATTGGTCATATAAAATAATTAATAGGATATCCATAAGAAATGATTATATTATTGAGAGATTAATTGCTTTATAGTTGATAATTTATGTATTTAATTTAATGTGTATATGTTGTCTACTAGATTAATCCTACATTTAATCTCCTATGAAAAATATTAATTTTTTGAATGAATATAGCACGTAGTGTATAGCTTACGCAGACAGGCATATATATATTTATTATTTTATTATTTTTGCAAAATTAAAACTTTGAAAAACCTCAAAAGTTATAAATCAAGTGTTATCAATTTCAGGAATAAAAGCTTTAATATAATGGATTTAGAAACAATTCAAAGGGAAAATTAAAATGTTTCATTCTACGCTAATAACTTAATAGAATATCATACATTTTTATTTGGAATAGATGTGAAAATTCCAGATATATTAATAATTTTCATAGATATTGCTATTTTAGCTCTATGTACACTTTATTACATTTACAAAAAATTACAAATTGTTAGATTGAATTCTGGAATTAAAAACTTAAATATTGGCCCTTTTTATTAAATAAATGAGTTAGGTAATAGTTATACAACTAAATCAGGCAAAAATTTATGCAACAAAAAAAAATCTACTATTAAAACTAGTAAATAAACTTTAAAGAAAGAATAAATTAGTTGCTAATTATGCTAATGCAATTTAAAAACGGAATATTATGAATGAAATGTTTAAAATATGTTGGCTTTGTTAATAAAATGGCCTTATTTCAAATTATTAAAGTGCATCTAAAAGTAAATTATAAATCTATTTTAACAAAAGTTACTAAATATTTTAAAAAAATTTTTAGTTAACTTTTACTATTTATTATATATTTATGTAGTAATTAATTTTTTTCAAAAAATAGCATCAAACAATTCATATAATTTTAAGTATAATATTTTGTAATTAATTACATATTACTACTCATTTAATTGTATTTTCTCATTTATTAAAATTATTAATCTGTATTTATTTTTAAAAATAATATCAGATCAAGTTAATTTATAAAATTTTAATTATATTAATATAATTAATTAATTAATATATTTTAGGGTATTTGTTAATTAAAATTATTGCAAAATAATTCTGAATAAAGTTATTGTTAAAAATAAATAATTTTATAAAAAGTCATTCTTAATTTATTATAAATTACGTACTTATGCACTATAAATAATTAATTAATATAGTGTACAAAAATGGAAAATTAAAATTTTTACTTCTTATTAGACTGGTATTGAGTTTTATATTTTATCTAATAAATTTTATATTATAAATATTATTTTTTGGTTTTGTAATTTCACTAATTTTTTGTTGGATCACGATATTTTATTGGAACAATATTTCCTTCTCCAACAGCACTTATTGTGTTGTTTACACTAAAACTATTGCTGTTTCTTTAACCACCAAGAGTAGCTGTGTATTTTGTATTTAAGTTTGTATGATTTTCCTAAGTATAAAAATTTATTTTTAATATTCGTTTATAAATTTTTAATTTTACCTATCCTTTTTCTTCATTATCATAATCAAAATCTTTTGTAAGTGGAGATTTAGTTAAATGATATGTGGCACCTTAATTTAAACTTTAACTATATAGATTAGTGTACTGCAAAGGATTGTTATTTTTTTGGCTGTAGCTTAGAGGTGTATGAGAGCGAGGATGATCTTATGTATATCTCTGTTAATGATTTTAAAATAAATTTCAAATTTTATTTAAAAATAACTTATTACATCTTCACCACCAAAATTATTGGCATAAGTTCCATATTTAGTATGAGAAATAGTAGAGGTTGCAGCATAATTAGGTCTATAAGCACTTGAAGTTTATCCTGCTAAAGTGGAAGACAATCCTGTAGGGATATTAGGTCTTGTATTGTTCAATTAATTATTTAAGTATTGAATCACTTTTTATAATAAAAATAATTTTAACTATCTAAAACAATTAAATTAAATCCTACTTGATTGATTCTATTCTAAAACTTTTTATGACTCTTAGATTTTAGTTTTAAGATCAGAATTAGCTGTTTGAAGTTCTTTTACTTTTATTTCAGAGTTATCTTTTTCTCTTTATACTATTTAATAAAAATTAAAATTTTAAATAAAAAATAATATTTTTCAAACTAAGAATTATTTAAATTATGATAAAAAAGTAATATCTTATTAAAAAAATTATTTTAATAAAATCTGAAATATATAAATAATATTTAAGTATTGTTTAAATTTAAATCAAATTGATTGAGCTGGATTAATTAATATATTTGATTTTAAATATATTCAACTTCAATATTTCATTTTTAAAATATTCATATCCCATCGAATTTAATTTTTATATTTTATTTTGGGTAAATCATATAAAATGAGTTGATATATCGAGTGTCGATATTCTATTTTCAAAATAAAGATATCTCAAAAAATAAAATAAAATATCGAACAACTCTAAAGAATCACTTTAAATAAAAATAAAAAATTTTAATTGAAAACTTGTTAATTTAAAACTCTATTCAAATTAATAGAATAACTATATTACTTTCTATTATCTATCTATTTAATGTGTCGATGCTATTTTGCAAATTTTGTATGTTTTACTCCTGTTGTAGAATAATAGCTTCTTTTTATTTCTATTTCTTTTTCTTCTTTTCAAGAGCTTCACGAATTTTATCTATGACATCGTTTCCTTTTTCGATTTCAACCTTGCATTATTCTAATTTCTTTTCTAGCTTATCTATTGACTGATTTTTTTCATTAAGTTCCTTTTCAAGCATTTTCTGAATTTTAAAATAATTTATTTACAACTATTATCAATAATATTTAATAATAGAATATACTTTTTAATCTTCGTTGTTTGAATTTAAGGACTTTGAACTGCTGATTAACTAATCTTTATCAATGATTTATTTTTCCAAGCTTTCAATTTTTACAGTTAATTCTGTAATTTTTTTTTCTTGTGCAAAACGAACGCTATCAAGATTTTTGTTGTCTAGTCTTAAAGTTTAAATTTCTTTATTTACTATGTCTAATTCTTTCTCATTTACTTTATTTTTGCTTTAAAGTTCTCTGACTGATGAATCTAAATTAAGTTTTACTTCGTTCAGATCTGAATTTTACTTCTAAAGACTTTGAACTTAATTTTGTAAATCTTAAATTTGTTTTTCTAATCTTTCTTGTATGAGTTAATGCTTTGATTCATATGTATTTCTAAGTTCACTTTCTCTTTGTAAGTACTCTTCTTTTTGAAGATGGAGCTTCTTTGAAGATTCAAGTCTAAGCTACTCTTCTTATTGCTCTCTTTCTTACTAAAAGCGTGCTAATTGTTGGTTTAATTCTTCATTTTTATTTTGAGAATCTTACAGTTATTCTTCGATTCTGGAATTCTTGATTCTCAATTCTTCATTTTCATTTTATTCTTTGGTTAGTTTATTTGCTAAGTAATTTTTTAAAACTTCATCATTGGCACATCTGAATTTTAATGCTAAATGGACTAATGTTTTAAATTGATTCATCTCAGTTATTTTTAAAAAACCTTCACCATTCGATTTAATTTCAAAAACACATGCAAACCTATTTATAAATTTTATATTAAATATTAACTAAATTAAAAAAATTAATTATTGAGAAAATTTTGAGGTATGTAAGATCTTACTATATTTTGTCTTCTTTATTAGAGTTAAGAGACAATTCCAAAAGTTCAATAAGCTTAGTTGGGAATCCATTGAAATCCACAATTAAGTTTTAGTCATTTTTTACTTGCAAGAAATCAGTTTCACTAAGTTACAAAATGTAAAGGAACAATCTAAATAGTTTATTTAAAAAAAAATTTTAAAACAAAACAAAATCAACTAAATGGGACATCAGCTAAAATAGTTTAATTTAATTATTAATATTTTTGAAATGCAATTATAAAATTAATTTATTTGTTAATTGTAACATTATATCAAAATTCAAAATTAGGTATTCAATAAAATATTATTGTAAATTACTAGTTGAGTTCATCAGTTAATTCCATCTAAAGGACTTGACCATGAATATTGTTACCTGGATTAAGTATTATTTTAAGATTTAAGCAGGTTAATTAGTCTTCTCTTTCATGTGATTTCAATTTCATTGTTATTTGATTATCATAAATATCTTTTGGTTGCTAAAACCCTATAAATAAGAATCATTAAAATAAAAACATTAAAACCTTATTCTATTCATGATTTTTTGTATTTACCATCTGATTGGAGTGGATGCACGCTAATTGGTTGAATAAATCCACTTTAATTTAAGTTCTTTTCGTATTTTTGTTTCTATGAGCTTTAAAAATCGTTATTTTGAATTTGATGTTAATTTTGATAAGAGCCATTTAAATTCCTAGCAGGAGTTTATTGATGAGAGTAATTCTATTGCTAGCTTCTTCCAGACTTTTAAGATAAACTATCCATTTTTATTTATTTATTACTTATTAACTCTACTATTATATATGATATGCGAGGTTTGCTAAATTTGAATTCTTTAAATTTATAATTGGCTGGCTATACACCTTTTTAAAAAGATATTGGCTTTTATTAATTATTTGATTTTAATTTTATTATGAATGAAAGTTGATAACAATATTAAGAGATAATTATTTATTTGATTCATGTTTTTAATTATCATAATTAATTTTGAAAAATAATTAAATTAATATAGATTCAGTATTTTGTTTTTTTTATTTGTTTGTTTTTGATTCCTATCAAATCAAAGCCAATCCTAATATTTTGTTATTTTAAATTATAACTATTCAGTCATATCTTAATAAAATGAACTGTTTGGTAATAACATATATACTTTTCATCATTAAAATTTATTTATGTGAATCATTTTACAGCAAAATTTCAAATTTTAAAAATAAACTATCTCACTCACTCCAAATCTTTTTAATTTGATTTGAAACTTAATAAATAAAATATTGATTTAAGTAATTATTTCTTTTCATAGTTAAATTTTACTCTAAAATTCTTTTAAAAATGAATTGATTTTTACAAAATATTATTTATTTTTTAAAAAAATTTAATTTTGATTTACTAAAATATATTCAAATAATTTAAATATATTATGCATTTGTTTAGGCATGTCAGTTTATAAACTAAATTTTTTTATAAATACAAATAAAGTAAAATATAATTTTATAATTTGTTTAATTTCCTATCTAAATTTCATTTAAAATCAATTTGATATTTTTATTCAAATGAAATATTTTGAATTGTTTTAGTTTTTTTATTGAATTTAGTTTTAATATAAAATTAGAATTAACAATTAAAATACATATCTTAAATTTCTATAGAGTCAATCTTTTCAGACTTTAATTTACAAATTAAAAAAATGATATTTTTACCAAAGACATTAAAGAAAGATACCATTTTACAAAAAATAAATGTATTTATAAAAATTGTATTTTTAAATAAATTAAATGTTTTAGTAAATAAAAAAAATTTCAGCTAAAATAAGCATAAAAATTATTGTAATTAAATATAAGAATTAAATATTTAAATACACAAAATCTTAATAAAAAAAATGAAAATTATTATTTAAAATAGTAAAATATAAAAAGAAACCTTTGATAAATATCAAGTTAAATTTAATATATTAATTGATTAATTTTAACAATTCAATTTGTTAAATAAAAGGTCTTATGGTTAATTAAATAGAAAATTCAAAGATATAAAAATGAGAGTGATTAGCTTCAAATATTTTTTAAATTTAATAGAATATTTAAACTAATTATGTTTGATATTTAAAAATCAAATAAAAATTACTACTAATATTTAATCATACTTACTGTAAAATTTAATAAAAATAGTGCTTTTTTATTTTTTTTATGGCTAAGTAAGATTAAATAAATATTAATTGGCTTACCTTTTAAATTAAAATCCTAATTGTAATAGCTCATTTTAAAAAGTAAGTTTTTTACATAAAAATAATACAAAAAAATTGTAAGAAAACTAAAAAAACTAAATATAGTATGCATGCTATTTAAAGGTTTTAATTATTTCCTTTATCATTTTATTAAGTAGTACAATTTTAATTTAAAATTATTCAAGTATTAATAGTAATTGGCAAAGTACATCATATATAAATTTCATAGATTATAATAATTTTTTTAAAATATATTTTTTTCATATAAATTATTTTTTAGAAAGTATCCTGAATCAGTTATCAACACTGCAGTTTCTGTATTTTTGATTATACCATCTGTAGAAATAAGTATCTTAAGAAGCATAAACTTCACAGTCGAGGACACAGTCTAAAAATTCTTGAGGAAGAATAGAGTCAATATTGGTTGAATTATAGTAGAAATCGTTGAATTTTTTGCAAGAATCAGGTGTAGTCAACAATAAGCAATTGTTTGTGTAGACTAAAGTGTTATAGCAATGAGGGTGAACTTTATTTGGAGCATCATTGCAAGCAATACCTACATTAGCGCTAACACAATCATTCCATTTTCTCACAGTTACTAAATTTCCTGATTATAAGAGCTACTCGCTTTTATCATCAAGGTTGTATTAAGTAAGGAAAGCAGCTCCTGATAACAAAACTGAAACAGCAACAAATGTTAAAAAGAATAGTTTATTCATTTTTTTATTTTTTGAAGTTTTTTTGGAAATAAGCAATAATTATTTATTATTCTTTTATATATTTTAAGTATATTAACAATTTGAATATTAAATATTGGCAATCTTAATAATTTTTTCTATCTTCGTAAGATTTGTTCTATTCGATTTAAGCTCAGATCGTCAAACCTTAAATCAAATTAAGAAATTCATTTACAAGTCATCCAGCAAGTTCAAGAAAACCACAATTTATCTATTTCGTATATTAACAAAAATTCTTATATATTTCCATTCAATTTTTAAGAAATGTATGGATTTTACATAACCACAAAACACAAATAGCTTATTATTGAAAAAGAAAAGTATTCCAAAAGGAAAATATTGGTTTCAGTCGCAAAAACACAATATAAGTAAAGCTTGTCTGTACTCTAAAATAAGCAAAAATTTTATTTATTTTATCATTTTTGGTAGTAAAATAAATTTTGAAGTGAATAAAATTTTGTTAAATTTTAACAACATTTACAAAAACAAAAGTGATTTGATAGTATATAAAATGCATTTAAAAAACCTAATCTATTAATTTATTTTTTTTAATTTGTAATATAAATAGATATTACTAAGTAACTAAAATAAATACTAAATTTTTATATTGGTACTAATACATATCTTTAAAATATTTAGGTAATTACTCGATATCCTTTAATTTTTTTATTTTAATTACCTTTTCAAATGCCTATTTATTTTTTACTTCAGAGTAATTTATTTTGTAGTACAATGAAATCAGAATAAAATTTTACTTTTTAAAATTTCTAAAAATAAATATTTTTTGTATTTTAAATAACATAGACAAATTAGTCAGTTTATTTTTTATAAAATGACGTTAATTATTAAAAATTAAGATTTACTGAATTATTTTATGATTTACATGTACGTATATATATCTATAAAACAATTAGAATCCTTTTTAACTGAATTTATAATAATTAATGATATGATTTATATTTTTATAGAGTCATGAAATATAATAATATATAGTAGTTTTTATATAAAATAACATTATATTTATTTCAAAATATTTGGAATTTTTTTTCACTATGATTGAGCACAAGAATTGAACTTCTATTAGAACCATTTTGATAAGTGTTTTTCTTTTTGAGAATATTTTTCACAAATTTTTACGCATTCAGACATGATATCAGGTAAAACATTGTCAATATTTGAAGGATTGTAGACAAAATCCCAAAAACTTGTACATTCTTGTGTATCTCTGAGTAAACAATTGTTTGTATCTACAAATCCATCTAAGCAGACTGGATGCTCATATTTTGGGCATTGGGAACAAGGCATAGGTACTTAATCAGCACATTAATTCCATAGTCTTACGGTAGTAAAAGAATTTTGTTATAAGACTGGAGTTTAATAGCCTTAAACCAAAAGATAGGCAGTGAGTGCAACAGAAGTGATTGCAAATATTGTTAAAATATAGTTTTTCATTTTTTTGGTGCTTTTAAGATAAATAGTAGTATTTGATTTTGCTATATTAAATTATGTAAAATCAATCAGATAGATCTAAGTCTATTAGCAGATGAAATAATAAGATAGAATAATAAAATAAAATTTGTTTACACTCTTTTTTTTCTATATGGAAAAAAAAAATCAAGTTTTTTAATATATAAAATCTACACAATAAATATTCATTTATTTGATACTTAAATATTTTGTTAAATTTTAATAAAAATGTTGAAAAAAACAACTTTAAAAAACTATTATTTTTAGTTAAACATTAAGTTTATAAAAATAATACATTTTCTATTAAGAATTCAACATTTTTTAAATGAGCTCAAACCTGAAATCACAATCTTAAATGAAATATTTAACTAATAAATTTGTTAATAAATAAAAATTTTTCTTAGACAGAATTATTAAATATAATTAGGTTTAGCAAAAATCTTCTCAATTATAAAAAAATTTAAATACAATAATCTAATATCATATAATTATTCTCTTAAAAAAATACCATACATTTCTACTAAATTATAAATAGTAGTTTTTTAAATCTATGGATTTGGTTAACTTAAAAAATATTAATATTTATGTATGAGCATATCTTCATATTCATCAAATAAAATAAATAAAAAACTTTTATTGAAATTTTAAAAATTAAGAAGCAAACATAATAATCTAAAACGAGTAAATTCAAAAAAATTAGTATTAAAATTAAGATAAATATTTTCCAAAATAAATCAGAATTTATTTAATGTTTAAATTTAATTTAAAATAAGTAAAAAATTTTATTATTTATGATATTAAAAATAAACTTAAAAAAAGAAAATTATATTATATTATTATAGAAGTTTCAAATATTTTTAGACTAAGAAGCAGCTAAAAAAAACATAATTTAAAGATATGGCTTATTAAAATTATATATAAATTAAACTTTTGTTAAAAAGAAATAAAAAATTAGAAAATAATTTAAATTGATGTTTTTTATAATAAATTAATTTAAAAAATATTATTATTATTATGTCAGTTATCTATTGAAAAGTAATTCAAAAATTATTAGAATAAAAATTAAAATGAAGCATATTTTAAAAAATTTAATTAATTTTAAATGAAATTTAATATTTAAAGAAATTATTGTAATAACATTAAAATTTAATTTAAAAAATAAAAAATTTGTCTTTTGTATTTATTGAAGTATCAAATATTTTAGACTGAAAAGCTATTTTAAAAAAAACATAAAGATAAATAAATTGCTTTAAATTTAAAATAAATTAAATTTTTGTAAAAATAAAAAAAATTAAGAAATTAATTTAACAAAAACTATTATAATGTCTATTATTTATTTAATAGAAACTTCAAATGAGTAAATATTTTTTCATTATTTTATCTCCAATTGTATTTTCAAATATATTTGTCATATGATTTACTATTTCTTCATCATTTGTATTGTTTTAATTATTTTATTCATAAAATTCTATCATAGAACTTTAATTCCCGCCAATAATTGCTATTTTAGAGTTGCTTTATTGGTCTTATATTTTTACAATCTTATGTAAATATCTTGGATATTTCATATGAGAAATTTCCTTCTAGCAAAGATTTAGAATATCAAATTCCCACACACTATTTGATGGTTAAGACCCAACTTAACCTCCAAAAATTAAAAATGAGTTCTAGTTGCTAGGGTCTTAAATTATTTAGCTTGCCTCTAAAGATGGAATTTGCTTATCTAGCTGTATGTTATGTTCTTCCCATTTGTTATTTTTACTATCATAACTTTCCATGTTGATTTATTTATATATATCGCTGCCATGATAACCACCTTTAAAAAAAAATTTATATATGATTATTTTTTAATAAAAAATAAATTATTACCATAAATGTAAATTTTGTTAAAGTATATAAAAGAGCAAGCAGAAGATCTAGGCCTATTCATCTATTAAATTGAAACCCATTTTTTTGTTTTTAAGTCAAATTTTTCACAATAAGCTAAAACATCACCTTAATTTTATGGCAACAGAGATACATTTTCATTTAGCTGGCTTTAGTTCTTATTTTAAGTATAGTTGCTTCTGTTATTCATAGCTTAACTATTCTTTATGTGGGTACTTTATTATTGGTTTTTATTAGTGAGTTGAGAATTTTACATACTTTCTTTATTATTATTGTATATTTATGAATCATATTATTAAAGCTTAGATAGAATTTAATCTTAGCTAGTATCACCAAAAGAGTGATTGTCATCTTATTCAAAGCTATTGTAGCTTCTACCTCCAATCACATATATTTCATTTTATTCTTACACATATAAACAACTAAATGCATATCTTTAATGGATCATTGGTGGCATTTTTGTTTTCACTTTTTTTTCAAAATTATAGATGAAACATTTTTGCAATACTTGATTCATTGATGAAGATATTCCTCCTGCTAAAAATATTTCATTTTGGCTCAATCTGCAACCACCTTAATAGCAACTAAGGTCTAAATTTGTAGGAACTGATTTTACTTTGATATCTTGTTCACTTGTGCCCTTAAATTAAATGATAAAAGGTTACTCTTCTGTACCTAGTAGGTGATAGATTGAATTGTGTTCCTTTTTCTTTTCTTCTTCTTCATATAAATTATTTTGTAAAGATTGAGGGTTTTTTTTGGAATTAGTTGAAAAGTAATCTATTTATTGAGTTTACAATGATGCACTATACTTTTCAATTTCGAATTAATCACAAAAGTCAGTAAAATTGTTTTTTACAGAAATTATTTATGTCTTAAATGTATATAAATCTATTTTTTCTACATGATTTGCTTCGTCTCCTCCAAAAATGTATAAATTATCACCAGACTAAACTGATTTATGTAAAACTCTTTATTTAGCCATTTTACCTTTAAATCTGATAGATTCTTTTAATAAAAAATAAATATTTAAGTTAATAATAAATCAAAATAATTTTAATTTATTTTTTTAAAAGTTAAATAAATTAAATTTTAAGTTTATCATTTTTCATTCATTAATAAAATTAAAAACAAATTCCGTTAAAAACTTACATTCTTACATATCTATTGAACAAATCGATGATGTTGCTCCACCTTTACAGTATCCTCCAAAAATTAATAATTCGTTGTATATGTTTGATGCAATATAAAATGACCCTTCTAAACCTCTATGCAATTTAAAATCTAGAATATCCCACTAATTAGTTGATAAATTGAACTTTTCTATCTTTTTAGTTCTGTATTCAGGACCAGAATAACCGCCTGCTACATACATATCATGTTCGTTGTACAAAAAAACCATTCCAGTGCATCGTGCTACATTTAATGGAGGATGAAAAGACCAAGATTTTTAATCTAAATCAAACACTTCACAAGATCTTAAGATAGCCTATTAATCATCTCCATAGCTTCTTCCTCCAATGCAATATACTTTTCTTTAATGGATCAAACCAAAATGGGTATATCGAGATGTGACTAGATCTTATTATTTTTGAAATTGAAGTGTTTTTATGTTAAAAATATAGGTTTCATTTTATATTTCCGTTAATTCTTAATTTATACCTCCACAAATAAATATATTTTCATCATCGATCTACAAGCATAAAGTGTAATTATAAATACTTACATTTTCTTTTTGCTCTTAACTTAAATCTTAGTATAAATTATAAAACTATTTATTTTCAACATCAAACTTTAATATTTGCTGCTCATTTATCTAATTGACACCAAAAAAGTATAGGAATTTATTGATTTTATTTTAAAACTTGTCTTACTTTCCAAATGTACGATTTACTTTTCCGTTAGGAAAGTATCCTGAATTAATCGTTGGTTATTAATTATTTTTATGATTCATCTAAGGCATTGAATGTTCCTTTTTGGGCGTAATTAATTGCTCTTAAAATATTTGATCATTATTTTATGCTGGCTTTTCTTGGTATTTAAGCTTTGATTGATCAACTTCCTATGGTTAATAAACCTAATTATTTTTAATATCAGCTTTATTTGCAGATTTTCCGCATCCCATTTTTACTACACAGTCAACCTTATTTTTTCTTGCTTCAAAATTCAATTAAGTTAGTGAATCTTCGTTTATTTGGGTAAATTAAATTAAATTTATAATAAAAGATGTGGTGATAATTAAATTGTTTTAAAGCTGATTTTTTTTCATAAAAATATAATAAATTTACTTTTAAAAGTGTTTAATTTATTTAAAAAATTGTAAGCAAGATTAAAATATCAAAATATTTTGCAATAATCTATCATTAAACATTTTTTATTTTTCGAATGTTTCATTATTTAGAATTATTTAAATTTGACTCAGAATTTATATTTTTTTTAAGTTTTAATTTTCAATCTATTTTGCTAAAATGCTTAAACTAAAACATATTAATTATACCCACTATTAATTAAAAAAACAAATTAAATATTTAAAAATATTCATTTTATAATTAAAATTTAAAATTTCAAAATTAATAAATATTTAAAAAACCATTTTTAATTTAAATATAATTAAAAAATCAATATATTATTCCAAACTAAAAAATATCATTTTAGAATAATTCTAGAAAGTATAGCTTGAATATGGAGGTTTAGCTTGCTTAACTACTAATTAAATTAAAAGATATGATATTCGAATTATTTGAAAACAAATATTGTTTCTATAGAAAATCGATTTTACATATAATATTAATTAATATTCCCGCAATTTATTTATTAAATTTGAAATTAGTAAATTTTAAAATCTTTCCAAAATAAAAAAATTAGCTTAGTGAATTAAAAAAAATACTAATAATAGCAAAAGAATTAATCTAAAAATGACTACAAAGAGTAGAAAATCAAAGACTGAAATGGAGGAAATGGTAACATAATTATTTTTTATCATTTTATATAGGAAATTAATTAAAAGAATACTCCAGATTAAGATGAGTTTGAATAAAAGAAGAAAAAAATAGAAGAAATCCTGCAGAAAGCTTTAGATTATACTTAAAAACTTATTCTACATAGAAAAGAAGCTAGGTAATTATTATGTTTTGTGTTTCTATCTTTACTTTTAAAATATTATTTAGTATAATTTTTAAAATACTTTTTTGGATATTAGTAAATAGGCAATATAGTAGACAGATGATTTTAAGTCAAAAAAGAAAGAATCAAAAAGAAAGCATGACAGAGAATAGCAACAATAAATTAACAAAGAAGAAAGAATTATGTAAAGAAAATCAACTGGTAGCGAAAATGATTATACTTACTTGACAGTTTAGCCTAGTAATATTTAATTTGGTGTATTAAAGAATTATTAAATGAATGGTTTGAACTGGCTAATATAGTTATATGAATTGAAAATGAATGGAATTTTAGCTGATGATATGGGTTTAGGAAAGACCATTTAAACAATCTCTATGATAGCCTTTTTAAAGCAATTTAAGCATATTAATGGTAAGCATTTGATTATTGGACCTCTTGCAACATTAAATAATTGGTTAAATGAATTTACTAAATGGCTTCCTTGCTGTAAAGCAACTATTTTATATGCTAGAGAAGTAAAATATCTACTGAATTCTACTTTTTTTTAATAATTGATATTTTAATACCTATCAAAATAAGGAAGAAAGAAATAAAACTCTTTAGGAATATGTGAAATCTGATAAATTTGAAGTTATTATTACTTCTTATGAAGGCATCAAAAAATCTGCATCTGACCTTTAGAAGTAAGCATTTTTTAGAAAATAACTTGATAAATATAATTTTATTCGTTCAATTTTAAAACAGAATTTAATGGGAATATATGATTGTGGATGAAGCACATAAATTAAAAAATGACTAGAGTCAGCTCAGTTTACTTTTACGTAAATTTAAAACAAAAAATAGATTGCTGCTCACTGGTACACCTCTCCAAAACGACATTCATGAATTAATTAGTTTGCTTAATTTTGTCATGCCATAAATTTTTACTGACTGTGATACATTTGATGAATTGTAAAATATTTTGTTCAGTAAAACACAATTTAAAAATTTTTATCAAGTTTAACCTCTAAGAAAAAGAAGCAATCAGAGTCTGAGTCTGACAGATAGCAAGAAAATAATGAGGAACCTAACGAAGAATATAATTAAGAAGACAATCTTAGTGAGATAGATAAATAAAAAATGGAATTAGTTAAATAGCTTCATCAAATTATTACACCTTTCATGCTTAGAAGAACCAAAGAGGATTCACTTAAAGATTTACCTCCCAAAAAAGAAATACATTTGTATGTTGGTTTAAGTGATTTACAATTAAAAATGTATAGAAACATTCTTCTAAACAAGTAAATAATTCATTCTTAAAAAATCAAACATAACAAACATAACAGAAAAAATATTTTTTTTAAAATTCAGATAATTTTTTTTTAATTTAAATTAAAAAAAATATTTTATTAATAAATTTAGAACAATAGACAGTGTATACATAGGAGATTAAAAAAGGAATTATAATAATACACTAATGTAGCTCAGAAAAGTATGTATACATCCTTATCTTTTTGATGGTGTTGAAGACAGATCTCTCCCAGAATATGGAGATCACCTTGTTTACAATAGTGGTAAAATGGTGGTCTTAGACAAATTGCTTAAAAAATTGTACCAAGAGAAAGAAAAAGCTCATCAAGTTTTGATTTTTACTTAATTCACAACTTGTTTAGGTAAAATTTTAGTTAAAATGATAAATGACTTATGTTTATAATAATGAAAAAGATATTTTAGAAGATTATTTGATAGGAAAAGCTTGGAATTATTGTCGTATAGATGGTAGTACAGAAGTTAATGAAAGAGAATAAATGATGAATGAGTTTCAAAGAGATGACTCCGATAAATTTGTTTTCCTTCTTTCAACTAGAGCAGGTGGATTAGGAATTAATTTGACAAAAGCTAACTTTGTTGTAATATTTGATAGCGATTTTAACCCATAGATAGATTTGTAAGCAATGGACAGAGCATATAGAATTGGTTAAACGAGGGAAGTGAAGGTGATCAGACTAATTACTTAATTTACTGTAGAAGAAAAAATAATAGAGAGGTAAGGTATTAAATTGAAGTTGGATTAACTTATCATACAAAGTGGAAGATCTTATTCTACAAATTTCAACTTAGACTAGCATAACATAAAGAATATAACCTAATTTGGTGCAGATGAAATATTCAAAGCAAAAGGATCAACCATCTCAGATGATGGTAACTATTTTTAATTTATTTCATGAACTTATTTTAAATAATAAATATTAATAATAATATTTTAGATATTGATATGATTCTGGCAAAAGGTGAAAAAAAGACTGATGAGTAAAATAAAGAAATATAAAAATTAGTTGAAGAAAAAATGAAAGGACTGTTTGATTTAGAAGTTAAAAGTATCAAATGCAAAGAGCTATTTGGTGAAGATCCTCGTTTATAGGACGAAATAGCTATTAAGCAAGCTGCTCTTTAATCAGAGCTTGAAGAAAAGAAAAAAATTTACGAAGATTAAATTAAAAAAAATAAATTAATTAAAGTTAAGATTATTTAATTACCTGAATACCAGCTTTTTGAGAGTAAATCAAGGTTAGAGCAACTATTATAAAAAGTAAATTTTATATTATTTTAGTTTGTTAGTAAATTAATTTGTTAACAAATTTAGGAGGAAGAGTACTTAGCTAGAGGAGGAATAATGTACAAAGTCGGTTTGTACAGTGAAGAATTTATATAAAATATGGCAAAAAATAATGGTCTTACTGATGATGAATTGAAAGAAAAAGAGTAATTAATGTAATAAGGATTTCCTTATTGGGATGCTAATGATTACAAAGAATTTTTGAAAGCTTCTTACTTGTACGGAAGAGGTGATTTCGAAAAAATTGCTGCATTTATGAATAAACCTTTAGATGAAGTCAGAGATTATCACAGAGCTTTCTGGTAAAGAGGAGAAAAATGTATCAGTAACTTTAATTATATTTAAAAAAAAGTTGAAACTACTGACAAAAATATTTAAATGGCTAAGGAGTTTACAGATTTTGTAAATTAAAAATTATTGTGAATGAAAATTAAATTCTTATTTTTAAAATAAAGGTTAAAATGAAGATAGATGACAGTGAGTATATTTAAGAAAATATTACTTTCGATAGTAAAATATACAAAAAATATTCAAGCTAAAAACACTCCTTAGATAAAGATTAATTAATAATATATTCATTTTATAAATATGGATATGGTGAATGGGAGAAGATTTTATATGATATATAAAATAACGTTTACTTTAGTCTCGATGAAAACTTTAGGTAAGGAATATTCAATTTATTTAAATAATTATTAACCAATTGCTTCAATGGAATCATTAAAATTAATTTATTTAAATTAAACTGAACAGAATGATGAGAGAAAGTGATATTAAGGCAAGAGCAAGATCACTATTCAACATTTTGAAAGCAGAAAATGATAACTAATTGCTAGGAGTGCGTTAAAGATAAATATAACTCAAAAAGATGTAAGAAGAAAATAAATAGAATAAAAAAGGAGGAAAAAAAGCATAAAAGTAAGATAGTGAATCAAGTAACAATTCAATATTAAGTAGAAATAGTGCAGATAAAGATGGCTTTAACAAAGTAAAACCAACCAATAAAGAAGCTAAAAAAGATTAGAAACGTCAAAAATTAGTTAGCGAGAAACCTCAACAAATTATTGAAGATGATATAGAAAACATAGAAAAAAATGTAATAAAAAAAGAAAACAAAAATAAAAACAAAAAAAATGCTGTGGAAAAACAAAATGTAAATCAAAAAGACCAAGAAAACTAATAAAAATAAAAAATATTATAAGATAATCAAAATGAAAATAAATTAGAAAATTATTTTAGTAAAATTGATAAAATAGTTAAAAAGTGATTTATTATGCTCTCAAAAAAGTTTTAAAACTATTTATTAGTGTCCCTCAATAATTAAGATTCAATATATATACATTAAATATAAAAATAAGCTATTAATACTAAATTTTATAATTCAAAATTGAGCTGGGGCTGGTCTTAATTATTGGGAAACCACAGTTTATTTATTATTTATTTAAAATATTTTCCTTTCATTTAAATGTTTAATTTTATTTACATTAACCTTTATATCAATATAATTGTATTTTGTATACTCAATTAATTTTATTATCAGCTAACAAGAAAAAACACTTTCAAAATAATACTTAATTAAAATTTTAAGATTAACATTAAATTATTTTATCAATTTAACTAATTTGTTTATTTATTTTAATTTTTAGAGCCATAAATTTATTTTTAAATTACTTTAATATATTTTTTATTTTATAAATATATTTGTTATCAATTATAATAAGTATATTAACAATAAAAAAAATTATTAGTGGTTTTAGGGGAATAATCTTGAAATTGGAGAATTTAAAATAAATATGAAGAAGAAATTGTTAAGTGATATGAGTAGATAGAAAAAGAATGAGGTGAATTATTGAGAACTTTAAATAATAACATAGAATAAAAAAACAAAAATAGTGACATCTCTAAAGAAAAAAACTAGGATGAAGAAGGTAAATGAGTTAGTTATTTGAAAAAGCTGATAAAATAAATCTTAAAATAAAATAATAACTAACTTGTATCACAAAAATATAAATAATTAATAAATAGCAAAAATGAAATATTAAATTAACTTATAATGATTTTATATTAGAAATAGTTAATAAATAAAACTAGCCAATAAACATAATTTATTATTATATAAAATCCTTAATAAGTTGGCTTTAAAATATATAAAAATATACTTTTATTATCATTTAAATTTCTTAATCAAACAAGAAATTTAGCTATAACTATGCGCAGACCTTTTAGTTACTTGGATTTAATGTAAAATTTTTAGCTATTTGAAAGGAAATTATTCCTTATTTATAATAAAATATCAATTATAAATAGAAAATAATGTTATTAATCAATTAACTTTACTCTAAATTCATATGTATATATTCTAAGTTTCTGAAATTTATAAAAGATTTTATTAGATAAACTGTCCCATTTTAACCGATTTAGTTATTTCTATTTTTATTAAATTCAGGAATTAATTAAAAAAATTATCTGAATTAATCTTAAAATACTCTAAATTGAATTCTAGTTTTATTAATTTTTGGCAATTTCTTATCTCGTTCATTAATAATCCAAATCCACTTTATGTTATGTTATTAAACCTAATTATATTTAAAACATAACTTTACAAATCTGTTAATAATTAGTATTTACGAAAAATCTAACTAAATCATTTTTAAGTTTGAGCACCTTGAGAGATTTTGGGCTAATATTGATATTCCAATATCATTTATAAAACATTTTCTTTTAATTAATTTAATAAATTTTAAAAATGAAATATTTATTGTAAATTTACGAAAGATTAAGACTTAAAGTAATTAAATTTTCAAGTTTTTGTATTCCTTTACCTAATTCTTCTGCCCCTTATTACCCAATTGAATTATTTCTAGCATTATATATTTTTTTAAAATTTAATATTTCTAATTCTAATTATTTTACTAAAGATTAATCCCCAGAGATTTCAATTTATTGCATTTAGATATTTAGTAAATAAAAGATCTTATTCCCTGAGAAGTTATTTAATTTTAACTATTTTTAAAAAAACTTTATTTTTAACTAAATATTTTATATTATAGATACCATAAAAGTAAATTTAAAACCTATAAATTTTAACATTCCGACAAATTCTTTCCAAGTTAAGAAATCCCTTCTGAACCTAAATGATTAGCTCTTATTTATAAACCAAAATACATTTTTTATTTTTATAAATATTTATTTAAACTCTAAACAAAATAAAATACTAAATTTTAAAGTAATATTTTTTATCTAAAAAAATGATATTTTTAAATAATTAAATTTGAATATTATACTGCAAGTCTATGTTTAGGCAATTTAGTTTAACACAATTTGATAAACTTCTTGCTATAACTTTTATTTCTTCTATTCCTATTTTACACCAGCTGAAAAATTATTATAGAAAATCAATGACTAAATTTTAAATACAAAAGAATTAGGTCTAAATTGATTAAATTGCTACACTAAGATAACAAATTGCCTATTTTTTTGATACCTTGCATTTCGATGTTAAAATAACTAAAATGTAAAATTAGTTATTTCGTTCAATTAAAATAAAATTTACTGCTTATTTATTAGCAAATTTCTCACAAAATTATAGTTACTGTTATTTATCTATTAAAGTAAAATTTATAAGCAAAATAATTATCAATTTTTATTTTAAGTAATGAATGTGTACCTCTTCTGGCAAAACAATTCTTTCGTACATAGCATCTATGAAAAAAAATAAAAATAAAAATAATTTTTGAAGTAATCCTTTTTTAATTAATACATTTCAAAAAAGTAAATTCATAAATAAGAAATTGATCAACAATGAGTTGCTTTTGAGAATATTAATACTCTATTTAATTTGTTTCTCTGATGAATCTTAATTCTTAAATCAACAAAAAATTAATTAATAAACAATATGTTAGTGTAATCAAAATTATTACATTAATCTTCAGATTATTTTAAGCTATTAATTTCTGAGCAAAAAAATTTCAAAATGACATTTTCTTTAATTTTTGAGTTGAAGGAAGTAAAAGTTACAGAATTAAAATCGTTTTCAAAATACTCAAAATATTAATATTCTTCCTTTAATTGACCCAATCGTTAAATGATATTATAAATGCTTTATTTGTCGATATTACAAAAGCTATTTAGAGCAATTTTCTTTAGCTAATAAGAATTTTTCATTTTTATGGTTTGCTTTCTCTTAATTTGGAATTTAAATTTCAAAATTTTTTATTCAACTTTTTTATTATTTTCTACTTTTATAAATTATTTATAATCAATCATATAGATTTTTTATAACAAATTTAAAAAATCTGCAACAAAGAATATTCTTTTAATATTATAATTTCTTGTTGGGAAATATATATAAATAAAGATTAATTTTATTATAGATATTTTTGAAAAAAATATAAATTTTATAGATCAGATAGATAATTATAAAAAAAGATAAATAGACTTCATTATTAAAATGAATTATTAAATTAAATAATTGTTATTAAATTTATTAAAGTTTAAATACTGTTATTATTCAAGTTTTTGGTAAAAAACAAGCAAGGGATCAAAATATAATTAAAATTTTCTTTGTTTTTTGTTAAATAAATAAATAATTGATGAGAGTAATGAGTGATTGAAGAGATATAGTGTGTAAAATATTTTAAATAAATTTTAGAATAGTTTTTAATTTAATTATTTTTTTTGAATTATATTGATAATTTTTATTTTCAATAATATTTTATTTATAAAAGTTATTACTTATTTTAAACAATTTATTTGTTTGAACACTAAAAATAATGGATTATTTATATATCAATAAAGTTTTTACTTATAAATATTACAAATATTTTTGTCAACAATTTATTTTTTATTTGCACCTCAAAATAAAAAATTGGTTATCGGATGGCTTATCTTTAATCCTAGTTTGGAATGCCAAACACTCCTTAATAATTATTTATTGTAATAAAAAGTGTGGTGTAAAATTATTAATTTAGTATTTAGTTGTTACTAAGAAAAAGCATATAAATAAATAAATAAACAAATAGAGTTATAACTATGGCAGATACTCAAAAAAATTTAAGACCAATGACAAGCCACTCTTGTGCTACGACTGAAAGATCATAAAAAAAAGTATACAATTAGCTGTGGGACCAAATGATGAGAAAATCTACTGCTGATGGATTTCATCACTCAAGACCTCGTAAATTGTCTCCCTTCAGATACTAAACTAATGGAGATTGGAGTATTTTAATGGGTAGAACTTCTCCAGATAACAGATGTGGATCTCATATCAAAAGAAACATTACTAATGATACCATGAGAACTTCATTCTATAAAACTGATTAATTTTTATCACCTGATAAAATAGGTTACAATGCTAAAACTAACGATGGATAATTTAGAGTGATTAAAGTCAATAAAAATCTATGGCAAAGTGATGTGCTTAACTAAAAGCAAATCGATGTGTAGCCATAATAAAAAAATAAATATTTTCATCAGACTTTAAGGACAGAGTAAAGTAATGGTTTCCAAGAGCAAACTAATTTATCATAAACAAAGGGGGCTACATATATTAGAAAAGATCACTATAACAAATATGTAGCCACAAATTAAAATCGTTATCATGGAGGGGAAGGATATTTACACTAGAAGAGGGATTCTAAATAAATGGTAAAGCTAATAAATCAAGAGGAGCAAAGGTAGCTCAGCTAAACAAGAGAAGAATAAAGAACTAGAAATTAAAATCTAAGTTATACAAATGCTTTTGAGGATTACAAAAAGCGTATAGATGATAAAACCTCTTTTATTAATATTCAGATTAATAATGATAAATTACTAAATAATACCTTCTAATTTACTTAAACATCTCCAAAGAATAATAATATGGATGAAAGAGGAAGATAAACAAGTTTAGGATTCACAAGAACTACTGATTCTTAAGGATTTAACATGGAAAAGTTAGAAAAAAAATACAATGAACCATTTAATCAAAAAGTTTAATAAAGAAGTGGTAGAAAAATGCCTTAATACATGAAGGATCTTTTTGAAAGCAAAAAATTTAAAGACAGTTTATAATATTGAGAATTTTATTTATAAAACGATTAAATTATTTTTTTTAACATTCAAAAATGTTTGATTTCAATCTAGTCAATATAAATATTAAATTAATTTTAATATGAATTAAACCATCATTTAGAATGGCATCCATTATAAATACAAATTTTGATGACTAATAATCATTAAAAATATCAATTATTTATAATAGCTATATAATGTTTTTATATTTTTACATTAAGTTTATTGAAATTTAAAATTAATTTTTTTTAATTTAAAAATTTATTTTTTAATCAAAGAAAATATTAAAATTGCTATTTTTTAAAAAACTAAATTAAATTAATAAAATAAATTTATTGAATTAAGGTATTTGATAAAAATGAATAAAATAAATTATTAATTTTTCTAGGAAAAAATAAAATAAAAATATTTTGTTTTCGTAAATAATGTTTTATTTATTTTTAGTAATTTTCATAATTAAATAAATAAAAAAGTTGATCATAAAATATCATTTTTAAGATATTCATAATAAAGGTAAATTAATATAACTTTCAGAATAGTAATGATTATTTTGTCTTTGGCATCACTACCAATATTTTATATTTTATCTTTTTATAGCAGTTTGATTTGATTTTAATAAAATTTGACCGTTGTTGCAATTTGATTGATTGAATTGGGTTGTTTTAATCATTCAAAAATCAATTATTTTTAAATTGATATAAATTCATTTAAAAAATATGAGATAAAATGAGAGACTAATTGTATGTTAGAATGAATGATATATATTAATTAATTAAAGAGTATTTAACTTAGAGAAAATCAAATTTGAATTATGACAAAAGAATCAATGATATTTAAAGCATTTATTAAACTATATTTTGAAATTTAGGAGTGTTTTGATAATAGTTTAAGATACTGCTAATTTATTAATTTAATATTACCTTTCATTGAAATTTGTTAGATTTTACAATAAATAATCAAACAAAACTTTTATTTATTTTATAGTAATCAAACAATTTCATAATATTATTTTCTCTCTAAAAAGAACACTTCTTTATTTAAATCAAAGCAGTTTTTAAAATAGTGTGGTATAGAGAGAGTTTTAGACTAGGCACTCATAGGAAATCATATCAAACAGATATTATAGACCATATTTAATCTTAAATAAAAAGAAATTTACCAATAGCACTTTTTGATAAAATATTAAAGCGTAGCTCAGACTACATTATTAATTTTATTTTCTCTACTTTTTAAATCATATCATGAGCGAAAATCCTACTGCCAGGTTTGCTCCAAGCGCAACTTGCTATGAACTATATGAAAATTTTTAAATAGAGTTATAAGAATTAAAAAAACAGATAAGTACTAAAGATACTATTGAACAATTACCATAAGGCGAGACTTAAAAAATAGTAGAAAGCTCATCCAACATAGCAGGATATAAAAATATAAAGGAGCTTGTTCTTAGTAAAATTGATCTTGTTTCTGATATTATGGAAAATATGTTTACAAAATTAACTAACCTAATGAATGATGCTTCTAAAGATAAGGATGTGTACTCTCTCAAGTAAAAAGTAGAAGAGTAAAATGAAATTATTTTTTAGCTTAAGGAAGAAGGAGTTTAGATACGAACTCAGCTGGGACAACAAAAAGCAAGTCACAAGCTAAAGAAAAAATAATTAAAGAATCAAATAGCTTAATTAAATAGTGACTTAAATGAGTAAAGATCTTTGATTCAAAATTTTTAGGAGGAAGTATTAGGATTAGAAAAAAGGAAAGTCAATAGGTTAGAGAAATGGTTTGTTAGACTTCTTGAAAAAATAGAACTAGATCTTGTAGAGCAATAAAACCAAAAGTTAATTGCAGTTATTGAAAAGGTAAGAAATTCTCGTAAAAATAAACCATGGAAGCGCATTCTTTGTGAAAATATTTTAGGAAATCCCATGTAAAATAATTTACTTACTTGCAGAGGGATTAAAAGCAGTACTTATTCAAGTTAAATTAATAAAGGAGAGGAGCAATAAGCTCTGTAGTCAGATGTAATTGTAAGTAATTTAAATGATTAGGGAGTAATGTACTCTGATTTTGACGATGAAGATTTTAGTAATTTAGGGACTAATAATGCTCCATTTTCTGAATTAAAGCCTTAGTCATTCGACAAGAGCATAAATTAAGCATTTATATTTTCAGATGGTAGAAATTCTGATGCCTCAAATAAAATTATATCAAACGAAAATACCTCAAATCAATTAATCCCTAGCAATTTACCTTTTATTTTTAAAGAATCAGATTCTGCCACCACCAAGGAATAGATGGATAATCCTTAAAATAACTTTAACATTTTGAATTTAGCATAACTGGATTCTGAAAAGGTCAATAATTTCCTGAAACTCAATAAACTTGACTTATCAGTCTCGTAATTAGAATAAGAAGTACTAAATCTATTTTAAAAAACAGGTAATTTTATAAATAATTTAAAAATAATAATAATTCATTTAAATTAAAAAAATAGATAGAAGCACTACAAATACCCACCTCAATTTAAAAGATGTTTAGTTAGAGGATATTCTAAACGTTACTTAGCAAAATAACTCAATAAGCTTAGAATTGGATTTTAATAAAGAATGCAAGATGAACAATACAAGTAAATAAGCTAATAACAATAACAATAGTTTAGAAAGATTATTGAATAGTTTTTCAAATAGTCTTTCTAAGAAGCTTAGCCAAAAAATGAAGATTAAAGAGCTTAAAGATAACTTTCCACAAGAACTCTCTCCTATTTCTAGTGCTCAAGGCAAGAGCTAAAATAATTCAATAAATTTAAACTTTACAAGTGTAGAATAGCAACATGGATTTAAGAATAACATGATATTCAATTCTATTATCACTTCTGCATCAAATATACTACATGCTAACAACAACAATAATAATAATAATCTCAGCAACATAAATAATTCTAATATTTTGAATAATAATATGAGTATAATTTAAAGTAATAGTAATCTACTACTTAGTTTTATTAAAGGAGGAAATAAGTAAGAGAATCGCAAATTTTATAATAATACTATGAGTAATAATACTGATCTTTTTATCCTAAAAGAAATTGCTGATAGTGAAAGCAAGGAAGATGCCGATAAAGATATTCTATAAATGCTTAGTGCTAGCGTAAATACATTTAACACTACAAAAAATATACAAGAATTTGAGAAAAAGTTGGCTTAGAACGGTTAACCATGTTAGTAATAAGCCTCTGTTAATGCGCAGTAATAAATAAATATTAATCAATAAAGTTCAAAAAAATCAACAAATTTATAGAATAATAATAATAATAATAACAATAACAATAATAGCAGTCATTTATAACCTAAATGCACATATGAAAGTTTGCAATGCATTCTTCAAAACATTAAAATAGAAGATTAGTAGGAAAACTTTTAAGATTCAAGTTAAGATTTATCAAAAGAGGAGAATAGATTGAATTAAGCTATTTTTCAAACTGATAAAAGTGTAAGTTTGCAATCATCATTTAATTTAAATGATGAAAATATTTAATCAAATGTGAATTTAAAGTCTAATAACTAAGAAAATAATAAATTTGACAAAATCAGCAATGATAAAAATATATTCAACAGCAGCTTTATGATGAATTCTTCTCAAATAAATAATCAAACTTACTAGTAAGATAAAAAGAGCCAAGATTCATGTTCGATTTTAGCAGATTTGCAGTTTGAGTAGAGACAAAGTAAGTACAGCAATAGTTTTACAAATATTAATGACAGCAAGAATAGCAACAATAAAAATTTCCATAAAAAAAGTGTTTCTTAAAATATCCCAAAATTAGATCTCAGTGGAATAAGCATTTAAAATAACAATAATAATAATTACAATGCCACTAATATACATAGTAATATTAATTTTAACAATTCTATGATACTAAATGATTAAATTTCAGAATCTCCAATTCAAACAGAGAAAAATCAAACAACAAAAAATCTTAGATATGAAGAAGAGTAAACTGAAAGAAAAAATAATAAAGTTTAGTAGGAGTCAAGCTTGAAGGGGTAAAATGATTTGCAATAAAATTAATAAGATAGATTTGATATCAAAAGGAATAAAAATTAATTGCTATTGCATGACTCTCCTTCATCTTTTAATAGCTAGTTTGATTTCAAATGCGATGCAAATAATAGCTTTTTAACTGATAAATAAAATATTGAATAATAATAAATGAAAAATAACATGTTGATTAGTGATTTTAGTGACATAAATATTTCAAATTCAAAGATGCCATAATAAAAAGAACAAATATTAGAAAAGGATTAAGATGAAAAAATATTCCAAAAACAAAATCATTAAAATTTAGCTTTATTATAAATTAATTAAAATTGTAAAATCAGTTCTTAATAAAATCTACAATTTTACAAATAAGATTGCTTGTAATCAAATTAAAATGGTTTTGAGAAGTTTAATGGTAATGTTGCTCATAATCTGTAAGATGTAAAATTAAAGCAAAATCAAAGCAAATAAGGGTTATTTATTGACTCTTTTAATGAACTTTTTAACACATAAAACAATATTCATACTTAAGTTGAATCTCCAAAAGTAGCTTTTGATACTTTTAACAATTCTTTGGCTCCAAATCATGACGATTATAGTAATATTAAATAGGAGATAACAAACTACCCAACAATAGAAGATAACTAAATTAGTGATTAGAAACTAATTTACTCTGAAAATATTCTTGGTAATTTTTTAGATATTCAAAAAAGAAATTTATACTAGACAGACTATCAAGTTTAAGTGAAATCAAATACTCCTAAGAATATCAGTTAACCTGATAGTAGTTTCTTAAAAAATAATTAGACTACAGATAAGCCATTCATAGCTAATAAAAATGATGATTTATTCTTTAAATTAAAAACTTAAATTTAATCTGTCTAAAACGAAAATTAGTAGAATTTAGAGAGCTTAGCATAAAAATATACATAATTATCAAAGCCAAATAAATAGTAAGCCATATAAAATATTTAGAATAATTCAAATAAAATTCAAAGTAGTTATAACTCAGAATTGCAAGCAGGTAAAAATTAAGTGCAACAATAAATTGAAAGCAAATAGGTTCAAGACTTAATATTACAAAAAAATGTTTAAAGCTTATTTAGTAGGAAAAGAGTAATATCAGATCATGAAAAAGTAAAGAAAGACTTTGAATAAGTTTTAAATGAAAATACTACAAAATAAAAAAATATAGATCCTATCTTAAGCTTACAATAAAATGTAAAAAATAACAAACTACATTATTAACAAAATTCTTATTAGTAAAATACAAATAAGTAGAGTTGTGATAAATCTAAATAAGCAGACTAATAAGAATGTTATTTTATCGATAATAGAGATGTGATAGGAGTAAATTAGGACTTACATAGAGTCGAAATTGATGATATCTATTAAAACTCAAATAATAACACATTTTAATAAGATAAATAAGTATAATAGTAACAAGAATAGAGTTAAATGGTTTAGAATTGTGTAGATCACATACAAATTTAAAATGCTGAATAAAGGAAAAGAGCAACAACAACTGATGATGGTGCTTAAAATATTAAATTTTAAAATGATGATACCAATAAATTGAAGAAATAAATTGCTTATTTTACTTAAAAGAAAATGATTGAAAATGAATAGAAAATGAATAAAAGTTTACTTTAAGAGGAGAAAAAGGACAGTAACTCTAAAAAATATAATAACGATAACAATAATAGCAGTAAAGAATATTAAAATTATGAGCACTTTAAGCAAATTCAATAAGAAAATAACATTTAGCAAGAATTTAAGAAAAAAGAAAATGACTTTTATGTACCTCAGCAATATTATTTACCATAAAAATAGTAAAAAATTTTGTAAAATAAGTAATTAGGAATAAATAAATCAATGGAACATTGTGTAAATAATGGAGTAAAAATTAATAAATTTAAATAAGATAATTTAACTCCATCTAATAATAGCGGTTCGAATTATTTTTTGAGCACAAAATCACAATTAAATAGGATTGAGTAAAGCAAAAAACTACATATGAAATAGTTATCTAATAATTTCTAAGCAGGAAATGCTAACAATGTGAATAATTCTTTCACAGTTCCCTCCTAATATCAATAAATTAATTCATCATAAATTTAATACAAAGATAATGAAATGTATAATGTTATGAACAAAGTCTAAGGGATTAAGGAAGAATAAATGTATAGTTGTAATATTATACCATATCTAAGCGAATTCAACAATTAAAAGCAAATCTTTTAAAGCAAGAATAAGCACGGTATAATTGAAAATAATAACAGTAACAATAACTAAGAATTAAGAGTAAACCAAACTAACATTTCTTTTGAAGGTTCTAACAACTAAGATGCTATCAAAAAGATAACTGCAAATATAATTGAAAAGAAAAAGCCTATGAGAGCAACTCCTATAAACTAACCAATTATGGATTTATCTACAGTAAATAATCCACCTGAATTTTAAACTATAAAATGCCAACCATTATCAACTCCTAATGTTCCAATTCGACATACAAATTTCAACAATAAAACTAAAATAGTCCACATCAGATAAGTAGACAGTAATTTAAAAAATGATTAAAAAAAATTGTTAATTAACTAACAAAGCTCTCCAAAGAATATTTTCTCATATAATAATAAAGAGAATATTACTGACATGAATATATAAATTGATAAAATTGCTTTTGACCATTCGTATGTTGATTATAGCGTTAATTTATAAGGAATATCTCCCTCTTAGATTTAATGCAAGCCTTCATCTAACTCTGGTTAAAAAAGATGTATAAATGAAAATAATAATATCTCTTAAAATATCCTTTAAGACTAAACCAATACAATCCAAAATCTTAGTTAGCAATACAAAGTTGTTTCTAAAAAATAATAATAGTAGAATAATATAAATATATAACCTTTATAACAAAAAAATTAGCAAATTTCAGCTACTATGAGACATCCTTCTAGGAAAAAAAATCTATCTACATCAAATGCATCTGGTTTGATTAATTAACAACCGAACATAATGAAAAATTAATAGAACTATAGAACATTAAATCATCAATAACTTGAAGAATACGAGAAACTAATAAAATAAGAACTTAAATCTCAATTTGTAAAGCAATACCAAAATAATAAATGACCTGTAGGATCAAAAAGAATAAGAACAAAAATTAATAATAAATTATATTATAAATAAATAAAAAATATATAAATTATATATTATCAAGTTTATCTTACAATTTTAAAGATTTCAAATTGAATTAAATTAAATAAATAAATATAAACTAAATTTTTGTATCTACTACATTGATTACTTACCTATAAAATATATTATTATTTAAAAATATTAATAATTTTTTGCAATAAATTAAAATATTTCAAAAATAAATCTTTTATTCTGATTTGTTTAAAACTTCAAAAATTAGGGAAATAGTTTAATGAATAAATGCTTTTTAATAAGGTAATAAAAAATATTTAAAAAAAGAATTTTGAATAAATTCTAATATTTATTTTAAAAAGTTTAAAAATTAAAAATAAATATGTTCAAAATTAAAAAAATCTGTTGGATTTATGTTCAATATCTTAAATAAATTTCTTTCGATATTTAATACTTTTAAGTAAAAATAAAACGAAATTTATTAATCAATAAAAAGATAGCTAATAATAAAATGATAAAATTAACAAGCTACTTTTATTTAAGTGGGCATTTATATGAAATTTAAGATAAACTAATAAATGTTTTTGATTAAAAATGATATAAACATAATATAAATTTCATATATCTATACTGATATTTTAATGATATACCTATTCATGTAGTACTTTAAATTGAATTTTTATAAAACAAATTACAATAAATTGCTTTTCTCAATATTTAATAAATTATATCACAACATTTATATTGAATGAATTAATTACAGAATAAAAGTAACCAACATTCATCACATTTAACTTCTAAAAATAAATAAATATAAATAAATAAAGAATTTTGCTTAATAAAATAATTACTTTCAAACTTTTATTGGTAATTCATATACATTTTAAGCAATTTGATTGGCTTATTAATTCTTTTTTTATGGTTGTTTTTTACCAAATTTCTTTATTATTTCATAGATAAATGTGCTTTTGTAATCAAATTTAATCAGATATTAAATCTCAATAAGCAAGTAAAAACATCCGCATATTATTGAAATCACTCTTAGTGCTGGGAAAAAGTGAAATGAGTTAAATGATATTTCAAATGTGAACAAAAAAACGATATTTATTATTTTAAACGATGACAAAGGTTTGTTTAAGTACTTTTTGCCCATGACAAAGAAATCTTTCTCATAATTCATGCACATAAAAAATCCGCATATTACAAATCCTAGGATATTTTAAATATGGTATAGGATTATGTCTTTTTTTGTATTTTTTAAAGTGACTTCTTTTTCTTCTTCTATAGACATTTTGGAAACTATTTAAGGTTCATGCTAAATAAGTAAATTTTCATTATGTTAAACTTCTATTGGTTTTAAAAATTCTTAATTTTAGCTTTTTGGATCTTAGTTAATCTAATCATGAGATTTTTAAGTGTTTTTATTATAATTTTGATCATTTTATGTTGGTATTTCTGTTGGCTAATGAACTTATATGCTTGGCTACTAATCTTAATATTTAGATTGCTTTGGTGTTTCTAAGGAAGCTAATTGCTTTATTTTTTAAGTGTTTTATGAATCGTCATCAAATTTAATTACATAGTCATTATTTTCACCTTCTGTCGGTAGGTGTTCCTTAAATCCGTATCCAATCAATCCTTTATGGCTCATGTAATCCATATTAGAATTAATCTTGGATTAAAGAGCATCTCTACCACTATTCAAATGTGTATGGTTATTTTCGGTAATATTAAAGTCCGTATTTTAAATATGCTTATTCTAAGTAACGTTTTAGTCAAATTGTTCAATATGAATATCTTCAATTTAATTGATATTGTTGTTTAAAGATATTTTTTCTGCTGTATTTGCTTATGGAATATGTATGTTTTTAGTTAAATCACTAGCATTATGGGTCATCTATTGAGGAGTATGGGTTTCATATGTATCTTTGTCTTCTTACTTTTTAGATGATTACTAAAACTACTTATTAATTTACTATTTTGATTATTCTGGATTGTTGTTAATAGAAGAGATGTCTTAATTTTATACTTGAAATCTGTTCTATGGTTAACTATCCAAATTTTGATTCTTATTATCTATTCCTGCTTATTGTTTATTAATTTCTCCGTTTTTGATTAGAATTTCGTTATTCTTTTAGATATTTTATCTACCCTCTAGATTTTACTTTTAATTTATAACTTATATATCAGCTGGTTAAACTTAAGTGGAAGTATAAAGAACATAAATTATGATAAGTATTATAATGCAAGCAAACATATGAGCAACCAAAAAGCGTGGACGAGATATATTGCTTGTTAGGCACCAGAAGCCAATAAATGAAATTATGTAAAGTATGTTTTTTGTAAAAATTTAAACAAATTTAATATTGCTTTCCTAAACGTAGGTTGTAGTATTTGATATTGCAAGACAAATAAAGTGAACTACCATGGAAATAATTAAGATGGGATCAGAAGATCCCCAGTATATCATTCCATGAGATTGGAAAAATAGACAGGCAAAAGTAGAAAAATAAGAGTGAATATTTTGAGTTTAGTAACTAACAAAAGTTCTATGAGAAACGCAAGGTAAAAGTTGTCCTGATGTTTAGTTTTTAATTTGGTAATTTGATTTTAAAAATATAAAAATATCTAAGAATAGAGCCCTAAATATTATATGCTAAGTCAAATTCAAGTTAGATTAGATATTTTTTTGGATTTCATATACTCTTATCACTAGTAAATAATAAACAACTTAGGCTATTCTCTCTACTATTATTGCAACAAGTACTAAAACAAGGTGAGTGATTAATTTTTTGCTTCCTAAGCTTCCCATCGCTATAATGTCCATAACTAAATCGGCTAAGCTAATTATATACAAACTCAATTCTATGATCTTTTACCTTTATTAAATCATCATCTTCGTTAACAATCAGTAAATCTATTGATTTTCTTCTATTCCTTAATTTTTTATATGAGAGATATTTAAAAGATGAACTCTATTGGTGATTTTTCTACCCTATTAATTCCTAAACAAAATCTATTTATAATTAATTATTATTTTTTAATATTTAATTCAAAATATATTAATTACTTGTCAATTAATGCTTAAACTTTATATTTTTAATTGCTCGCTAATAACTAATTCCTTACCTTAATATTATAGTAACAGATCTTAATAAATAGTTTTTTCTAAACAAATAATTATTTGATTGCTGAACGAAAGCTAATACAACTATCTTTCCATAAAATTATATTTAAATACATTATAAACTTGGCTTAAATTTATTTATTAAGATCAATAAATAAGAATCAGCCTCTAATGATCAAGTTATTACCATTTTCAATTAATAGGTTAAGTTAAATATTTTTTTTTAAAACTTATAAAATATGAACTATTTTTATAATTATCTCCTTTTATTTCTTTTTAAATTTTATTGTAAATTTGTTATTCAAGTATTTAACAAAAATAGTAAAAAAAAGAGAAATAATTTTGAATTATTCTTATATAAATGTTTTGAAATCTGGATGATAAAGATATATTCATAGAAAAAATCAAAGTAATTTATTATTTAAGACTTACTTTAAGATGAAATAGTTAGTCCTCATATTTGTTTTATTTATTTATATTTAATTTAGTAATTTTAGTACATTAAAATAAATAAGTAAATGGTAAAAATCTTTAAATATATTTTAAAGTATTTTAGTTACTCTTTTACTAAAAATAAAGGAAAATATCAATACATCTGAAGAGTAAGGGTTTTTTACATTTTTTAATTTTACATTTACAAATTTAAAGTAAATTATTAAAAATTAAATATTTTATTTATGTAAAATTAGAAATAGATTGCCTAGATTATTTAGAATAAATTTAATTATTTTTTATTTTAATTTAGATTTAAATTAAAATAATTTACTTCTTATATAGTAGATAGATAGTTCTGTTTTTTCTAATTTTATAAAAATAATTTTCTTTAAATTATTTCTATGAAAATTACTTACATAATCGTCAAAGTATTCTTTTTGGTTGTATCTATTTTCATTTGATATAGATTGCAAATCTTTCTACTATTAATTATTTATCTTGATTAAATAGCATTGAAATTAATTCTTTAATATTTATATTTGATAAACAAAATGCACTATTTATTTATTGATATTTCAAGAGAATGCAAAGCAGGGAAGGAAATTAATATTCATGACCCATTTTTTGAGTCAATAGTTGGAGTAAATTAAATAGAAGATAGCAATAATGATGAGAAGAATAATATAAATGTAGAATAAGAAATAATTGATTTTTAAAATAGTTAAAATGGCTAATAAAAAATAGTTAAAACCTAATTAGGCAGTGATACTAAAAAGAAATTTTTGAAGGACTACGATTTAAAAGTAATGAAAACAGAAGTTTTTTTATTCAAGGATATTTCGATAATGTAAAATAAGCAAGTCTAGGAAACATTAAAAAGGCATATTGTTTATATTTTTGCACTACCAAGTGATTTCAATCATGAGGGATTTTTAGCAAAAGCATTAGAGAATTAATATGAACATGTGCAAAATATAAGAATCTTGTAAGAATTTAATGGGGAAAAGTAGAAAAAAAAATCAATAGTATTATATTTTAATGATAAAGAATCAGCTGAATCATTTACAGCTGAATATAATTGTTACACTATAAATGAAAAAAATGAAGAATATATGCTAATTGTTTCTCTATAATTTATAACATATTTTACTTAGACTGAATAATTATAATATGCAATGGAAGAGTAGCAAAAAGCCAATTTAATTGAATTACCTAACTGCCCTTTATGTATTGAAAAGTTAGAAAGCTCAGTTTCTGGTTTTACCCTTTCTATTGCTTTAAATTTATTTATATATGATGTGCCTAGTAGATGGAGTGAAGCTAAAAATGCTTGCAATACATGTATGGAAAGAGATACTTTATAAGTAATGTTAATAGACTTATTTATTTTTAAACAATGTTTAGTTGGTAACAATTTTAATATCTACCATACTAGTTTATTAAATATTGACAATTATTTCAATAGATGCTTTATTTAAATAAGTAGACCATTTATATTTCTTAAAATAGATAGATAGATAGCTATTATCAAATTTTAGTTAGGATTTTCAACTTAAGAAAATAGAAAAAAAAATGAATAAAAATAAATTTTTAATCTATTTCAAATTTAATAATTTCATAAACATGTTTTTAAATTATTTAAAAAGTGCCATTAGTGCAGTGAGTCTGATTTGGAAGGGCTTTGGTTATGCTTGATATGTGGAAATATAGGCTGTGGAAGGTATAAGAAAGGACATGCAAAAGATCATTGGTATTAAAGTGGTCACTGCTTGAGCATGGAAGTAGAGAGTGAGAGAATCTGGGACTATTTTGATGATAAGTTTGTTCATCGAATTATGAAAGGTGAAAATAGAAAAACAATAATTATGAATAATTTTGAAAAGCAGATGCCTCTTCAAGAAAGCCTAAGCAGACAAGCAAATAATTAAGATTAGCAAATAGGTAATGAATAGGAAATTATTTTAGCGAGAGAAGTCACATCTTCAAGAAATTAGCAGCTATTGAGAAACAATAATCATATGATGTTATGGGATCAATGGAATGGGATGAAAGAAGCAGAAATGTAAGAAAACAACTAAGAAAAATTTATTTCTGATAGGGTTGATAACGCCATATGGGAGTATTGCTATGTAATTAGTCATTAAATGGAGGAATAGAGAAAATTTTTTGAAAAAAAATTGGAGGATGTCACAAGAAAGAGCGAAGATGTATAGAAGGAAAAAGAGTCTGAAATATTAGAATTAGAAAATGATATGAAAATATTAAAAGAAAAAAGAGACAAGATTAAAAAGTTAAGAGAAGCAAATGCAAAGAAGCAAAAAACTATTTCAGATAAAAACAAGGAGATGGAATCTGATATTGAGAAGCTAGAACTTTTCATAAAGGGCATATAAAATAACATATAGCATTTTGAATAAAAGCAGCACCAGTTATCACAGCAATCCTCAAATATTTAAAGTGCTCAAGATACATAAATGATAGGAGATGGATAAAAGCTCAATAATAAATTCTCGTCTGCTCTTGAGCAAGAAATATTATAAGAAAGTTAAAAATTATAACTATTAGAGTAGTAATTGGCTAGCCTATACGAAAAGCTTTAAGCAGATTGAGCAAAAATACATAAATTATTTATCTTCAAATAATATTTGAGAATGTTAATAAAGCAGAAAATAAACAAACATAATAACGAATCAATAGGAACCAATCATCAATCAAATCCCAAACTATATGAACTTAATCAATAAATTTAGCTTTAAAAATTGGTAGAAATTCTAAAAAGTATTATTTTTTCTTAAAAAATATCATGATAATAACTAAATTTACTTAAAATATAACTATTTATTTTAGAAAGAATTTATAATATAAATTAAAATAATAATTCTCTTCTACTCATTCACTTAAACATAAATTAATTTTCGTTTGTTTTATTTATTTATTTTAAATCATTTCTGCTCAATTTTTGATACTAAAAATAGATGTTTATTTAATTCATTTAATGTACATAATGACACTCTAAAACATTTACTTAATAGCAACCTAAAAAAAATATGAAATAGATAAATAGATAGATATTTAGAGCTAGCTTTTTAGTATAAAATATATAAAAAAACTTTTCTGATAACTATTTATTTAATCTGACATTCTTGAAAAAAATTAAAATTAATTCTTTCAATCAAAAAAAAAATTTAATGGGCATTGTGTAATTAAATTTTAGTCAGATGTGATAATTTTAATGTATATTTTATTAAATTATCACTAAAATATATTATTATGTCTAATTAGAATGAAAGTTTATCAGTATTTAAAGACTCTTTTAACAAATCGACTTTTTTTTTGATAAGGATATTTACCACTTTTTTGTCTATTTTAACCAAATTAACTTTTTTTTTTAAATGAGTCTAATTTAAATAGATAAATTTTTAATATTTGTATTTATTTGATATATCTGTTTGAGCATATTTTTTAATGGCTTTTAGCTTTAGTTGAATAAGCTTTGATCTTTCTGGAATTGTTAAGTATTTGTGAAATTAAAAGGTTGTCAATAAAGGGCTATTTTATTAATTAATTGGTTCTTTGAGCATTTTTGATGAATGAAACATATTAATTTATAAGCATACGATGGCGATAATGAATTTTGGTGAATAGCAGAATTGAAAGTGATACAATTTGTTAATAAATTATAAAAATTCTTTTGATAAATAGAAGAAATTGTTATATATTATTATTATCTTAATTATAAGATTAATTATTAAAAGAAATAGAGTATCTCAATGAATTCCGGTACTGTCAATTAAATAACAAAGGAAATCAATATAAAAGATTAATGAGTCTATCAAAAAATGCAAAAATCAAAAAAATTTGAGAAGTATTAATTTGATTTAAACAAAAAAATATAATCAAAAATTAATCAAGAAAACTTGCTAAGCTCAAAAAAAAGTATTTGTAAAAAAACAAACCCTATTTTAATTAATTTTAAAAGACTATAAGACAAGATTTTAAAGGCTCCCTTAATAAATCCTCGCAACCACTTCAAAAAACTCATTAAAATTAAAATTAAAAAACTCCAAACCTAGAAAAAAAACTTGTGAGACTTCTGCTCTCCTTAAAAGCTAAATCCCCACCCCTATATTGAAAAAAAAATTAATAAAAATGGAAGATTAAGAAAGTTAAACCTAGTATGTAGGTCCCTAATCCTATTTGGGTAATAATTAAAATTAAATAAATAAAACAATTATAAAGAATGGAACAAAATGCTGTTTCCGTATTTTTCGCACAAATATATTTGCGATTAGACCTCATATGAGATTGAATATATTAAATTTTTTATGTTTAAAAAATAAAATAGATATTTTGTCTGTTGGGACCAACGTCAGTATCAAAAAGAATAAGCAGACCCTCTTGAGAATGTATGAAAGAATTCACAGTAATCACGAATCATACAAAAAGACTGAAGCTAATAGCGAAAATGTCAACGAAGTTAAGATCCTCATACGTGGAATCGTTGAAATTATTGAAGGCTCAAATCAATTTGACTGCGCTGAGTTAATGAGAATATGCATTTTCATGTCAAATATGATTCTTTGTGTAGATTCCAATTACAGGGATGATTTCATTGCAAACTCAAAAAATATATTTTAAATTCTTGGTTAATATTTCGTACAATTAAGTGATATCTCTTCAAGCTCCTCTGAAAACTGTGCTAATGCAAACTCACAAAATCACGAATACCAAACTCTCGTTTTCATCTACAAGCTTTTGATGGCTACCCGTCATCCTAGCGAAACCGTTTGTGCTCCTAAGAAAGGCAGTGCTGCTTCTTAGAATCCTGCAGATGTCCTTAAAGAAAAGGACTCAATTATCACCATGCGTGAAAAGCTGATCTCTAAGGATTTCATGAAAAAGATTTTGGAAATCGATGTTGAAGACTTTGCTCCTAGTGAGAATTTAGTTGCTGAGATGTGGAAGATGTTACTTGCTTTCTATACTCTTTTTGCAAAGAGTAAGGATAAAATTGCCCAATTTGGACTTATTAGAAATGCTAAGGATAAATTCTTAGAAGCAATATTCCGTCTGCATGAATTGTCAAAGAGCGACACTACAACACTTCTTTAGGCTGTTGGATGTTTAAATTATACCCTGGATAAGATCAAATTATCCTTAAAAGAGATTCAAAAATACAATTTAGTTCCTGTGCTTTGTGATCTCCTTGAGAATCCTCGCACAATTACTTCATAACTTCATATTATTTTGAAGATGTTTTTGAATCTTTCTAAATAAAACTTGCTCTCTAAAAACTCCTACTAAACCATGTGTTTAGGTAAGGCCTTTAAAGTGTTTGAGCGCGCTCCTGCACATGCAGCAGAATTAATTGCTGATATTTATAAGAAAGATCCCGTTTCTCTTAAGGACATAACTCTTTAATCCGCCACTGCTCTTTTAAGAGGTACTAATCAATACTAACAATTATTTCAATAACTCCGTCTTCAGTAGCTTCAACAACAACAGCTTCAATTTTAACAACAACAACAACAATTGCAATAACCCTATTCTAACATTTAATTCAATTTTCCATGCTCATAGCAATAATCCAGATAACAAATTTTCCTAAATTAATCCTCAAATTTCAATTTAAATGCTTAATCAAGTAACCTTCTTAACCAGTATGCATCTTTAAGCAATGCTGGGACTTCTTACTCTAATGCTAGCTATTTTAATCAATCACCTACTTCACTCTACTCTTCACCTTCTTCCTCTCCCATTCACTAATCCTAAGGAGAATCATCTCAATAGCAAACTGTATTTCACCCATAGTTAGCATCTAAGAACTATGCCTAATATGCTAACTCTACTAATCTACTTTTACTCTAAAGTATGCAAGCAATGAATAACTGCAAGCAATCCTAGCTTTGATAAATACAGAGATTCTCTTTATCTCTCATCAAAAATCATATATAATATAAATAATAAATTCAATTTACCATTATTAAATATATCATTCAATCTCTATGCATTTAACCTTCAGATTTGGTTTTCATGAAGTTATAGGTAAAAAATTTACTGCTACTTTTAATAAATAAATAAGTAGTTAGTTAATTTGTCGTTTAAAATAAAAAATCCTATTAGAGTATTTATGTATGATTGATTGATTGATTCTTATATTATTATGGGAAGGAGAAAGTTATGATTAAAGATTGATTAAGAAGGAAAAAATATGATAATATTGAAATTAAGAGGTATTTATTCTCGAGCTTGAACGAGCTTTGGATTAGATCATTAGATGAGGTTATTGTATAATTTGGAGGCTTATTTTAAAAATTCATTCCAATTTATTCTCAAAAACTTAACAAATATGTTGATGGTAATGGTAGTATCGTTCGTTCATTCACACGTTTATTTTCATTTTTGATTCATTTACACATCATTAACTGCATGCAAATAAACAAATAAATAAATATGTATGCAAAATATTTTAGAATGAAAAAGGGATAAGTAAACTAACATAAGAAGAGAGTTAAGCATTCTTTCATCTTTATTACTGATAAAAAAGTAAAATGATGGGATATTTTCAACCACCATCAGCATATTATTGATTAACTACCTCTTCGAACACTCTATAATTTCTTCATCAATAACACCCCCCTATATCAATCTCCACTAAACAAATATCTTTCCATAGAAATCCCCAATAATAAACAAGCAAATCAATCAATTAATTGATTCTTTCTTTCTCTCGAACTATTCTTTTCATCATCTTCTTTTTCTGAAAACGCAATAAATGTATCTAACAAGCATATCTCAGATTTAAAGAAGCCATAAATGATTATTCATTGAATTATTAATTAACTACAAAGAATAGAAGTGTGACAGAGTGAAACAAATAAATATTTATGAGAAATCATGCTCATATAAATTCATAGAAAAACATATAACACCATATTTTATATATATAATTAGAGCAAATTTTATTATTATAATGCTATTAATCCCCTTATAATTTTTATGATTGTATTTCTTTATATTTGCATTATTATTTACTAGAATTTTAGTTTCTACAATTTCTTATAAAAGCTAGATACTATCCCTCAACTTTGTTTACACTTTCGATCAATTTTTTGTAGTTATTTCACAAAAACTCACCATTTTTACCTTCAATTTTTCTATTTTAGAGAGAAAATAAATAGTTTTGAATTCTTAAATATTTGTTAAAGTGGATATTAAAAAATTAGATCAAAGAAATTTCTCCTCAACTAAAATAAATAATTTTTTCTGATCATATTTTTCAATGAGGCTGGGACCAGGTTTGCGATAAACTGACTAGGTTTCAACTCATTTAAAAAATTAAATATTTTTTATTCCTCCTCGCTCTATTTAAGCTGAATTCAAAAATAATTTTAAAAGTAAACGTGATATTCTAACGAGATATTAAAAATAACAAATGAGTGAAAAGGTATAGATTAACAAAAAAAACAAGAAAGAATCAAATATTAATCAAAAACCCTCAAGAAAAAGTTCAAATTTTATATTTCACTCATGCAAAATCAATAATTTTTCTTAACCATTCATGAAAGAATTAATTATAAGGTTTTAAAAGAAAAAAATTATTAAATCGTCAGCAAATCGATTAATTATGAAAATAAATTCTTCACTCATGCTCAGTCTTCGATATATTATATAAATCAACCTATTTCTATTTTTATTTCTTCTTTTTGATAATTTTGATAATATATACAACAGCATCTAATAACTTAATAGACAACATATAATCTAATTCAAATTTTCAATCCCTTTTTAAAAATCCATATCACAGCGAAGCAAAGAATTTTTTATGATACTACCAATATAATCAGCGCATTTATTTTTAACAGAAATAATTATTTCTTTATTTACTTGATAAAAAATGATAATAAAAAATTTTAATTTTATCATAAAACTCGTATTTTTAACATGTTAAATATTTTTCTCTACATTTATAATAAATTGGATTTTATTTTTGTTGAGTCTCTCAAATATAGCAAAAAAATAAAATTTCTTAAACTTTTTGTCATAATAATTTAAGACTAGTTTTATTAATTTAGATTTTTGATAATTTTTGTTATTTAATTAATTTTCTATTTAAACTAATTTAATTAAAATAATATTTTTTATTAATTAAAAACTAATTCTTTTTAAATTAGGATTAACTTAAAAATGGAATTACTGTCAAATACTTAAAAGATCCTAATAAGTTCATTTGCTTTCTCATATGAACCCTTAATATATTTAAGTAAAGAGAATGCTATTTGAAATTGAAGGACAATTTAAATGTTTGATCCCTCTTATCTCCTAAATGATCAATTTAGATGTGCTTAAGAGTCTCATTCCATGTGGTGATGCTATCCTTTACTAATTGCTCAATTCTGTGAAAGCAGGATCTTCTCCCTCTTCATCTGATTTTGACCTTTCCTAGAGCTCCTCCCTTTCTTCACATTAATGTGATAACAGTGACCTCAGTGCCCTTCAAAACTTAACCAAAATAGAAGCTGAAGATTTGCCAGAGTAGAACTCAACCTAATTATAGGAATGCTAATGAAATGAAGAAAACCATTTTACAAAAATATAAAATAATTATATTAAATTTATTTTTGTATTGAATTATTAACAGAATTTACATATATTTTCTTAAAATCATTATTAATATGCTAAAAAATAGTAAAATTATGAATAATAATTATTCCTTATTTAACAAAATATAATTTTATTTTATTAAAATTTATCCTATTTTTAATAAAAATTATACATTAATTTTATCAAATTCATTTTTTTATTTTATTTTAGTCATTAGCAAAAAATATTTTAATTTGTTATAAAAGATATTTATTGAATATTATTCATTTAAATTATTGTTTTGAATAATTAAATCGTTTGTTTTAGAAATATTTTAATAAAATAAAATTTTTATCACTTGAAGACTTATTTAATTTTTAAAGTTTATTTTCATTCTAATCTTTTTCATGGGAGTAGAGGTACACTCGTGGAATTTTTGATTTTTGTGCTTCATATGGTACTCGATTTAAAAATCGAAAACCATGATTCCTCGATTTTCATAAAAGAGTGCATAATGTAATGAGGAATTCATTGTAAAAAAAATTTTTGAATTTTTATAAAATTAACAATTAAGTATAGAAAAATGCATTCATAAATATCATCTAATTATATTTAGATATTTCAATATATTCTGCCTATTATTTTATTGAATTAACTAATTTTCTTCAATGGAATTTTTGACCTTAATATTTCTAATTTAATTATTTAATTATTTTGAAAGTAATATGTTCTATCACAACTATTTATAATTAATACTGACTCTAATTTATCAAATATTTTTGATATAAATAATAATTTATTATTTTTAATTTAATAATATTTATTTTCTAAAAAATTTTTATTTAGTTGTTTTCTTATAAAATAAGATAAATTTACAAAGGAGAACAGTTTGTAATTTAACATATAGTAATTTGATCATCGTTTATGAGATGAGGTATAAAATTATTTAAAATTTTAAGAGTAAATAATATTTATCATTCAATAAATTTATATAATACAAGCTTAATTATTGCATTAAAATAAAGATAAATTATTAATGCACAATTATAAGTAAATTCAAAATTATATATTTTTTATTTTATTTTATCTTAATCTATTTTTTTGCATTTGATTGGGTTTATTTATTTTTTAATTGAGTTCTAATTTATAAAGCGATTAATCAGACTTAAAGAGATTAAAGCACATCTTAAAATTATTTTTTTCCTTAAAAAGGATCTCCAACTTAAATCAATTTATCAAGCAAAAAATCAAGTTACTCCTAAAGTTGATCCTTTTTACCTTGACATTCTGTGTTTCTTCTAGGTACTTGAGAAATTTCTTCTGACTCTTAAATTACTTCTTAATTTATTGTATTTGATTTGTCTCTATAATCTTTTAATAAATAAATTATTTTATTAAAGTACTAAGAATCTTAGAATACATAACTAAAAATAAAAATACTAATTTTTACTTGTTTGTATTAAGTTTACATCACTCTTATTTTAAGCTAAAAGAGTTAAATCTTCACTATATTTTTTAGGTGGAGCCTGTTATCTTGCTTAAGGGAAATAAGGAGGAGAATATGAATTCCGTGGGCTAAAATTAGATTCAGAAGAAAAGTCAATGTCAAATATGGATTAGTTTGTAACATTAGATTACTTAAGCTATTCTTTTTAATTTTCAACTTTTTTCACCTAAGTCTACGGTTTATTAACTTCGCTAGCCTAGGCAACTACAAAAGATTAATCAGAGCTATCTACATGAGAATAGATAGAGAATTAGGAAAATTAGTTTACAAGCTACAAATTTCCTTACTTAAGATTGTTTGTAGTAAAATGAGCAGATTCCTAACTCATTTTACCTAAATCATCTTATTCTACTAAATATTTAACTTAAATTTCAAATACATGATGAAGTAGATATATTCTTTTGGAGAAAACTTCAAGCTTCAAAGGAACCTTTTAAAAATTTAAATCAAACTCGTTAACTGTTCCTTTAGTGAAATGAACTCTTCTGCTGGTTTTCAAAAATTATCTGCACTTGAAAACAGGTGTGTTAGTTAGTAAAATTAATAAACTCCTAGTTAAAATGCTTAAATTCATTAAAAATTACTAAGGATTCATTACTCTTTAAATTGAATTAGAAGATTCCTCTTCATTGTTCAGGTGACGAAATAAAAATTTCCATTCTTCTAGTTTATGGCTTTCTGATTGTTGTCCTGCTCCCTAAAACATTGCCCCTTAAGAGTTAGGATTTTACTGGAAAATTTAATTTTAAGTATTAGATACCTATTAGCTAGCTATTTGAAGTTTATTTTAACCAAATATTTCAATTGTAAGCTCTTTTTATTCTGGAGTAGTCCAATTTTAAAAATTTTATGCATGCTTTCGTATAAACCCAAAGAAAGTTTGATTAATTAACTAAAATTACTCATCATACAAATTATTATTGTTGCTATTGTTATTATTATTAGATGGGTTCATATACTTTTAATAGTTTTGCTCTTATGCCACTGCACCTTATCCATATTAATTTTGGTATGTATGCTTGTCGAAATCCCTAAACTATAAAATTAATTCTGTAGATTTTTATATAAACTTAAAGGTTTCTTCATTTATAACTTCTATGTATGACATTTTCTAAAATTTTACAAATTGTAGAGTTAAGCTATAACTAAATTAAAGATTGTTCTATTTTTGATTATTAGCAATTATTTTTAAAAAATATCAAATCAAAAATTATTAATCTGATTTTACTTCAAAATTAATCGCTTAATTGTTATACGTCAATCAACATATAAAGAATACTGATACGAGTATGTAGGTAGGTATATCAGAAATTGATAACTTTCTTATTAATGCAAAATATTATAAATAAAATTTGTTTATAAATTAGTAGTAATTTTAAAAATTAAAGTAAATGAAACACAAAAATATTATTTTTAAAATATTATGCTTTATAAGAATGATTTTTAATAATATTTATTGATTTATTTTATTAATGCTATTTTTTAATTTTGAAATTTAAGATTAGAACTAAAATAATTTTATTTTTCATTTTTCTGCCTTTTAGATAGCTGATTTTAAATTTCTGATTTCAACTTCTAGCTGATTTAGTTCTTTTTCATATCCTGCTTTTCTATATTTGTAGAGAAAAAATGAATTTATTTAAACAAATATTGAAAATAAATACTTCTCTTTTTCTATTAGAGTATCAAACTTAGTTTTGTGTGCCATTTTAGAATACTTATTATATACTTCTGTCCATTAATTTTTTAATTTTTCTCTTCTTTTTATTAAGTCTTCTTTATTAGGTTAGTTTGATCTATGAAAATTTAAAAAAATGAAATCCTTTAAAATATTTTTTGAGAAAACAAAATAAAATAAATAAAAAACATTATTTAAAAATTAAAATATTTTATGCTATTAAGTATCAAAATTTATTAAATAAATAAATACTTTGTGGATTCTGCTTCTCCTCTTAATAATCTCATATTTTTTTAATATACTCTATACTCTTTTTCAATATCATTTTTTACAGTTTCAAGATATTTTGGAACTTTTCCATAATCCTTTTATTTTTAATCAATTAATGGCTAAATCTTTCTGATTGGTACTTCCATCATAGCTATATCGATTGCATTTGAAATAACGAAATTTTTTCTTTTTTCATTTTCTTTATCTTAGTTTGTATCTTCACCTTAAACGAATTTTGGAACTGAATCTTTAAATGGTCCTCCTTTTTTTATTCTAAATACATCTGAAATAAATTATCTTACTATATTTCATTGCATAAAAAGTAAAAGCTACCATTTGGGCCTTATTATGTTTCTCCTCTTTTCTAAAAATGCTTTGGATCCAATTTACTTTCTCCTGATATATAAATATTATATTTTAAAAATGTAAAAAAAATAAATATTTATAAATAAATACCTTTTGGTTTACCAAATGTTTAGGTCTAAAATTTATATTCATGCCCTCCTTTAAATACTTTATATTCGCCTGCAAGATTCGCAACCTGGCTTAGATTTATATAATATTTTAAAATCTAGTATTTTCAAATTGCCAATTAATTACTCCAGGTCTAGTTGTGTTTTTATTTATAAAAGTTGATCCTGTAGGAGCTATGTTATGAGGATACTTAGACCTATATAAACCTTCTTGCTATTTTTATTTCTTTTTACCGAGTATATTATAAATACACTCTGATTCTGCGTAAGTACTACTCATTCTAATATTAGCTTTTAAATTAAATTTATAAAAATATTCAGTTAATATTTTGAGACAAACAGCAATAATAGTTATTTATTTTTTCACAAATCAAACAACTTTTTAACTATTCTTTAAATAAATTTTGAGGATAAGCAAAAAAAACCAACGTAAAGGTTACATTTTTATTTATTTTTAGATGTAAAAAATAATCATTTTAAATTTCTTAAAAATTAAGAAAAAATTTCAATTTAAAAGATTTTATTCTGAATATGAATATTTGCTTTAAAAAATCAAGATTAAATAAATAGATGGCAGCCAGCAAAAAAAAATACTTGATTTATAGTTTTTAATTTAGCAATATTATTTTACTTACCAAAATTCAATGAATTATTATATTTTATGTAAAATTTAGATGACTTAAATTAGTCAAGCTAAATAATTGGCTTATTTTAATTATGGTTTAAACAATAAAAACTATTTTTCATAAATTTATAAATTATTATTTTACATAATAAATCCTTTAATTAAGATATTAAATTTTTTTTTATATTTGTTTTTAAATAAAAAAATTTCTTGAAATTAAAGACATTAGATTTCTTAATAGTTTTTGAATAAAAGTTTTAATTATATTTTTTAAATTATAATTTATATACATAATTGATCATTTATATTCGTAGTTAGGCATTTCTTAACTAATCTAACTTGAGAGCTTTTAAATGATTTAATCTAATAAATGGCAATGAGTGAAAAAAAATTACTAAATTTAGCTGTATATTTTAATTATATGCTCTTAATCCTTTTTAAATATAACTTTATTTTTTTGGTTATAAGATTTAGTTATATTTGCCTAGTTTTGTCTTGAAAAAATTGATTATTTTCTATTTTCTTCTTCTGCTTTTACTTTCTATGAATTGCTAAGTTAACTTGATGGACTTATGATAATTTTAGGAGTGTTGTTAGTTTTTTCTTTGTTTGCATCTTAGTTATGATTGTTGCCTTTATCTATTTTGTTGCTATTTGAGAGATTTTCTGCTCCTTTATTAGATAATTAGGTTTGAAATGTTTTATGAATGTCTAACTTTTTCTTTTACTTATCAGATTTTTTATCAATAAATTTTCTTTTCTATTTGTTGCAAATAAAACAAATATATGATTAATTTTAGTTGTAGGAATTCTAATTTGCTTTTTGGCTTTAATAAGCTTATTATGTTTGAATATTTTATACAGGATAAATAAAAGAGCAATATTATTCTATTTAGTATTGGGTCATATCTTCTAAACAATACTATTAACCTCCCATAAATTGAATCATATCTGAGAGTTTACCAGAAATTCTTTTATCTACGTCATTTTCTATTTCTGAGAACAAAGATTTTATAAAATATATTTGATTTTACTTATCTAGTGATTTGCTAAGGGCAGACCAAGGGCCATATTCACTTGGAAGAGCGCATACTTCTATATCTAATGTATTTTATGGTATTTATAAGTGATTTTCAGTCTTTGAGTCTATACTTTCAGGCTCTTTATTTAACATAAAATATTTTTTATTGTTGCTTGAGTATAATATGAATTTAAAATGGTTTATCCTGTGATCTTCATCATACTCACCAAATATTAATTAGTTTATTGATTATTCAATTATAAACAGCTTTTAAATAGCAAATTTTATATCAAAGTGATTAAAATTAGAGAGTAGATGAAGTAAAAAAGAGAAGATACCATTAAGCCTTATAAAAGTATAATCACAAATTTCTTTTCTCATATTAAGAGATTTTTCTACATTACTTTGGTGTTCAAAAGCAGTATATGACGGATATTAACTTTCAGCATCACCAAATTCACTAATAGAAATAAAATTAAGATTTTCATCCTAATTATTATGCTTGGAATCGTTGTTATTTCTATAACTGTTAAGATTTTTATCATTTTTGTTTTAAACATCAGCCGTATAATAATTTTAAAACATTTTTCTAAAGCGATTTTTATTTTTTTTTAAGCTGCCCTTTTCTTGACTTCTTTAACTAGGAATATTTACTTTATTCAGAAATGATTTGATATCATCTGAATATCCTAGCAGCTATTCGATAGTTTCTAGGTATTCTTATCTATTTCCGTAATTTATGTTAAGAGGATTATCTTTCAAATATGTTCTTCTTTATAGTGCAAACTACTTTGATAAGCTAAAAACATTAATGCTTTGGTGCTTATCAATTATTCTTTATCTCCTTAATTCAGCAACTTACAAGCCATATTGATCATAGAGTTGAAGATATTTTTCAAGCTAATCTAGCTAAGCATTAATATCTACTAAAGTGTTGACTAACTAAGATCTTTTTCTATAATATTTATCAAAATCTGAATCAGGCTTTTTAAATTAAAATTCAACCACATAATCTTTATCAGCACAAACGTTTGAACTTTCAGATCTTCTAAATGAACCAAGCATTTTTTTATTTAGGATAGAAGGTATCTAATAATTTATCCTTGAAAGTGTTAAAAACTAATCTCCATTTTGATTTTTTATGATTTATATATTATTATTGTTGTTGTTATTACCATTATTTATAGTTTTGTCACTATTAGCTTTACTTTCTGCAGATAAAGGTGCATTAATTTTTTTAGAATCTTTTTAATTATCAAAACTTACTAAAATATTATTGTCATTTATTAGTAGGTGAGATTTATAGTTTTTAATTGGTGTTTAGAAGTTGCTTTTTGTTTGAATTAAAGGCTTTAATTAAGGAGAATTTTAGGAAGTGCTGTTTAAAGAGAGTAAGTTATTTTTATTAAGTTTGTATGAAGATTCAGTCATCTTTTCATCGAACACATTTTCTATATTTTGAGGAGGATATTCATTTTAATTTTAATCTTTTTTTTGGATTAACAAAATTGATGAATTTTATGAATCTTAGAATGTATTTATTCTGACTATAAACCTTCCTTCTTCTGAAGAAAGCATTTTTTTTTGAATGACATCTTCATTATCACCAGTTTCTTCTGCAGGGGTTTCCTCTAAATCTTTAGCAGTTTATTCATTAGTATTTTCTTTTGAAAAATGAACATTATTTTTAAATGAAAAATTAAATTTTTATTTTTTAGATTCTTAAACACTGCTACTGTTTTTATTTGTCAAGCTTGGAATTTCACTAGAATTATTACTTTCTTTCTCTTATTCTTCAGTATTTTCCTCTAACACATTGTCATCCTTATCTTTATTTCCTATATCAAATTAATTTTTAATTATTTCATTAATATGCAAGTTATGATAATTTGATAGCTTAGGATGTTTTTATTCCTAGTTTGATAATAAACTATTTTTTTCAATGTTAATATTAGAATTTTTTTCTTCTTCACCAAAGTTTAAAACAACAGGTTCTGTAACTAAAACTTCATTTTAATTATCTTTATCTTAAGAAATTGGATCTTTATCTGCTACACATTTTTCATTTTAATCAGCCTTTCTCTATCCAAAATGCAGATTCGTATGGCGAAAAGAGTTCACTCTACCAAATTGAATATCCTCTTAAATAAGCGCTTCTTAATTTATTTAATGATTTTTGGCATTTAATTCTTCTGTTTGTTTATGACTTAATTCACTTTAGACGTTATTTTGAGAATCTGCTTACTCAGCCAACTCTGCTAGTTCATCATATTCTTATTCTTTTAAATATGTCTCTACTACATTAAAAACATCCCATATTACTCCCTTTATGAGAGACATGAAAAAGAAAATAGAAAACATGTGGTAAGTAACAAAATATGCTGCTGATAGAGGTAAACTAGTTTAGTACCCATATCCATATAAAAAATCAGTCCATTTACTCTCTGCTACAACCTATAAATTCATTAAAATAATAAATAAATTTTTATTAAAAAATTAGCACAAATATTTACTTAAAATAGTACCAATAAAGCATTTTAAATAGAATTAAAGTCTGTGTAATTACTTTTATCGTAAGGATTTCCACTTTTTATTATTAAAATTAATATTAAACACAACAAAAATAAATAGTCAATTTAAGTTATTTTTTTACTTATCTGGATTGTTATTAGTGTTGAAAAGAAAAATTCCTAAAAAGCCATAAGAAATGCTAATCAAAAAATAAGTTGAGACAAAACCCCAGACAGATGGAATGCAGATAGCTATTTTATGGAATAACTTTTATACTCTTAATAAAGCATCTGCACCTAGTTTAAGAAAGGAAAGCAACTTAATAGACCTTATAGATCTAAATATTTTGAGAACTCGCTATAATTTAGTGATTTTAATTAGCTTAGTACTCTTGGTTTCCTTGATAAAGTAAATATATTTCAAACCGATAATAGTAACAAGAGATACTATTGCCATAAAGAAATCAAAATTATTCCAATAGTCATCAAAATACTCATTGATACCTAATCCAATCATTTTAATGCAAACATCTGTTATGTATACACTTAGAAAGAAAATTTCTATATTTGTGTAAATGTCATCTAAACTACTTGAATTATCTGTATACACAGTAGCAGCACTATAGTAAATTAAAGCAATTGTATTTGAAAAAACTATAAATAATATGAAATAACTCCAATAGTGACTTCTCGAAATTTTCTCAAAGTAGAGGTACTTATTACAAAAATTTCTAAAAGAATCCCAGTATTTATTTGAATTATTATAAAGCCTCTCGCTAGTCTTCATTAATGCAACAGTATCTTAAAATTCATAAAGAGTCATTTTATCTTATTGATCGATATTCAATATTTAGTAGAGTTCATCTATTTTCTAACGAATTGCTTTATTTTTGTAATCTTTTTTAATTAATTTAAATTATTTGTCCATTATTAATTTTTTAAAAATTGTATATTTATTTATTATTTTACATGCATTAAAAAGATTAAAAAATTAATCTTTAGAGAGAAAATCTTCTTTGTTGTAGTGTATCAGACAGTAAAAGCAGTAGGTCAAAGCATCTTTAGTAATTTTATCTTCTTTTAGATAAATTAATGCTCTCTGTTGCTTATAGCTTTCAAATATTACTGCAACCGGAACACAAAGGAAGAAAAACAGATTCATAGCGACAAATGGTACAAAGAAAAGCAAGTAATAAGGATTATCTTTAATGATGTTTTCTATAATCGTTGGATAAGTATCTAAGGTTATTAAAGTATACATACCTAATATACTTTACAAAATTTTTTTCAAATAAATTGTTAATCTTTTAAAGATAGATGAAGGAATAATTTTTATGGAATCATTAATTAATTAAATGGATAAATTATTTATTTTTGAGAAAAATTATCTTCTTATTTCTCTTACACAAATAGAATTTTATAATTTTTGATTGATTGATTGAATGAATGAATAATGAATTTATTTTTTAAATTTATCATGAAAAATAAATAAAATTTTTATTTATCTTTTGATTTTTTGATATTTTTAAAAATGTATCAAAAGTATTGAAAAAAAAATCCTATTAAGCTACTCAGTAAATTACTAGCTTTAATTAATTTTATATATTTTTAATTCCTATTTGTAGTATTTTTAATTAATAAATATTAAAAAAAAATAATTTTAAATTGATGCAAAAGTTGCTTGCTTGATAGGATAGGCATAAAAATTAACTAACTTTTAAAATTATAAAACAATACAAAATGATTATACTAATATATATGTTTTACCTTTCACCTATGCTACCAAAAACAAAATAGATGTCATCTTTTAGCTGAGTTTTATATTCAGAAAGCAAGTTGTATCCTATGTACCCCCAAAAACAGCTCCAAAAGATAAAAAAGAGAAAGATATCAAGAACTCTTCTAGAGCTTCGTAGCATTGATTTAAGTATATTTTAAATATCTTTATGGAACTGTATAAGCCAGAGAGGTCTAAGTATAGATGAAAATCTAACTTGAATTAATGAAGTGTGCCAAAAAATTATGAAATCAGTTAAAAAGATAATAAAAAGTGAAAACTAAAATATATAGCTTAAAATTTTTAAAATAGCATTTTTCATTGATGGTCTGTATATGTAGAGGCTCAGAACATTATCTATTAAACAAAAAGATAAAATAACAATTTCAGAATAGTAGGCATAGTTTTCAGTTGTTTAGTCATTAAAATTATCTGCTTCTGTCTAAGGTTCTAAGAATGTTTGTATGATGAATAAGTAACTTAATGTCTTCTATAAGAAACGCCAAAGAAGAGTCCATCTTATTTCATAGAAATATAAAAAATAATCTCCAAATTTTAAATTGCTTTCAAATGCATTTCTAGGTGGACGAAGTAGGATTGCATCTTTTAAATGCCTTAATGCTTTTGCCATAACTTCCTCTTTTGATTTACCTAGTAGAACATATATTATTTTTTTACGCTTTTTTGTAACATACTAATCTTATTCTACTAAAATTTGCTCTTAGATTGCACACATAACAGTTGTATGACCGTTCAAATTATTTTTATGTTGAAAGTTGAATTCATTAGATAAACTTGGGAGCAAACAATTAGAATTTTATTTGCTCAATAATTTTGATCTTTGTGTGATTAGCTTATTTTAATTCTATCCATTTCCCGTTCCCGAAGGAGATAAGTTACTATTTTTATCAGTTTACAATATATTCGGGCTAACATTTTAATCTTGCTGATTAGAATTAATAGAAAATCTAAAGACATTTTATTAATACTAATTCTTCTTTGATGTGAGTTACTACTGCTACTACTATTCATTGTTGTTTTGAACTGTAGTATTATTTGAATCTTTTTAAGTAGGAGTTATCTAATCTTTGTCTTTCAAAGACTTCTGCTATGAAAGCTAGCTTTAAAACCTTATATAATAGATATTGAAGATAAAATATTATTATTAGAAATTATTATACTTACTTTTATAAATGGAAAATTTTTTTAATTTAGGAATGCATTTCTCTATCTTTGTATTGACAAATGTTCGTTAGTAGAATTTATTTTTGTCAATTTATTATTAAAATTAATATTTCAATTATTAATCTTATTATTTTTAATAATTATTTAGTCCTTCTATTTGAAATAAGTACTTTAAATTTTCAATCAAAAATCAAAATAAAACTCAAATGATTAAACAAAGAAGCAAAATGAAATTAATTATTACAATAATCATTATCATAATCATTATTTGTCTTACTTATATGTCCGGTTTTTTGTTTTCAATCTCCTAAATAAGTATTAAATATATAAGTAAATAATCATTATAAATTATTAAACTTTTTAAAAAAATAAATTACTAATTAGATTTAATAGGAAATTATTATTATGCTTTGAAAATCACATCAATTTTATTACTAAGATAAAAAATTTTAGATTATTGATTCTAATTTATTTTACCTAATCATTTAATAAAATTTATTCTATTTTTTTCTTAATTAATTTTTAATTTTATTTTTTAATTTTTATTTATCAGATTTTTTGAAATAAAATTATTTTTTTAATTCAAAATTAATTTAATAAATGAGTATGTTTTTTAGTTAGTTAGTCAATTCAAATATTATAATATACTACAACATAATAATTTTTTTTTGTTTAATATTTTGAGTATGATAAATCATTTAGAGTTTTTATTCAAATTAAAATTATAAATATTTCAAAAAAATTAAATAAAGTATTTTTAAATTGTGGCTTTTTTAAAAATAAAAATTATTTTGTCTTTTGTATTTAATTTTACTAAAAAATTATCAAAAAAAGAGTTTTAAAAAAAATGAGAGATGAATTTAAAAAATTATTTATTAGAAAATAACTTAGCAAAATTATCATATTAAAAATGTATCAATACATGCAAACATGGATGATTGATATCATCTCACTACTGCTTATTTGTTTTTGGTTCAGCTAAAAATTACAAATTATATTGAAATATATGTTTCAAGTATGAATTATATAATATATTCCCTTCTACTTACTTATTAATTTATTTATTAATAATTAATAATTTATTTATTTTTCAATAATTTTTACTTTGGCTTTATAAAGTACTAGGGTTAGTAAATTAATTTGTAAGTTAGATAGATAGATAAATATAAAGATATATAGAAATGAATGTAAATGAATTTATTTTTTAAGTCAAATAGTTTCTAAAATAAAAGCGAACTTCATATAACAAGCTGACATTTTGATATGAACAAATAGTAATTTCAATAAAATAAATTATTTATTATAATAAATAGAAATACCAAAGATCTCCTGATAGGTTTGCCAAGAGTTATGCTCATCTTTCATATCACAATACAAGTTCTTATTCAATAAAAGAAAATTTAAGCTGCACTTCTCTTCCTTAAATCAATACAAATCAAAATTCTCGCAAAGTTAGTGGCAAAGAAGATAATGAAAATGTTAAGGTTGCTGTCAGAGTACGCCCTCCAATTGCAAGAGAAAAAAAGGAAAATTTTCCTTTTATATCAACAGTATGATATCCATTATAATTATATATGATTGAGCTAGCATTATTAGATGATTTATATCAATAAAAAATAATTAGCATATCATTTTTAATAATGTAAAGATTTAAAAAATATTGTATATATATACTAGGTTGATGTTTCTCCTGATAACAAGTCAATAGTTATTTGTGATTTTCTTTAAGCTGAGAAATTACCTCCTGAGGAGATTTAAGAATTTATATAAAACCCAAAAAACTACCCAAAATATTCATTTACATTTGATCATGTTTATGATCAAGATAGTACGTAAGAAGAAGTATATGAGTTAACGGCAAAATAATCAGTTCTAAGTGTTTTAGAAGTAATTAATTATATTTAGCAACATAATCAAATAAATTGCACTTATTAAAATATTTATTAACGCATTTAAAAAAATTTTATGAATATATATAGGGATTTAACTCTACAATATTTGCATATGGTTAAACAGGTACAGGAAAAACATTTACTATGGAAGGATTTTACATGCATCATACAGATCCTAATATTGGTATAATTCCAAGATCTATGAATGAAATTTTTGAGTTCATTGAAAATTGCCAAGATAGCGATGTAATTAAAATAAATAAATAATGAATAGATAAATTATTTACTGATCTTTAATCTTTTAAAAATACAAAAAATTTTGTAATTCTTAAACCAATAAATATAAAGTTTCTAATTAATTCTTAGTTTTTTATTTCACAAGAAATGCAAATTTTTCATTTAATGAAATTAATTCGTATCTATCGTATTATTCAAGAGATTTTATTATCTTAAATGGAGAACAAACAAATTTAATTTTCAATTTTTAATAGATCAATTTTATGGTGAGGTGTTCTTATTTACAAATTTACAATGAGGTTATTTCGGATTTACTCAAAACTGACAAAACTCATTTAACCATAAGAGAAGACAAGAAAAAAGGAATATATGTTGAAGACTTATCTGAATGGGCTGTCAGAAATCCATAAGAAGTTTTTCAACTGATAAAAAAAGGTATATTTTTAGAAAATGAAAGCTTCGATTGAGTTTTAAATCATAAAAATTTCAGGTAATTAGTCAAGAGCTACTGCAGCCACAAAAATGAATGATATGTCTTCAAGAAGTCATGCTGTTTTTATAGTAATAGTAGAGCAAGTTTTTATGGATCCAGACAACGACTTTTAACCAACAGCTGCTAAGACTGGTAAATTAAATTTAGTAGATCTTGCTGGATCTGAGAGAGTGTCAATTACGGGAGCAACTGGATAAAGGTTAGAGGAATGTAAAAAAATTAACTAAAGTTTATCTGCACTAGGAAATGTTATTTCAGCATTGACAGATAAAAAAGGTCCTCGTCCCCATATTCCATATAGAGACTCAAAAGTATTTAAATCTTATAAATAAAATAAATTTTCATATTATTATTTATATATAAGATTACTAGAATCTTAGAAGATTCTCTTGGAGGTAATTGCAAAACAACTATGCTTGCCATGATCTCTCCTAGCACAGATGCTTTTAATCATTCAGTATTTTTTTAATATTTAAAATGCTTTAAAATATCAACCTTATGAAAATTTATTTAGTTATCAACATTGAAGTTTGCTAATAGAGCTAAAAATATAAAAAATTGTCCTGTAGTTAATTAAGCTGATGATGACACAAAAGCATTGCTTTTATAATATGAATCGGAGCTCAAAAAGCTAAAAGCACAGCTAGAAAATAAGAGAAAATCAATTTTTGATAAAAATTAAATACTTACTCTTTAAGTGCAGGTAAATCAAGCAGAACAAGATAAAGAAGATGCATTGGCAGCATATGAGCAAAAGATTGAAGAATTATAAAAAGAAAAGGAAGAAAAAAAAATGTTGGAAGTAAAACAAATTAAAATCATGTTTTGGTTCACAAATTAATAAAATAAATTAGGAAAAAATAAAATCAATACAAAGCCAAGTTCTTGTAGGTGGACAAAAAATAGAATAGGATAAAAAGTATATTGAAAAATTAGAAGAAAAATAAAAAAGAATAAGGTCTGAGTATGAAAAAAAAATTTAGATTTTAGAAAATGAAAGAAGAATATAGGCTGAAGAAAAAATTGAAGCTGAGCAGTATAAAAATTTATTGTTAAAGCAAAGAGATGTGATGGTTGGTCTATCTCAAAGATTAGTAGAAAGAGATAAAAGGATTATAGAGTTAGAGGAAGATATTGAAGTTCTTGAGGATTGTGAACAAAAAGCTTAGAATAAAGTATTTTATTTAGAATCGATCCTTAAAGCCAACAACATAAAAATTCCTGATTATTCTTAAATTCCTAGCAACATAACTGATTAAGTTGATTTGGGTAAGACTTATTAATAAATCTAAACCACATTTTTAAAAATTTAATTAATTTAGGTAACCAAGTTACTTTCAATATCACTGAAAATAACTTACAAACTCTTGTAGATGACAAATCTATTCAAAACAAGAGTTATCGCTAAGTCTAAATTCTTAGACAAAAGATAGAAGAGTTCTTAAGTAAGAAAAAGAAAATAAATGATTAAGAACTTAAAGAATTGTAGGATATTTAAACAATTAGAGGCCAATATGAAGAGAAGTTTTAGAAATTAGACTAGAAATTCCATAAAAAAATTGAATTTTTAGAAAAATAAAATAATGAATAGTAATAGAGCTTAGAAAAGTTTTTAGAGATAATAAATGCAAAAGAAAAGTAAATTTTTAACCTAAAAGTCGCTCTTAAGTCATAGATGAAACAATAGCCATAATCTTAAGAACATAAAGTTGACTTCCTTCAACTAAAAGAATAAAGCTCTTTGATAAAAAGTACATTTTTTGCTTACTTTAAAAAAAATTTTTTAAGTAAATATAAATTATTAAAAACTAACTTTAGATAAGGTGGACTTTATTGTTGACATTTTTAGTAATAAAAAAGAAGCGAATGCAATCAAGTCAGCAGCAAGAGAACTTGTTTCTCTTTAAATTGAAGCATCAAAGTTTAGTGATATCATTGAGGACACTTTTGCAGAAACAGAAAACAGCAAAGAATAAAGCATATTCAAATCACAGTAATCAAGCACAAATCGTTTAAATAGTCCAGATTCATAGAGACCAGAATAAACTAACAGACAAAGTTTCACAGTGACTTAAACGAGCTAAAGCTAAACTTAAAGGACACAAGAATCATATTACTCTAATCCAAATTAAATATAGAAATAAAATTACATAAATATTTACAATAGTAACCAAAATTTAGTGAGCCCAAAAAATAAAATAGATAATATGCAAGCTTTAAATGAAAAAATAAATTAAAATTTAAATATAATAGCCAAGAATTCTAACCAGTTGTCTAATCCTTCTGTATTAAACTAGCAAACTGGCATACCTCTTAACAATAACCTAATATCCTAACCATTTCCATAAGGTAAAGGGCCAATAAATGTTCATATGAATTTATAATCATAAATTAACAATGTTTAAAGTGATTCATCAACACCAAGCCACTCCTAAGCGTAATAAAATTTTTCTTCAATAATAACTAAATGAATTATTGTGATTATGAAATAATTAACTATGTTCAAATTTTTAAAATAACAACCATAAAGTGGAGCTTATTGAACATTATTTTTTTAAAAAGAAAACATAAAATAACTTTGAGTTTTAAAAAAATTTTTAGTAAAGGCTTTAGAATATTACATGAATAACAATTAAAGCAATACATAAAGCAAAAATGGAGAATTTATAAGTTGAAAAATCAAATATTAAATAAAATTTTTTTAATTACGATTAAATGTATTAATATGTCTTAATTAATCAAATAGGTATAAAATGAAGCAGGAGGAAGAAGATTAAAAAAGACGATAAGCAATATAATAGATAGATAATATACTTAAAGGATAGCTTGGTTAAGTTCCTACAAAATAAATAAGACCACCTGAGAATACTTTTTCTAAAAGTTTATAACAACCTTAATACTCATGATAAATTTAAACTATTTATAAAATTGCCTTAAAATAACATATTTAGTAATACTACTTACTACTTTTATATGCCTATAAATTATTATATAAACCAAGTTTTAATATTTCTTTAAAAATGTAAAAATTGCTATTTCAAATTCATTTAAATAAAATAAAAATAATTTTAAATTCTAATAAAATAATAAAACAATTTATACTCTAAATTAAATTATAAAGGGAAGTATATTGAATTAATATAAATAAATTTTGAAATTATCTCCCTAAAAATAAAACAAAATAAGGAATTTTTATAAAAGTATAAAGGGAAAGTATTAGATATTTTAGATTTTTAAAACGCAAGAAAAATAATTTACTTAAGAAAGGTTATTTTCTTAATTTAAAAATTATTTTTTAAATATGTCAAAGGTATTGAATACTCTTATCTCTAAAAATAAATCTTTATAAAATAATTTGAATCTTTTAATAAATAATATTTTGTATAAGAATATATCATATAAAATTAAAGTAATAATTAGTAAAAGATATATAAATAGATAGATGAAGATATAATACACGATTTAAGTATTTAAAAAATTTATAAAAAGTACATATTTTATATATTCTGTAATGTGTTTTTAAATCTTTTAATAATTAAAAATATATAATTACAATGAAAGTTAGTTAAAATATCAAAATGTATTTCAATTAATATAGTTTTAAAGTGTATTTTAGATTCAGTTGGACATATCTTTATCTTAATGTAATTATTTAAGATTTCAGTGCATTCTTGTTGATTTTGTTTGATTGAATTTGCTGTTACTATTTCCTTAATCTATTTATAATTTATTTAAATATAAAATTTATTTTTTTAAAATTTTCAAATTACTTTTAGGTTTTAATTGCTTTTCTATTTAAAGATTTTCCATTTATTGCTAAACTTCTAACTCCTTCTTTACATTTTAATATTTCTATAAAAGCCTTTTTATATAAAATTAAAATGATTAAAATCTAAAAAAGAAAGTGTTTTCTTATAGTTAAATCATTAATTCAATCTTAATACTTAGCCAAATTTATATTTTTAAACAATGGCAAGCACAAAGATTGTTTATTTATTTAATGGAACAAAATATTTTTCAGTGCTAAAAGTTTATTTATTATATTTCTAAATTAATAGCTATTGTACCTTTCTAACTCTATTGATCTATTTTTTCTCTATTCTTCTTTACCAGAATTGATTCTTTGTCTCAAAGCATTCAATTCATTTTATTAGCGTTACTTGAGGAGAATGAGTTGCTTTCTAATTTTTTCATTACGAGTGTTCATCCATTATTGATTTTCTGTTTTTTCTAGCTAGTTTCTCTTCAACTATACTTGATGAGCTTCAATATAACTTTTCAAATAATTTTAAATAAAAATACTTAGAAAATCTTCTATTTTATAATTTTAACAATAGTAAATAAAGAAAATGTTTTCAAACAGCTTTCTATCTAGCCAAATTCATTCAAAATACATTTTAATGCTTTAAAATTTGGTTATAGAATAAGCTTGAGTTTTGCTCTAGCTTTAAAGAAATATCCTTACTTTTTCTATTTGGCTAGGTTTTCTTCAATTTTAATGAGATTAAGTACTTCAGATGACTATTTTGGTTTATAAGGAATAGCCTTTTCAAGCTCTTCTTATACACTAGCAAATTCAGCATTTTGACGCTCAATTAATTCATTTTCGATACGCATAGCTTCCTATTCGAACTCTAACATTTTTTAATCCCAAAATTAGTTAAATTAATTAAATTCTTCTAAATGAGCTTTCTCAACATCTTGCTTTTCGTTAAGATGACGAATTCTAATTTCATCTTTTTTCTTGCGAGCAAGCTCTTCTTTGAGCTCTCTAACTTTATTTTTAGCTAATTCAGCTTCAACATATTTTCCTTATCTCTCACAGTTTAACTAATGCTCTGAGATAACCTCAATATATTCTTCTAATTCAGCTACATTTTGAGGATGTTTATTTAAGATTTGAGAATCTAATTTACGAAAATGAGTAAAATTTTTTTTCTTATATTTTCATTAATATTTTTTAAATATAATTTATAATCAATCTAGTCCAAAGAGCAGTTAGAAATATGAATTTTTTTTTAAATTGAAATTTAACCAATTAGTGCTATTACTGCTCAAAAAATAAACATTCACATCTGATAACCTTATTCTACCTATTTAAATAAAAGTGAAATTTAATTGATTACCTTAAGCTTATTGGCTCATTTTTTCAAAATTTTGTAAGTTTCCTTTTTAGTGCTTTAAGATTTAAGATAATTTTTTATTTAACAAATAATGATTATTAACTCTTAATTTATTACCAAGATTTGCTTTTTATCTATTTTCAAATAAAATTCATTTACATACTTAATAACTTTCTTTCAATCATTTCTTTTATTTGTAGTATTCAAATTAATATACTGACAAGCATAAAAGATCTTTCAATCCAGCAAAGATAGCTAAGCTTTGCTTGCTGTGCAGCTTATATTTTATTTATCAGTCTTTCTAAAGATTTAACTAATTTGTTTGAAGTATTGAAATTAACTAAATATAATTTATTTCAAAAGGATTTGTGAAGATGTGAAGATCATATCAATTGCATCTTTAAATAAAAATTAATCAGTGAAATATCAAAGAATAAAAAACCATGAAAGTACTAAAAAAAATAATTAAATTTAAAAACTATTTTAAGGATTTCAATTTTTTTCCAAAAAAAGAAAGTTATTTTTATTATCTAAATAAGTATTGGAAAATAAATGAAATATTTAATTTAAATAATATAAATGATATTAATTTTGCTAAATATTAGTTAATTATTTTTAAATTTAATACTTTTCAAAATAATAACAAAATATCTAATAATTTCTCAAAAATGAACAAATAATAATTTAATTATTTTTACATCTAATTTTAAATCAAAATACAGTTAAAGTTTTCTTAAATTTATAATTCTTAGAATATAAACTTAATAAATACTTTTAAGAAAGATAATGTTACTAATACTTGAAATATTTCAATTAATTTTTTACTTTCTAAAGTAACAATTTAATTTTTACTAACACTAATAAATTAGACTTAGGTTTTATTTTTATAAATACTTTATCAAAACGAAATAAGTTTAAAATTTGTAATATTCATTATTAATTTATATCTAAATTTAATTATATTTAATTCTGAATATAAAATATAACCTGCTATTTTGGTTTGAGATATTTCATTTCATTTTTTTATTTTTAAATTAATTTTATTTATATTATATCTTCATTCTTTTTATCATACTATCTTTATCAGATTTTTACAAATTTTTCAAAATATTTTTGGTTATCATTTTTAATGACCATAAAATGAAAACAATTGACAATAATCAATTATTTGTAGTAATTAAAATTTTTAAATTTTAATACATGTATTTTGAATGATCTTAGATAAATTATAAGATAAGTTAATTTAAATATTTAAAGTAAGATTAAAATGTTATTTTAATTTTTAAAAAGAAATTAATAAATATTTAAAAACGAAAAAGTTTTCACATAAAAATTTTTTTTAATTTAGTTTTTCATTTTTTTTCTATAGAATTTTGTAATAAAAGAAATTTTATTTATATTAATGACTAAAATAATTAGAATTCGTCTGGTTTATGACATCAAAAACTAAAACATAAACACATATTAAAAAAATGCAATTTTAATTGATATCCATTTGATGGATATATTTGAATTATGAATCCTTATTAGAAGTAATTTTATTAGTATGAGAACAAACAAACAATTACTTACTTTTATATTTCTAACTAAAATTGAAAGATAATTACTTTTAATTAATTATACACATTCATCTCTTTCATAGTAAAAATTAGCAAATTATTTCATATATATATTTTCAAAAAAACAGAATAAAAATTAAGATACAAAAAGATAGGAAATACACCTATTAACTAAAATACTTTCTGATTATGGCTGAATTAATATTAAATAATATAGGGAATTTTTTATAAGATTCATGTTTAAGCTATTGCTTAATTCATACAGTAGAGCAAGTTTCTTATATTAATATATCACCTCATGATGTAGAAAATAGGTTTTTGTGTATATAATGTTATTAGTCTGAATAATTGAACAAAGAAGAGAAGGATTATATTATTTCCCTTCGTCTTTTTTTATAAAAATAGCTAGAAAAGCCTCATTTTTAAATTTTATCTGAAGATATAAGGGAATAGGTTCAAGAAACGCTGCAAACTAAAGGTAAAGTGAATCTGAGAGAAAAAATAAAAGAGTTTAATGCAAATTTAATTGAAATTATTACAGAGGAACTTAATGCAATTTTTAAAGCCGAAGATGAAAAAACACAACTTATTAATGAAAAATTGTAGTCTCTCTTTTAAAAATTTGGCGAACTCAATAACGCTTCTGAAATATATGATATTTTTTATTAGAATAAGTCTAACATTGATGAGCTGAATACAAAATTAGATAATTATATAAAGTTAGCTTACTTAAAAGCAAATTAACTTAAAGAAGGAAGCGATGAATATGAAGAACTATTTGATGAGTTCAATTTAGATTAAGCTGAGTTTCTTAAAGAGAAAGTCTTGAAGAAGATAAAGCAAATTCACTACTATACTCCATAGAAGAATAGGAAAACAAACTCTTTAGTTGATAAAAGCATATTTGAAGAAGAAGCTATATATATTGATGATAGCTCTCTTACGTTGAAAAGCAAGTCGTTTCTTAAACTTTTGCATAAAATACCATCTATAAATTCTTAACTGATAAATTAAATTGAAAAATAATTGATAATGAATCCCATATTTGAAGATATCGATTTCGAAATAGATGAAGAAGAAAATGATGAAGAATAATAATAGGAATTAGGTTAGCCATAATTATAAAATGAGGGATAAGTATCTGATAGAAATAACTAATAAATAGAAACACAGACACTAGAAAATGTAGAAAAAGGGAATTAAAATTTAGCAAATCAATTTGAAGACAAATAAATGAATATTTAGGAAAGCATTTCACCTATTTAAAAACCAAAATAAAAGTTAAAATCAATGTCAAAAAAGCAAAACTAAGAAAGTTAAAAAGGTGACATTACTGAATAAGAGCTAACTTAGTTTATAAATAATGCTTTAAACGATGATATTCCATTTAATCATTTAGCAAATTAGCATAAAAAAAATTATTCTAGATGCTTCGAATAACCAATAAATTAGAGTTAATAGGTATAGGGTAATAGACATTAATATAGTCAAAATTTCAGCAACATTTATTAGTCAACTCCGCCAATGTTTATTAACCCTTAAAATAAATAAGAAACATACTATCAAAGCCATATCAGCTATTAAAATTAATCTAATAATTATTAAGATACTACTTATCAAACTAGAAGAATACCCGATCAGAAAGAATTTGATAGCAATGATAATTTTATCAAAGAATAATTTTCATAAATTTAGACTATTAAATAGTTGCCTTTTTAACAAGATTAAAGTAGCACTCAAGTTTATCCATATTAAAGTGCAATAATTTAGTAAAACATTGAACCTAAATTTAATTAAACTCTATAATAAATGAATTAAGAATCTTCAAATGGTCAAAACGGTTAAAGTTCTTAAAGTAAATATCCTAATCTTTATAAGCACCAAAGTGCCAACTACGAAAATTACTTTAAAAATTAATAAGCATACAACTAAGAAATCAATAGCAACAATATAAATTTACAGAAAGTATAATCGAAGAGTAGAGATTAATCTCCTTCAAGCTAATTCTCTATACCTATTTAAAATAACAAAGATATTAATAAAAATGGAGATGGTCTCTTGTAAAAGCAACTCATCAAAGAAGATGAAGATGAAAATAAAATGTCTGTAGGAGCTGGCTCAAGTGGGTTTACCTTCAAAGAAGTAGATGATGCCTAACTTGATTAAAATGCTATAGAATAAAATAAACAACCATAAAAAAAAGGTTTGCTACAAATAGACAGCTAAAGTTTTAATTTATAAATGAAAAAGTCAAAGTTAGGAAGTAGCGAAAAAGTAGAGATCAGCCACTAATCTAACAATACTATAATTATTTAATCTCCTACTGATTCTTATGCCCATTATGTTATATCTAAAGACGTACTAGAGCCAAATAAAGAATATATTTTTTTATTCAGTATAAAATGCTAAAAGAATGATAGTATTTTAATAGGTATAACCCCAAAAGAATTTATTAACGAAAAGGTTTTACATAAATTTCCTTATTATAAAAGCTTCATAAATACAAATTTAGAAACTTTTTCTAAAAGTTGCGAGAAAATTGAAAAAGGCACCAGCATAAGAATTACAGATGATAATTGCATTCATGTTGTCATGAGAGTTTGCATTTAAAACTAAGTTTTAGTTTTCTACGACTATCCCAAAATGGAAAATGTAAACTCAATTAAAAATCCTACTGATTTAAAAGATATTAGATAATATTACTTGACAGTTGGATTTACTAGATCGAAAGAATCATTTAACAACCCTTAATCTAATCCCTTAAGAATACAAATACTAGACATGAGAATAGCAGATCCAACAACGTTAGGTGATTTAATAAATTTTACTAAATCACAATAACAATAATAGTAACAATAATAATAACATCAGCAGCAGCAGCAACAACAACAACAACAATTATCAAGTAATTGAAGCAAATTAATTAGTCTGTAAGTTAAATTAAAATTGAGTAAAAATTAATTTTGAAAAATGAATTTTTCTATAACTAATAAACTGACCATCTAAATAGCTTCATTCAAGCTCTTTCTTTAATTTGATGAAATAAATTAAAAATCTTCTAATTATATTATAGAATGAAAATATCTTTAGTGTTAACAAAAAAAATGATAGCAAAAAATAAAAATAATAATTATTTTTTATTTTGTTCATATATTTTTATATTTTTATTTAAAATATTTACCCATTAATTTCATTTCTATTAGATATTATTAGATTAGAATAGAATTTTATGGTTTATTTTTATTTTCAAAATTATAAGAATTCCTAAATTTATTTATAGATTTTCCCTCTTTTTTAAATTGATTCATTAATAGATAAATTATAAAATACTCCAGTATTAGATAAAAAATTTTGTTATAAGATAAGCAAGTACTGAATATTTAATTTCTATTTATATCAGTTTTCTTTCCACACTTACGAGAGAAAATTTGTTTGCTGTAAGGTATAGCTTATTTGAATATAAATTTTTGGTTGTAATAGCTACACTAGAATTATTGATTTTACAATGTTATTCTACTAAGTTACATATTAATAGTAATTTAATTAAAAAACTGTAAGGTTCAAATTTAAAGACAGCAATAAATTCGATCTTTTAACTTTTATATAAAAATATGGATTTTTTTAAAAATAAATGAATATTTGCAAGATATCTAGAAAGAATTTTATCAAACAGCAGTAGAAGCTTTTGAAAGTTAAGCGAATTTTATCTTTTATAAAATTCTCAGAATTTATTTACTTGACAGAAATCGATTGAGGAAATTTCAAAATCAAAAATAAAAAAAGATCCAAAAAATTATAAGTTTTGTTGCAAAAATATTTAAAAACATCAAGTGCTTTAATTGGTAGACTTTTGACTAATACCGTTTAAAATATTTGATAAATAAATTATGAAGTTAAAAATGGTTAAGATAAAATATAAAATGGTTTATTTATGCAGTAGATTAAACAAATTTAAAATTTATGTTATGAAGTAAAATATAAAGAATAAATTAATTTACATTAACTTTTTTTATTTTGGAAAATTAAAGTAAAGATCATAATCATTTTTAAAAAAAGAAAGCAATTTATTACTTATTGATTAAAATAATTCGTAGTTATCGTCATCTATTTGTCATTTTAGATACATTTATCTTAATATATGTAAAAGCAATATTACCAGTATTGCATCATTATTCAATTTCTAAAAACTCTTATTTTAATTAAGAGTTATCAATAAAATACATCTTTTTAGTATTAGATTAATATTACGCATAAGAATAGTATTTTTAACTGCAGTCATAGTATCATAGTATTAAACCAAATTATACAGAAAAAGTTATTACAAAAAATTTTGCTTTTATAGAAAAAAATTTATTTGAAATTTTTTATTTAAATGGAATTTAAATTGTGTAAGTTAGTTAGCACAGATATCTTATCTGATGTGAAAAATGAAAAGAATATTTGATAATTTAAAATTTACTTAAGTTAGATTGAAAGTATGAATTGAGTTATTAATGAATCAGTGAGTGAATAAATAAATAAATAATTACAAAATGATAATGTATATGTATGTATGTATAAATATAAATTCAAGAGAAATTATTTTTGATTAATTAATTATTTTATTTATATAAATTTTTATTTAAACTGGTATTTTTTTGTTATCTTTTCAGAGTAGATTTGGTTATTAAGGATTGGATAAAATATATGTAAGGGTTGAGGAGGTATTTTTTAAGAAATTATTAATTCAATAGGTTTTTAAGTTTGAAATGGTTAATTATTTTTTAGAAGTTATTAGCATTTATTTATACATGAATTTTTTAATTTATCTAGATAGAGTTTTATTATTTGTTTGTAATTTTTAAATTTGGAAGCTGATTTTTGATAAGCCAAATTTATAATTTGAGTATATTTGTTTGAAACATGCTCTTTTAATATTTAATAATGTAATCTAATTTTACTAAAGATATTTCTTATATAATTGAGTGAAAACAAAATATTATAATATATCTCAACTCGAAATTCATTCAGTTAGAATATTTTCTTCATCTTCTGCAGACATAAAGTCTATTCCAAAGTAGTTAATTATCTCTTATCTTTTCTTCAAGACATTGTTATAAAATATCATGTTGCATGAATGCTTTCTTGATTAAAGAACAGCTTCTTGACTAAGCTATTCAAAAATTTCGAATTCAGTTTGTATAAATGCAAGTTTTATTGCATTTTATCTATCAAGGAATGCTCTAATCTAAGCCTTGAGATCTTGTTTTTCTTACTATTTAATAGATCCTTAGCTTCTTAAGATGGTTAATCTTCTTCTGCATTCCTTTATGTCATCTGAGAATGAGACAGTTGAAAGGCATTTTTATATTCCAAATAAAGGAATCTTAGAAGTCATTGCTTCATTAACAAGAGTACAATATGAATCATAGAGATAAATAGCATCATATTTGAAACTCTCTACACTGTTCTTCTTAATATATTTACGAGTATTGGTAATCATTTTGAATATATTGTCTAGATGGTATTTTGTAAATGGAGTTTGTTTTTATTTATTTGAATTTACTTTTTAATTAAAATTTTTATTGTTTTATATTAATTAATTATAGGTGAAAGCAAAGACTCCAACCGCGATTTAAAATTTCTTTTTTCGATATTAAAACCCAACCAAATTAGTTTGAAAAAGTCAGATAAAATAATAGAGTAGCAAAGTCAAAATTTAATTAAGAAAATTTCCTTACACATAAATTAAGCATCTATACATAAAACAAAAACAATACCAAATAATAAGCTGATTCATATTTGGTATGTGATAGAACATAATTTAAATTAATATAGCAGCAATATGTTAATTTTAAGCTCAAGGCATAAAGCTTATAAAATAAACCTTTCTTCTTATGAAATGCACCAGTAGGAATTAATCATATTGATGGAAAATTATACTTATAGTTTAAAGTATTTTACAAGAACATTCTATGCTATCAAAGTATGCTTTATTTTATAAAATAAAAAGAAAATCCAATTAGTTTGGTTTTGCTTACGTCTACATCATATTTTTCTCTATATTAAATTTTAGAAATATTACGCAATATATCTTCAGATTAAATAAGCAATTAAAAAATAATATGTCTTGCGGCTTTTAGACTCTAAAAGATAGCCTTAAAAATAGTTATTTATTTACATTTTTTATATTTAATAGAGTAAGATGCAAGTTAGTTCATCTCTTGGAGATAGTAAAATATAATTTTAAAATATTTTTCATACTAATTATTTAAAATTCTGACTTCATCTACAATAAACATAAAAGCATTTGAGTTTGTGAATCAATAATTGATTTGATTGTTAAAATTTATAAAAATTAAGAAAATATCAGAAACATTTTCAAAATAATTTTCAAATTCAAAGTATTCGCATTATTGAGAGTGTATTTTATGTAATCGGGATATTCTAATTCACTAAAAGCTCTTCTTATTTAGGATGTTTGCATTTTCATTTAAAATAAGAAATATTATTCTGTTCTGATGAAATTCAACACATTCTTTATTAATTAAGTTTCTTTTCAAAGCATTTAAAACAGTGCTTAAAATAACCACAGATCTAATTCAAGGGTTTTTGTTGAAGTTTTAGACAAAATTCAATGAAAATTTTTTTCTAAAGTTGTAAATAAAAAAACGTAAATCATAATTATTTTTTCATTCAAATTTTAAATCGCACTGAATTGTCAACTTCAAAAAATAGATTTGAGATAGCATAGTATCTTATAGAAGTAGCTTATTAAGATATAAAAATGTAATTGCATCAAATAAACTTTTATATACATTTCTTTCATAACATATAACAATTCATGTGATTAATCATCATGCTTCTGATTGATTTTTTCTGGATAACAGAAAAATTTATTCTTTTTGATTACTCTTAATAAAAATTAATTGATATTATTTAGTCCAAGGGTTTTTTTAATTAAATATACAAGTTTTAGATTGTGAAGAATCAAAGTAAATTTCAGGTAAAAATCAATAAACTATTGAACTTTTACTTGATGCAATAGATTTTTAAGGCAGCCATCCTATACCACAATTCAAAAAGGAAGGGGAAATGTTTAATATTTAAAAACTGATTTTACATAAATAAACTGATCTTATCATATCATTTAAGAATTATTTCTTGAAAAAGCGTTTTATTAAAGAAGTTAATTAAATTGAATCTATGAATAAAACGCTTAGTTGAAATAAGTTGAAAGCGAAATTGATTTTGATATAATAATAATATTTATTTATCATAGCAAAATATTACCTGAAAAAAAAAGATTTTAATTTTCATATTTTATTGGTTATCTGCAAAGCAATAATTTTGAAATAATTTTTTTAAATTATTGCTTAATTTAAAAGGTATTTTGTTCTAATTTTAGTGTTTAAAATAATATTTATCACATCAACTAAATAATTATACATCAATAACTCCAATTAAATTATTTATCTATTTTTTTTATTTAATTCAGTAATATGTAAATTAAATAACATAAATCTATTTGTCTATTATTCACATGAAAAAGAAGTAAATTTTTAATATTATTAAACATAAATTTCTAATATCAGCAAATAAATGGTCTAGATAATAATCTAATTTTCTATAATCATACAAGTTATGCTTTACACATAAATCAATTGCACTCTAATATTAAGCTTAGATATTGCTAAAGTTTTTAAATGGGACATGTATTTTTCATCAAACAAAAATATTTTTCAGAAAATTATTTAAAAGTTTATTGGCTATAAATAACTTTACGATTCTAAATAAAGATTATTTTTGTTACTATATTAATTTATAATAAAATGTTAAGTTTATTTGAATGCTATTTCTTTAAGCATAAAAATATATAGTAAAATGAGAACTCTCGCTCTTGTTTAAAAAATAAAAACACTTTGAATCCACAGATTCCTAATTGGGGACAGAAGGTGTAATATTTTTATAGTTTTTTTAACTGTGGTAGAGTTCTAATTTTACTATATAAAAATTATTAATTTTTAGTATTTTGTTATTAAACGCAACTATAAATACAGTTATTGTTACTAAAAACTTATTTAAATAAATATAATCTATTTTTAATACACATTTAATTGATTTTATAATTTTTTTGTTTGTCCAAATAAAATTAAAAAAAAAAACAGATTGCTGGCTAATAATTAATTAGAGATGTTATTCAAGAGTTAAAATTTATTTAATAAAAATCACTGTATAACACTTTATAAAATAATAAAACTTAATTAATTTTTTTATTAAAATATATAAATCAATTATGGTCCTTATTTTTAATATGGATATTGTAATAAAGACTTTATAATGTGGAGAATAGGAAACATTTAACTTTCTTCTCTTTTTAAATTATTTTTATTTATTAGAAAATTAAAAATTATAATAAAAATTTTGATAGATAGCAGTTAAATAAAATTATTAATTAAAAATAATTAAAAATCCTAGAAAATATTTTCTTCCTTATTTATTTTATTCGCCTTATTTTAAATTATACGTTTATAGTCAATTATTAATCAAATACTAGTAAAATTTTGTTGGTTTTAACAACAATCTTTACTTACAATCAAGAATCAAATTAATTATTAATAATCTCAAAATTTCAAGATTAATTAATATGTGTATTTAATTCTTTTTTGATAAATATAGTTATAGGTATACTATTAAGTAAATAATAATTAAAAGCCCTAAATTATTACAAAATATTTGTAATCTAAGATCACCAAATACATGTTAGTGGTTAGAAAAGGATTATGTATTTTATTTAGTGCGTATGAAAATACTAGAAATGTTATAATAAAATTCCCTTTAAAAATCTTAAATATAAAAGATTTATCTGATGGATGATTTGACAAATTGAGTTAGTTATTTTGTGATTATAAATAATTGTTTTTTTAGCAAGTATGCTATTTTCAAGTTTTATTTGTATATTCTTACAATTCAATAATTAATATTTCAATCAATCTGCGGAAAAAAGCATTTTGTGTGACAAAAATATCTTTCAATTATAGTAAAATTAGGAAAATTCTGCTAAAGATTTGATCAGAACTAATTTTTTTCTAAAGGAACAAATTTATATTCATAGATTTTTGATCTTTTTCTGATTAAATGTATGTGATATTCTTAATTTTTAAGGCAAAAAAAGGTCTTGATGATAATATCTTTTTTTACAAAAACATATTAAATGCATAGCATAGTATCATATAGATAATTTTAGTTCTTTAGTATAATTTAATTCATATCATTAAATAGTTCCTATTATTTATATATCTAGAACAGATAATTTAACATCGATAAGATTTTAATTAAGTGAAATGAAATAAATAATGAGAAAATTTCTAAGGTTTTATCTAATTTTATTAATTTATGGTAATATGCAGAAAGGTGAATAAAATTTTAGAGCATTTTGTTTTGAAGAGATATCGCATCCCATCTCATAAAATGAATATTAGTTGCAAATATTTTACTAGTAAAACGTCTAAAAATTCAATTGAACATTGTGCTTTTCTCAATAATCTGTATTTAGTCTTTGAAATAATCTAAAAAGAATACAACATTATAATATATGATGGCAAATTAATCAATAAAATTTAAAAAAATTGTATCAAAAAAAAATACTAAGTCACGAAAATAGTCATTTCATAGAAAAATCATCAAATATATACTGTAAAACATTAAATCATACGAGATAATTAATTTGTGATAAATAATGAACAAAAAAAGATACTTTTTGATTAATCAAACTAATCTTATCAAGTCAATTAATCAATCAAATCAGACAATATAAACAACTACTATTGGATGATAATAAATGATCAATATATTATAAACTAATTTGATAAAAGTATCTAACAATTTGTAACCTAACAAGCATTGTTGGTCTTGTTACAATTGGTTATTTAATTATTTCAGGATAAAAATAGCTTTAATCTACTGGATTTAATACTGCTCTAATTAATCTCATACTTTTCTCTATATACTTTTCAATTTTGATGACACTTATAACTAACTATCACTACGTACATGCATATATAGATTGTTATTTATAGCTATTAGATTGCTTCAAATACAGATTAGAAATTCAACACAAATAAATAACATAATTAAATTGAAAATAAAAAGATATTTATTTATTCCAAAAAAAAATATATATTCAAAATGTTAACTGCACTTTCAAAAATTTTAAATTAACATTAGTCTGAATACAAGCCATCCACTAACAAGTTGAGCTAGACTGGTGAAATCATCTACAAAGCTCTTATTGGTGATATTGGTGGTACAAATATTCGTCTCAGACTTATTTCTTTTACTAAGCATGCAAGAATCCCTACTGTTATTAAGTCAAGTGAAAATATGAAAACTAACCAATTTAACTCCTTCACTGATGCTATCGCTAAATTCCTTGAAGGTGTGGAAGAAATCGACTGGCCTGAGTTTGCAGGTATCGGTATGGCTGGTGCTGTTCTTGATAACTAAAATACTCTCACCAATGCTCCTCATTGGCCCAAAATTATTGGTAATTAATTTATTTTTGATCGAATGTTCTCAATATACAAAAAAGCTGAAATAGGTCACTCCATCCTTGTTAGTTGAAAATAACTCCCATTATTTTAGACTATTAGCATCTCTTCCTCAAAATTTAATAAGTTTTTAATTAGGAGATCAATAAATACTATTCATTTCGCAATAAATTTAAACTGTAGAAAGTATTGAAGATAGTATTGAAGTGGCTAAAAAATCAGTCAACAAAAACATAAAATTTATTACCACATTCTTAATTTATTGTGCTAAAATAATTATAATTTTATAATTAGGTAATGAACTTGCCTAGTAATTCAAAATTAAGAAGTTCTAACTCTTTAATGACTTCGAAGTAGCCAGTTATGCTTGTCTCAACTTAACCAAAGAAGAAGTCATCCAAATTAATACTGCTTAGGAAATACCCAACAAAATTAAGACTGTTTGTGGTGCTGGTACTGGATTAGGTGTTGCTAATATCATCCCTTATCCTAAGTATCCTGAAAGCTCTGAATATGTCTATTAAGTATGGCCTGGTGAAGGTGGTCATGGATCTTTTGCTCCTATTACCAAAACTTAATAGGAATTCGTTGACTTCTTATTGTAAACTATTTAAAAAATGATCTTTATATCTAATAAAATTGTTTTTTTTTATCATTTTAAAATAGGAAATACTTCCCTGAACGCACTTAAATTGCTTTAGAATATGCCTTCGTAGGTCCTGCTATTCCCTACATGTATGCTTTCTTCAAAAATAGGTACTTATTTAGATAAATTAATTAGCCAATAAACAAATAAAATAAAATTAATATCTTCTACTGATCAGTCAAATATTTTAGCAATAAAATTATGCACATAAAATTTATTCATAATCGAACTAAATTAAAATTTATTAAATATAATAATATTTAGACATTAAGGTTCAGAATTAGCTTTAGAAAAGGCTGAAGGAGCTCACCACAGCTTTGATGTTGATGAATACCACAGAATGAAGAGAAGTAAAGATGAAAAGGAAAGAGAAAAGGCTAACTTCCCCAGTCACCTCATTTTTGAATATGGTGTTTAAGCAAAGGATGCAATTTGTGAAGAAGTTGTTAAATTCTTTGTTAGCATATATGAAACTGCTATTGGTGATATGGCTGTAAGAAATTTACCTTATTCAGGTATCTACTTAGTTGGCAGCATGAGTTTAGCTGTTCTTCCATACATTCAAAAGAACTAAGCTACCTTCATGAAGGAATACTATGACAACAGACCCTACTTAAAGGATGTCTTTGATAAGATTCCTATTTATATTGTAAAAGAAAAGGATATTGGTCTCGATGGTGCATACGTAATTAACATTTATTTAATTTTATTAATAATTAATTAATAATTAAAAAAGTATGTCAAATTTTAAAATTAAAAAAAAAAATTGCAATTTCAAATCTTATAAATTTAAATATCTTTAAATAATTTAAATAGGTTGTAACTAGATAAATGGTACAATCATATCTTTCATCGATTCCTGCCTAGTGAGTGATGAATATACTTTAACTAAATTATACAATTTATTTAATGAAATTTGTTAATATTAACTAACAAACTATCTATCATTTAATAAAAGGTATAGAATTTATCAAAAAATATAATAAAAATATAAATAAATAAATATATAAATAACCTGCTTTTATTTGTTTTATTTTTCTGATTTATCAAATTAATTTTATTTCACTAATCATTTATTCAATCAATCAATAAATCAACATATTCACAATAATAGTTTATCAAATTTATGTATGTGTGTTTTATTCTTGCAATAAATAATATTAAATCATTTAAAAGCTGATAGTAAATGAATATTTTAATTAATAATTTCCTTTAAACCTAATTTTAATAAATATATTAATAATTAATATAACCTATTAGTGATATAAAAATATATTTGTTAAATTTAATAAATAATACTTATATTAATATTTTTTAGACCTAGGTATTTTGAACTTAATTAATACACCAATCATTATCAAATAATCTTCTAAGCAATATTTAATAATTCATTAATATCATTTATTCTAAATACAAATAGTTTTTTATTAATTTTTTAGCTAAAATATAATTTAATATTCATATATCTTGTTAAATAATAAATAATATTTTTTTCAAATTAGAATTTTCCTTTATTTTTAATATTACTGACACTGAAACTGTTCTTCTTCAAAAAATGATTTACTATAAATTTTATGATTTCCAATTAAAAATATTTAATAAGCTTTTTAACATTTTAAAAACATTTTCTTATTTATTTAATTTTTTAAGAAATTTATTGTGTTTAATGTAAAAATACTATGAAATTAATATAAAAATAGTTTTCATTTTTATGATCTTGGTTTGTTTTAAAACTTATTAATTAATGATTAGCAATTTAAATGCTCGATATACTTGTTCGAGGATTATCTGATGTATAAATAAATATAAATAGTATTAAGAAATTTGATTATTTTTTTTATCTTTCAAGCAATAATAACTTCTGAGTTAACTTAATAATTTTAATAATTTTTTTATTTGTTTAAAAAATAATTAGATATAATGCATATTTAAATATTTCCCAATTATTGCTCTAATTTGTTTAATAACATTCTATTTAATAGGGCATTATTTAAAAGCTTTAATAGTACTGAATATATAATTATAAATTGAAAATATGAGTTTGACATGTTCATCGCATATTTTACATATCTATTTTCAATAGCTATAAGAAAAAGCTAAGTAGATTTTTACTAACTAGCTAATCATTTTTTATTATAGCGAATTAAATTTAAATAAAAAGACTAAATTTGAGTCAACTTTAGAAGGTTTTATAAAAAAGTGACGTATTAATTTTTCTTTTAATTGACGAAAATTTCATCTAAACTAAAGTAGATCTCTTCAGTCCTATTTGCCTTTAAATAGAAAATGGTTTAGCGATTTTCTTATCTTTGTTAGATTTAAACTATATCTCACATCTAATTTCAAGTAAAAAATTGCGAATACCGAGAATTTATTTTAAATATTGCAATAATCTTAATTTTACTCTTGTATGGAGTTTTAAGCGAAAAACTAAAATGAATAAACTCTACAAAAGTAAAAATGTCTTTAAAACTATTTGATATTTCTAAATAGCAACATATTTATAATTGATTTAATAATTTTTTTTCTTTTTAAAATATCTTAAAAATAATTTTCTATGCCTAGTTTGATTTTTGTTGCTTTATGTTCATTTTTTTTAAGAAGTACCTGTAAAAAGGTAAATAATTAGAGATAGGAATTTTTTTGTGCTTTGGTGTGGTTGGGAAGAAATTGAATGGAAAGTATATCCTCTAATCTGGCAAAAAAAGAAGTATTTTAAGATATATCTATCATTGGTGAGGGAAATTTATTAAATTTTATTTGTATCTTCAGCGATATAAAATAAATTGTTTTTATTGAAATTGTATGGTTTTTGCATGAGGTTTGAAGAATACACTCACTTAAATTATTTATTGAATGAATTCTAAGGAAGTGTTTAATATAGAAGGGGAATAAAATTTCTGAAATAAACGTTTGTATTTCATTTGTTTTCTCCTGTAATATAGATGTGATTAAAATTAAGATTAAACACTAATTTACAATTTCTTTTAAATTATTTTTTCAGCAGCTTTGATTGATAACAATTGTTTTTTAGTAGTTCGTTAAATCATTAAAGCACACTATTTTCACAAGTTTAAATATAATTTTTAAATATGGCAGATATTTTTCATTTTTTCATGAAATCTAGTTGATAATGTTATAAAAAAAAAGCTATAAAATTAGAAAGGTGAGTATCCCTAAGCTTCAGCTAGTCTAATTTCTAATAGAGTGCATCCTAACTTTAAACAGGAGAAGTACAAACATTATTATCAAGCTTAACTTATGAATAAAGTAGAAAGTATTGATAATTAATAAAAAGTAAATAGCCGAAGCAATAATAATATATGTTTGATTATTCTAAACAATATTCATATTGATAGTAAATTTATAATTTAATCCAATATGTCTCTAATTTAATATCAAGTTAAAAATAAATAAATAAATTTATCTTTTCATTTATTGAATAAGATAAACAATTTTTAAAACATATCATTTTAGATTAACTATTTTTTGTTGAGAATAATTTTTGTGTAGCTATTTCATTAAAATTTATATAGAAGAGAAATCAGACTTAAAAAGAAAAAAAAAATTGATCAAATTATACGTCATTTGCATTATTAAAAAAGTCAATTATGAATCATATTTTTAAAATCTGGAAAAATGTACAATCTAAAAGTATGCAGCAAAAGTACACTTTTAGATTTATGAATGACATAATTTTAAGAATTTACGCTCATAAAGAACTTAAAAGCTGAACAAAAATGGAATCAGTTTGATTATTCTGATAACTTCAATATTTAGTTTGTATTTATGGAAAGGTAGCAAGCTTAACTTCTAACTTAATCTTTAAAAAGTTAAGTTTTTATGGTTGGTTTCTTTCAATTCTAAGCGATACAGATTTAAATATTTCTCTTAATGCATTTAGAATTTACAATATTCCTCATTTCGTTGCACTTACAAAATGGATTTAAATATATCAAGTAAATTGTACATTGTTCAGTAGAGTAGATCAAGATAGACTTATTTTAACTTCGCTGTAATGCTTAAATAATCATTTAAATTTTTGTATAGTGATTAAAAAAGTTTTACAACAAGAATATATTATCTGTATCTAGCATGAAAACAATATTTTTATACTTAAAAATATAACGAATGCATTTATTTATAGCTGTAGATAAGTATTTTTGAAAAATATTTTAAAAATGCTAGTTATGAATTTTTTAAATACTAAGCAATATTCCAAATTTTTCTTGATTATTCTATGAAATTATATTTTTTTAATGATATAGATAAATTTAATCATGAGCTTTCTAATCAAAATTTATTTACTACATTCAAAGGGGTAAAAAAATTTGTTTTGGTTAATCGAAGAATTCGTTGCAGGCTTATTTAAATCACAATGCTATTCACTACAAGCAAAAAGATGATATAGTTTAGTATTGCACAGTTGAAACGCATAAACACATTAAACTATGTAAAACAGTATGGCTATTAATCTCTTTTAGGAAGCATTCAAAAATATATTTAGGTTACTTTATATCATTTTTCTACCAAACAAAGATATAAATTATTAAATTGAGTAGTGTTATAGTGCAAATATTATAAAATTAAGCAAAAGAGAGTATTTTTTTTTGTTAGATACCATCAAGAAAACTTAAAATAAGCTGATCTACTTTCGATAAATACCAGATTTAGCTTAGTGTGGTGATGGTCTTGTTGTTTTTAGTTTATATAAATGATGTTATTGATATTGGTGGGGGCAACAAAAAAGTTAAAAGTTACGTATCAGTTTTTTAATTTTGTATAAGAGGACTACGTAATTTTCAGGAAGAATTGAGTGAAAAATGATGTACAGTGCTCAAATTTTAATTTTTCAAAGATATTAATCTCTAAAAGAATTCGACAGTCGTCTTGATTAGAAGGGTTTGATTTTTCAATTAATTAAATATAAATTTACGTGATAGCTATTTATGATTTAAGTTGCTTTTTAAGTTTACTTTCTTATCAGTCTAATAAGAGGAAAAACATGCTATTTTCAAATTATCTGCCCATTTTTTTAACAGAAGATTCTTAATTAATATATGATTTCTATCCTTAAAAATAGCACATAATGAATCAACACAAGATTTTAGAATCAACTAAATGTGATAAATTTTTAGTTTTTACTTGAATGATATTTTCAAATTATATTTTAGAAAAAAAGAATGAATTCATTTATCACACACTAATATACACACATGTGAAGCATTTAAAATTTTCGATTCTAACATTCTATTTGTCAAAAGTAATTTGACTTCATCTAATTAATTAAAGATAATTGAAATCTCAAAAATAGAAATAAACAAAACTCCATAGTCTTAAACAATGACTTGAAACCAAATTTTTAGGACTATGATGATCAGATTTCTTATCAATCAAAATCAAAACACTTATCTATTCAACTAAATAAACATTAAATTTGACTTGAAAGTATTTTAAGATTAAAAAATTTAACTCCAATTTTTATTCAACTAAAAAAATAAAATTTATCAGAAAAAAAACAAAAATTTTTTTTCAAATAATACTATCATAAAACTGTAAACACTCTTTTAAAACATATAATTATCTCTAATTTGAGTTTTATTTGCTATTAAAATTTATCAAGAGTGCTTTTAAGAAATTTATTTAAATATACTGGTATATAATAGAGTGTTAACGGTGTTGTTGATTAAGAATATCGTTTTTATCAGTCAAAATATAGATTATATACCTTTATAATATCTTTTAAATATATTTTGAGAAGTTCTGGAAATCTGAACATCAGAAAAAATCTTAGAAACTATCGAGCTCCAATCAAAGAAATAAGATATTATGAAAATACTATGTAAACTTTGCCTGTTTATAAGATAATTTCAAATCTTTACTCTCTGTTTAATCAGTAATATATGATCTTAAAATAAGTGTAATGAAAAATACATTACCGACATTTAAATAGCTCCTTTACTAATTAATAATAGTTTTTAATAATAGCTTATTTATTATGAACGGATGAAGGTTTGTTTCAAAAAAATAATCTTATTTTTGCTCGACAAGTAGATTGATTGATTGAATGATCATTTAATTCAAATTGTATACTGTTGAGATATTGGATTTATAAATAAGATATTATCTAGAATTTTTCTTAAAATTTGATTATAAATTTGAGTAGCTATAAGGATATTAAGCCTTTAATAAATATATTCAATGAAAGGAAATAGCTAGATTGGTTATATGTCAATTAGCCAAATTTGATGTCAAAATCAAATAAAAATTTGGAATAGTAAAATAATATATTTCTGTGATTTATAATAAATTAATAATATTTACTTTCAAAGATTATAATTAATAAATTAAATTAGTAAGACTATCAATCTATCAATGAATCAATCCTAACTTTGCACTCCTATGCTAAGTTAAAAAAGAATCTTGACGGGGAAGAAAATAATAAATAAAAAAACAAAACAAATTTTAATTAAAAATAGAAAAAGAAGAAAAAAGATTCTCCTTTCCCAAACTAAAAAAATTATCCTATTTTTGGAAAGAGAAAGCAAAAAAAAGAAATTTAATTATCAATCGTTATCACCACCTCTTATAATCACATTTAATTAATAAAAAAAAGAAGAAGAAAAAGAAGAAAGTTAAAAGAAAAATATAAAATTATCTAGAGATATTCCAAAAAATATTAAATTAAATAATTTCAGTACTGAGTCAAAAGAGAAATCAAAAAATAAAAACCATTCAAACCAAATCAACTAATTTACTTCCTGCGATCAATATAAGCAATTTATTAGCCTCAGGAATATTTTATTCAAATTGAAGATCTCACTGTAATCTAAAAGAGCAAATCACATCGCAATCAACAAAATAAGCTTTCTCTTTACTTTTTGCTGATACCTTTAAAAAGTCTGTGTATAAAAAATTGAAATCGCGCAATAACTGTATCCAGCATTTTTAATTTCTACTTACCTAAAGCAATACAAATACTTAGAGCGCACCTAAGATAATTTAATTCAACCCCCTCCTTACAGTATTAGTTAAGTCATATAATTCTGATAATAGATACACAGCTTAAAGAAGATTATTATAATTAAATTCAAAAGATAAAATTCTGAATTAAAAATAATTAAAAAAAAAAAAAAGAAGAGTAAGAAATAAATACTATATTTATAAAACTTAATATTAATTATGAGCTCTTCTCTTTTTAACGACAACTCCCCAATTCAACATGACTCTCGAAAAAGCTCAAATTTAAATTTCGATGCAGCTCAACAAACAGCATCTACAAAACAGCGTTCTTCAATGGATGACTCAGTTAATATGTAATCCAGTGCTGGAATGAAAAAATCTTCCACTCATATTCCATAATTCTGTTTTGAACCTAAAAGTGAATTGATTTTAGAAATCGAAAGTTACATGCCTCTTTACATTGATTGTCAAAGCATAGATGCTGAATATTTATAATGGTGCTTTGAAAGCTTAAAGCAAAAGCAGCTTGAATGCAGTCTTAAAAATGATGTTGATACACTCAATTTTATTTAACAACGCCTCTAGGTACTTGTTTATCAAAGTCCTTTACCTTAAATATCTGAACTTTTTCGCCCTCTTCTACTAGAATAGAATTGCGAAGAGTAGCGCATCAGTAGATATTTCTTAAATGAGGATTTCCCCTCTATCATTTAACTACAACACATCATTTTTAGCAATGATCATTCTCAGCCAAATGCTGTTTCATAAAAAATTTCTGACATATTAAAACGCAATTCTGATTAATTGCTAAATTCAAAATAATAAGGAATAAACAACAATTCTTCAGAAAATTTAGATATTTCAACTGAGACTTCAACTGATCCTGTCAATTAACAGGATTCATTATCTGCTGTCATTAAAGAAGAATTGCACAAGCAAAAGGTTTATTCTACTGATAACGTCAATCTTGAAGATTTGTAAAAATTGCTTACTACTATTTACAATACCTTCAACGGTAGAATACCCAATATATTTCGTCCTTTCCTCTTCTTCCCAGAGTATTTGAAAACATTTTTCACTTCTTTTGAAGAGATATTTATTGAACCATCTGCTTGGCCATACGAATCTCTTTATCAAATTGCAATGATGACTGCAAGTGCTTACGAGTGCAGTTATGTTTTCTTGATGTTTGGAGAATTGTATTAAATTTACTAAGGTAATCCTGCTTTCTTAGATGATGGATTTGAAGCTTTAGACCCTAAAGTCAAAAAGGCTTGGGATTTGATTTACCTTTTAAAGGAAAATCACTCTGCATAGATTCTCAATTAATAATCTTATCACAACCTTTTCAATTATTTGCTTAATTAATCTCCTGCATGGAATTAAAATGAATTAATATTTGCCTTCCTTTCAATATCTTTTGCTTAGCAACTCGTTATATTGAGTCATGGAATGGGTTTGGTTGGAGATAATGACTCTCTCTATGGATCAGGAAAGAACTCTACAAAAAATAACAATTCATTCAACTAAATTAAGGTAAATGAAAAACTCACTAATGAAGTAATTGAAATTCTCAGCAATCTTAAGCCCTTAGAATTCCACAAGGAAGAAAGTGAAATGTCCGAAGAAACTGATGTCTCTGATTTTGAGTTTATCACTTCATAAATTAATTAAACTCGCTTTAAAAAATATGTAGGTTATTCTTCTATATTTTCAAATGATTCGCCATTAGCTTAACCTCTTTTTAATTCTATTTGCTCTCCTGACAAAGTTTAAAAATCAAAGCGTGGTAGAGACCAAAATAAGCTTGCTTCGAATGTTTGCGATTGGAAAACCCATACTTCTGAATTTATTGCCCACAGAAATATAAACCTTTCAAAAACTCTTAATGAAAAATATTCTCAAATCTAAGAATTAACATTAAGAAATTTTGGATCTACCTAAGAAATCGATACTCGCATTTTCCGTGAAGCTATTTGGAATTTCTGTGAAATCACAATGGGTTATACTAAAACTGATTACAATTACAGAAAAATGAATAATCTTCTCTAAAAACCATTCCGTAATTTCTTAAAGAAAATAATCTTCAAGCCTCACGAAATCAAATTAAGCGATTTCAATACTATTCCCTACCTCTTTGAAGTACATGATATGGTTCATGTAATATTCCTTGCCTCCGAAGCAAAATTTTATACTCAAAACATCTTTCTCTTCCACAGTCTTTCTCAGTTCCTCTAATGAGAAACTAAGAAAAGACAGCAAATAATTACCCTCTTTCTCTCTAACTCTCTCTCTCTCTTTCACTTACTCACATACTTTGTACTAAAAATGGATTTTGAAAAAGATTGAATATTTTAAAAGAGTGTAAAAAATCTAATCAAATAAATCATCTAAATTTCTTGTAAAGTTACTCAAAACTGCTATAACAAAAAATATCTAAATATTTACAAAAAATAATTTACTTCTGATACTTTTCAAATATATTAAAATTTTCTCAGTAACTCACTAATGCAGATTATCTCTAATTCTTATAAACTCCCACTCAACTACAACATAGAACTTTATCTTATTTTAGTCGTACTATACAGGCTCGTTTAAAAATAACTTAATCATTTTAAGTGTCTTAAAGCATAGCCCTTAATTTAATGCCAAGCAATCCTAATTTTATACATTAATCAAATTAAATTTATATCTAGAAAAAAAATACTTAAAGTGATTAAATTAAAACTAAACCTCATTTACTATTGTAAACAGTCACCACCACTTTAATTAAATAAATAAAAAGTTCAAAGTAGATCAAAATTTTATGCTTTACTTTAGGAAAGACCTAACCAAACTACAAAACATCCTACTTAGAATTAGATAAAAAGCTTAACAAAGAAAACAATCTTTGAGATAGCTTAAAAAAAGAAAGGAAAACAAATAATATTTGAAAAAGTATTAGATAATAATTATAAATTATATTAATAATTAACAAAATAAAAAATTCTTACTATTAATAATTATCGTATTTTAAAATTTAATTATAATTTAAATGTATTTTAACAAACAAAAAAAACCAACCAATAAGTACTTAAACTGTATTATTATCATTAATTATTTATACCTAAATCTATTTGTAAACATTTCTTAACACTTAGAAAATTAAAAAAATTTACATTGTAAACACTTTTTTCTTTCTATTTTATTTATTTATAATATTATCAAATTTTCAAATTATTAGTCCTTTTGTCTCTTTCTTTATTTCCTTATTATTAAGAATTTTAAATTTTTTGATATCTCTGCATTCAAAAGCTAATTAAAACTTTTAACTAGACTTAACTTTTTCATCAAAGCAAATTTTTTTAAATTGATGATGCTGGAATTCGACAAAATTTTTAATTTTATGACGCTCTCTTTATGCCACCAACCAACGTATTTTTGTGCAATTTTATCATGTTTAAAAGTGTAATTTTAAATTGATAAATAAATATTTGAATTTCAAAAACTAAATTTGGGTATCTTATTCAAAGAACTTTTTACATATTTGTCGTCTTATAATCTAAATAGATATATTTGTTCTTTTTAATTCTTTCAGATTACAATATATTAAAGCCTTTTTTACTCTTTCTAATTAATAAAGTGATTTAAATATATTTACAATTCTAAAAATAAGCTTTATTTGTACTATTTTTGTATTCAAAAAGTATAAAAATAATTAATTTGATATCATCGAATATTTATGTGCATCAAAAATACTTATTTACCTCAATATTATCTTAACTGGCTATTTTTCTAAGATATATATAATAACAAATTAGTTTTTCTAATTTCTATCATCAAACAACTTTAAAATCTGTTTATCCAAATAATCAAATACAAATTGAATTTATAGAAATCAAAATTGCATTTATAATTTATATTTATTTTTAGAATTTAAAAAATAAAAAACACTGACAGATCAATATTAAATAATTTGATAAAATCAATCAGAAAAATCAACTTATGATTTTAAATTTATTTTTTTAGGATTTTAAATATATTTTGTTTTCCTCACTCACAAATTTTAATATATAGAATATTTTTAAAGAATGCAATTAAATAAATTTTATAAAATTACAAAATAATTGCAATAGTTTGCATTATCTAAAAAACTAAAAATTTACTTTGTAAGTTTAGCAAAATATAATTATCTATATAATTTGAAATGAAAAATATCTAGATTAATATAATGTAGCTTTTTTTCAATTTAATAACAATCAAAATATTTTGATAATTAATTCATGTAAAAATTAAAAAAAAAATGGTAAATAACAAACTTATAAAAAGAATTTAAAATTCTAAATTAATCAAACAAACTGGATAATATAAAAAAATAATAAAATAATTTCTTGCCAATACTTTAATTGAAATAATTATATCACATTTCAAATCTTGATTTGAAGATTTTTTATTAATTCCAAATATAAAATAATTTAGTTTGAAATAAATGCAATTGATAGATTTTATTTAGTTAATATAATAGAAATATTACTAAACAAATTATTTTTTAAAATGATAAAAAATATGTTAAAATATAATATATTTTTTTTAAGTTACTAATGAAAATTCAATATTTGTTTAATTAAAAATATCAATTTTAATTTTATATCTATAAATTAAAGATTTATATTTAAACATATATTGTTGGGATTTATAAAATTTTTAATCTTATTTTATTATTAAGTCAAAATAACAATCAACTTTTTATGAATATTAAACTTTTCTTAGCAATTAATTTAAATTTATTAGCTTAATTTTTAGAATAAATCTGTAATATTTTGTAGAAAATTTAGTGAAAAATAAAATAAAAAGAATCATAAATATTCATAAAAATAATTTGATTATATATAAATAAATACTACTGGAGTTTTTAGGAAAAATTTCAGAAAATTATTAAATATATATAGAAGTACTATTTATTGCTTTTTATATTTTATAGTTAAATATTACTTAATTGACATTCTTTAAAAGTATTACCAATTTTATTAGTTTTACAAAATTTAATTTTTAATCAAACATTACATAGATATTGTTGTTAATTTTTTATATTTTTAGTTAGATATTTATCGAGTAATAATTTACAAAAAATGGGTTCTTGCGTTAACAGGCCCAAACCGTAGCCTTAAGCTTAAGTTTAATCGTCTAAACTAATGTCAGGAGTTTTAACTAAATAGGAATAGTTGCTGTTTAAAAATTCAAAAAATAGCACTCTAAAATTTAATGTTAAAATATCAAATATAAAAGCGAAGAATCTTCCTGTGGTATTTATAAGCATAAAACATGGATATTTCAATAATCAAATATTTTTTCAATTATATAAAAGAATGAATCATAGGTCATGATTATATTTGCCAGTATAAAAAACAAAATAAAAACTGGGCTTATGAGAGATACCAAAAATCCGCATGTAATTATAAATATTACATTTTTTGCAAATTATTATTTATAAAAATGAAAATTATAAAAAAATAAGTGGAAAATTAACGAAGAATTCGATTTTATTTGTGAAGCTGATAAGATGAAGAGTCTTCTTTTTGATATGGTAAATGGAATATAACAATATTATAATCTATTTAATTATTTGTTATTTATTTAATCTTCATTACAACCTTTATAAATAAAAGTTCGTGCAAGATGAAGTAGGAAATGTTATTTCTAAAATAACTTTAACCCTCTACCAAATAGCTACTGGTCCTGTTCATAATGATTTCTTACTTAATACTTAAGATGTAATAATTAATCTATATTGAAATTTATCATATCATAAAATATAAAAAACCAACTTTAAAAACACTTTTTATTTATTATGATTATAGCTTACAAGAAAAGGTAGAATAACTTTTGATATAAGAATGGCATAGTTTGTCACAATGAATATATCTTGTAAAAATATGATTTGTACTATGGATGAAAATCTGTAAGATAAAGCCTACAACTTCAACCTCAAAGTCAAAGTACAGTCCTTACTATAAATTAGTGTTTTTATGTGTAAAATTTACCTTTTTTTAATGCTTCTAAAAATAGTCACATAATTAAGATTATGAAAGCGACCATTCACCAAATTTTATAAATCCGACTTATGCTTTTTCTCATATTCCTCTGTCTGAAGAGGAAAAAGTATGCAATAATAAAAAATAATTAAATAAAAACGAAGTAGAAGAGACTGGAATTGATGTAGCAGATGAGGGAGAAAATTTTAATATGACTGAAACTTAAGAATTTGCTTAAAGAAAAGCTATTCCTAAATCTATACCAACAAAGAAGAAACAAAAAGATAAAAAGTATTTATACATTTTGCAATTTTTTATATAAATTAATTGATAAATATTAATTTGAATTATTAGACGGACAGTAATTGTTGATGTCTTAAAAGGAAAAGATAGTTTTGGTGTTAAGGATAGTGCAAAAAACATTGCATCAACTGAATCATTTAAATTAAAAGGTGTAAAAATGTAACTTGGTAAAAGCGGGTTTTCAAATATCCCTTCATCAAGCTTTAAAAAAGATGGAATATTATTGAGTGATTCCAACATTATATATCAACAATAATAAGTAGATACTTCTCATTTTAATTCTACTTTCGAATAGCTTTTAGGCCATAAAGAGGCATCTTGGGAATTCGTTGATTAGCATGATCAATTTACTCCAGCTATTGATTTTGAAATTTTAGCAGATGAATTCTCTTAATCATCTTTTGAACTATTATTTTGGGCTGTTACTAACCCAGAAATTGAAAACGACGTTTTCTCTAATACCTAATAACAAGATTAAAGTATGAATTTGAGTTCAAAAAAAATATTTTCATCACTTTTTGTTAAAATAAAAGATGGAAAAGCAAGTGGAATAATGAGTAAATCAAGCTTTAGAAAATCTGGAATAATTAGAATTCAAAGTAATGTTTCTGGTGGTGGTGGAGGAGGAAAAGAAGTAACAAAATTACTTTTGAAAAAACAACTTTGTTTATTTGATATTAAAAAAAGGATAAAAATAATGAAATATATGTTGATTACAAAATGCTCGGTAATGGGTATGTTTCAATGATTAGATTTTTATCACAAGATGTGGGAATTAAAATAGAAAGAGATTAAGTAATTATCAGTGAAATCAGCATTGTTGATATGAAAATATGGAATCAAGGTAAGTAAGTAGGTACTTGGAAAGGATAATTTATTGTTACAAACTAGCCTTTCATTAGACAATTAGTTGGTGGTGTTAGAACTGAAAACGGAGTTACAAAAGCAACACAACTTTATATATAAAAAGAAAATTTAACAACATAACAATCTATTCCAAGAGAAGTAAATTTTAAACTCAAATTTGAATCGTATTTATTTTAAACAAATATTTATATTAGTTTAAAAATATTATGTAATGTAAACTATAAATTGAAGAAAATATAATCAAGCTCTATGATAAGAGCATAACATTAAGAGAAAGATACAAAATTAATGATGAAATAAAAGCTCAACTTAAGAGAATTATTTAGTATTTGCATGTTCATTCTTCAGCAGTAAAATCAATTGAAAATAATATTTGTCTAAAATATCAACTACTTTATTTACCTAGGAATCTCCCAACCTCTACAAGAATGAAGAGGAGTTAGTTCGTGCTTAAAGTATATTAATCGAAGTAGCAAAGCATTTGCTTGAGTATGCAGACTAGGTGGACGAAATACTTAGAGAATTGTATTATGAAACTCTTATTTTGATAAATAATAGAGAGGAATTAGATCTTAGCTATATGGGTTTTGATCGAGATTAAAAAGAATAATTATTCAAAGAAATTATGTAAATAGGTGATATTAAGAAAATGGAAATTGATGAAAATTAACCAATAAAGGCAAAAAAAATTAGAATATGCCTAGCTTATGAAAGTTTTTTATATCATACTTTAGAAAAAGTTCTTTAAAAATTAGATTAAAAAGGATTTAATGACAAAGAAAGGCAATTTGTTGAAAATTTTAGTGCTTTAGCTTTTTTCCGTATTCCAGCTTTTAGGTAAATTTATAAATAGTCTTATTTAAACTATTATCCTTTTTTAGGTTTTTGCTTAAAAGATATTTTATAAAAGAACTTTTGATAAATCTAAATTAAAATTTTATTCTAATCTATTAATCCTTTTTTGAGCATCAATAGTGTGTAAATTACTAATCTTAAACTGATAAATGAGTTATACAAATTAATTATTTTGAATTCTGAACTTTTTATATTCACAGACTTGATTTAGTTTGAATGATTTTAAAATTAATACTACTTTAAGAACCTAATAGTTGATTCAGTTTATATTACCTCAAAAAAATTTGATTTATTTTTAAACCAAATTTTACAATTTTTTAGAAATTTTTGATTTTTTAATTCAAGAATACTTTTAATTAAATTATTTTAAATGGGTAAATTTAAATAAAATACTTGTTTGTCTCTTTAATGCAGACTAAAACTTATTATTTAAAATAAATTTATATAAGCTTAAAAACAAAAATTAAAAAAAATAAATTTTAGAAATTCAATACTTTAATAAATAGGGAAAAGCTAATAGCATGCATTCTTGATATTGAATAAAATCTACATTAAATGAAAGACATAGATAATTGGGTATAAGATTAAATCATCATTGATGAAGCTTAAGCTGATAAAAAAAATAAATTTCTTATGAGTTTATTTGAATGGGAATAGGATTTTTATAGGTATTTGTAAAATTAGTCTAATCATATAGAGCACAAAGATTACTTGAAAAAAACGCTTGAGAGGCAAAACTGGTAAAAAAGATTCTAAAAGAAAGGACTAGCATTCTTTTTATTTGTAGGAGAGTGGTGTTAGTACATATAAAAATTACCAAATAACTATTCAACTTTAACATGGAGTTTTGTACCAGGATTTGTTGATATACTTAGAGCATTCTTGTATGAGATTTAAAAAAGAGATACTAAAAGCTATCCAGAAGCATTAAAAACTACATCTTTTAGCTTATTACAACATGATGAAATTATTAACATCTATCTTCGAATCATATATGCTAAAACAAAGTAAGTATTTTAATCAGTAAATATTTTACTTTAATTGTTTTTAAAAATATATCTATCTCTATAGTATTTATGATTCAACAAATGTATTTAATGCCTTTGAGATGATTGATTAGTGGTTTAAAAAGATGCAAGAAATGCAAAAGAGACTCCCTGTTAATTTTGATTATGCATTCTTTTTTAGGGGTATAAAGTTAGTGCTGGAAGGAGATCATGCAGTTTCTATATCAAAAACATTATGGCTTTTGACTAATTGCTTTTAATTACTTCCAAGTAATAACTTAAATAAATAAAAATTTTATTTTATTTTAGAAGTATCAATTTAACTTTATTTTAGTAATTTAAAAAAGAGACATTTTAAAAGTCATATTTTCTAATATGTTTTTTAAGCTTTTTATGCACTGGTCTCCTAACGTAAGAGGTATATTTCACAATTTCTTGCTGTATAGAGTAAATCATTTGCATAGATCTCATAAAACTTAAAACAAGCTTGAGTAATTAAATTAATTAAAAATAAGTTTGAGTTTTAAAATCTTTTTAATATTTATTTATAGTGCTCTTAAGAAAGATTTTATGATGATCAGCTAAAAAAAGTAGATAAAAAACTAAGAAGAAATGAATAACATTATGGTAATTTTATAATTTCTTTAATTTTTTTAAGTAATTTTTATTCTAAGAATGAAATGATTTATTCTGATTACACTCGAATGATAGCTATTTTAGAAGAGGCAAATAAAAGATTAACAAAATAACTTAAGAAAAACGAATTGCTTATGGCTGTTAAAAAGAATGCTAAAACCCTTAAAATGAAGTATTTCCATAAAAAAAATCAAATGAAGAAAAAATATATAAGAGATAAGCTGAAAGAAGAAGGATAGCACAGTGAGGCAGGATTAAATAATTCTGTCATAGAGTCTTTAGATCTATCCATTATAACCAGAAAAGATTCCATTCATTCAATGTAGTCCATAGGTAGACAAGAAAGCAATTTTTCTGGATTAGAATTTTTAAAATCATAAAAAGATGATGAAAAATCGGACCAAGTAAATTTAAAATTGATTAATAAAGTTGCAAAAAGAATAAACATTGTATAAAAATTCAATAAAATTCATTTATTTTTAATTGTTGTTTTTAAGAGAAGAATAAGTTAAAGTTTTCCTATTTTTTTATTACTAAATAAATAGCTTAATAGTTTATTTAGTTAAAATAAAAAAATTTTATTGTAATTTTTTAGAATAAAGAGGAGGAGAATAATAGTGATCAAGAGTAAAGTAACAACAGTATAGATAGTATTTCTAATTTAGAAAGCATTTTAAGTGATTTAAATAATCTCAGCGAAGAAGATAATAAAAAGAAGAAATTAAATTAAAAGAGTAAAGTTGCAAGAAGGAATTCTTTGAATGCTATTACTCGTAAAGCTTCTGATATAGAAAATAATAATAATAACAACAACTTTTTGAATGTGGATAATCAAGAACTAAAACCTATTTCTAGAAATTAAACAACAATTAGTAAAAATAATAAAAAAGAAATAGAAAAAATACTTTAAAATGAAATTAAACAGAAATAAAAGATACTTTTGAAAAAGTAAGTATAAAAAAAATACCCTCACTAGTAAGGTAATAAAGGTGGTATTAAAGTATATAGAAGGTATAGAGACTAAGATGAGAATTAAGAAAAATTAAGAATACCTAAAGATTTTCTCAAGTATCTTCCTGAATCATGGGAGGAATTCGATAAATCTAAAAAAGAGTATAATAAATGGATATAGAACTGGTACAAAGAACTCTATTCTAATGAAGATTTAACTGAAGAAGAAGTTTTATAAAAAATTTTAACTTTAAATATCCCAGAAATTAGTGTTAAAATTCCTAAGGATGAATCTGAAGGCTAGGGTACTTATGGTACAAATTAGGAAAACGACTGGTGAGATATATAATATATTTAAAAACAATAAAATTTTATAAACTTCTTTTATCTACTGTATCACATTTATGAAAATATTTGTATCAATTAATTCAACTTTTTTTTCTTCTAAATTTAATATTTTTTATTAGTTATGATTAAAAAAATAATTAAAAGCAAAATAAACTAAAAAGTAAAATTAATTATTTATTTTAGCTTTCAAAATACTTTGATTTTTTTGTCAATTAATATTTTTTAGCTTTATTAATCTTTCTTTAGCAAAGAGTATAATTAAAAATATTAGTTTTAAATATTTAATTGCATACAAAACTAAATCAAATCAATAGATTAAATTTGATAACGTAATTGTAAAATAATGATTATAAAAAATGTTTGAAGCTTAGTTTAATTAGAAAATAAAACTTATTAATTAAAAGAAAAAAAGACCAAATATATTTATTTATTTAATTAATATACTATGAAAATAGTAAACGTTTTTGATGTTATGATAAATTATCTTTTGAAAATTAAGTAAGTTATGGTGGAAGGATAAATTTATTTATTTTTTTATATAAGTCAGAAATAAATATTAAAAATTTTGTTTACAAATGTAAAATAAATAATAATTATTAATAATCATTGTTTTTATTCGTCTTCTACATTTATAGAGTGTTTAATTATTCCTAATTTTTTAATTCTTTCAAGATATTCGTCTTCATCATATCCAACCTTTTCATCGTCATCTTCTTCATTTTATTCATTAATAGTTGAATTTTTATGCTAAAATTTTTCGAAATCTACACTTGTTTTTTAAATTTTAGATTTGCCAACTTCTCCTTTAAGATTTAAAACGCTTTAACGAATTAAATTTTGGCATTTTGTATATCCATCAGGTCTCATCATTTCGTATTTATCTTCTTTAAATAATTCTTTAGAAATGACAATTTCATCAAAATTATCATAGTAATCACGTATTAAAAATGGTTTTATATACTTAGCATTGAATCTTTAAACTTTATATTTCCATTTTGATTTGAATAATTTCTCATCATACTCACCATGAAGTAAGGCATCAGTTATTTTCTTTTTTCTTATAGTTTCATCTTCTTGTTCTTATTACTCATGATGTTCATTTGAGTGCCCTTCTTAACCATTAATGTGTTATTCTTCTTCATTTTTATGATGTTATTCATGGCCATGACCATGACCATGACCGTGGCTTACTGGTGGTAAAGTAAGATCTATTACCTTTGGATTAACTAATCCAAAGAAAAGAGTTGTTATAATTAAGACTCCTAACATAGTGCTATTCAGAACTTCAGAGTATTCTTCAGATTCAACTTAGTCCATTAAAATAAATCCTAAAATACCTCTGCTTATTCCTGTCATTTAAAGGATTATCTATTCTCTCAAGCCCATTGCAAAGGTTCCTTTTTTGAAGAATAGTCTCAAAATAGAGCTCATTATAAATACAGAAATAAATCTTCCAATAAATAAAATCAGGATGACCCATCCAATTAAAGTAAAACTCCAAGCGTTTCTGTAGTAAGAAAAAGTGGTGAATCCAAGGTAAGTAAATAACATATTTTCAGCACCACTTGATAAGGTTTAAAATGTAACATTTGAGCATATCTTGGCTTTTTCAGAAAGATTATAAAAGGCATAATGTCCTATTATAATACCAGAGAATAATAAAGCTATAACTCCAGAATAATGAAAGGCTTCTACAATGCAATAAGCTGAGTAGGCACTGAGAAACAATATCAGTAGTTCATGGACAACAGTTTTATTTAAAAATTTAAAGTGTTTTAAAATAAGTGTACAACCAATTCCAAAAACGATTCCAGCTAAAACACTAATGGATATACTTTTGAACATGATAAAGAGAATTTTAGGCACAATGCTCCATTCTAAATCCTTAACGTCTTCATCTACTAAAGTCTCAAAACTATCAAAAAGTACAAGAGAAGTTGCGTCATTTATTATACCTTCTCCAAAAATAACATGGAAAAGAATAGGGTATGAGTGATGGTCAACCATTGTAGAGGCTAAGAAACTATCTTTAGAACTTAATGCTGCACTAAATAAGGATAGATCTTTAATTCCTAATTCAACTGAAGTTACTTCATACTCTCCATCTTCACTATTTTTGCTTTAAACTTATATTTTAATCATATCATTATTACAAATAGTATTGACCAACAAAAGCATAGTCACAAAAGTTATTATTGTTCCTAGTAACCCATAAGTAAGAATGTAAGACATATTTTTGAAAAAATGCCTCTTTTTCATCATAAACCCTTCGCTAAAAATAATAGCAGGCAAAAAAACGTAAATGAAAACAGATTTAGAAAGAGAAGATTAATAGTTGAAACCAAAGTAAGCAACTGCAGACACTACCATACCAAGAACAATCGCAACTCCTGTCTCATGAAAGTACCTAATCTTTTTTGAAGAAAAGTAGCTACCTATAATCGATTGTATGACTAAAATCATAACTAGGTAAAATGTTCCTACTCCAAAATAGTCACTCATTTTACAATATAAATTGTATGAATCTTTATTTTTTTTAATTACAAATTAATTATTTTTAATTTGTGAATTAGAAATTTTTTTTTTAAAATCCTATTTTTTATGCCAAAAATATCTTTTTTGAATGTCAAACTTACTATTTAATTTATTTATGAATGTAAGAAATCTTTGATTGGATCATATAGGTCTACTATTGTAAATTATCTATTACTTTTGTATGTGGGAAAAAAGTTGTTATTACAACCACAAAACTGAATTTTTTCTGTTTTTAATTAAATAATGTAAATAAACAATATGAATAAATCCATAAATTACTCAGCCTCGTCATATCAAATTTCACACACCACACTACTTCATTAAGTAATCTTCTTATCAGAAAATTTATTTTTCCTATTCTAATAAAAATTTAAGTTAATATGTCTTGAATAAAGTAAACAAAATACACCTAAAATATAAGATAACCTTCTCTCAAGCAAAAAATATTTATATTAACATTAACATTTTAATTTCAAAAACATGGTTGAACATTTATTGTATTCTTATTTTCTAATATCTTTCTTTCATTTAAATCTATAATTAATTTAAATATCAACTTATTTTTACAGAGCGTATTAATATTTTTTTGGTTTATTTCTTTTACTAATTTTTAATTTTGATGTAATTAATTATTTTTTGATATAAGAAAAAAGCACTTTAAAATCAGAAATTTGTAACTAAGACATTAAATTGATCAGATTCATAAATCTATCATATTTTTTATTTTCTAAAACAAATAAAAATAATAAAGTACCTAATAGATTGTTATTTATTTATTACTACAATTTTAATTTAATTCTATTATTTTGCAAAAATTATGTAAATAAAATAATAAACTTCATAAACTTTTGATAAGAATTTTTTAGATTTGACAAGAAAAAACTAAGTAGATTAAAAAACTCCTCATTTATTAATAAAAGTATTATTCTCTCACTTTATTGTAAAATTAATCTAATTATATAATTTATATTTAGCAAATAAATGTAAATTAAAGAAAATGTAATAAAGAATATTTTTCAATTTTTATTATTTATTCTCCATTTAATTTTTGATAATTTATTTATTTTCAGAAATCACTAAGAGTAAATAATGTATTGAAACTAGCAGCAAATAATTAAGGAGATTAAATAATTAATAAAAGGATTATTCTCACATTTTAATGTAAAATTAAGCTAATTTTTTAAATTGGTTTAATAAATAAGTTAAAAATAACATATAGCGTATAAAACAATATTTTTTGATTCTTATTATGATTTATAAAATTCTTACACTGTATCACCTTACTGTAATAAAACTAGCTATTTTTCGAACAGGTATTATCCACTATTTAAACAAATTTGATTTTTTTAAAATAAATAAAATATTTTTTTAAAATTAATATTTATGGAACTAGAATATTTTAAATTCTAAATTTTATTGCCTTTTTTATAAATACTCAAGCTGATTTAGGATAAAAGTATAAAAAACTTAACGAAAGTGTACAGTATTAATTTGGAAAGATATATTTTATTTCTGATTGTTTAGATTGATTAGATGGACTTTTCTTTATCCATTCCATATCAAAAAGTGATATCTTTTGAGTCTTATTTAAAAATAAATTTGTTCTTTTTAATACAATAAATCAATAAATCTAAATATGCTTTTAAAATAATATATTTATATTCAAAATTAAACATTTAATAATTATAGAAGAATTTATTTGTATTTACTATATTTATCAACAATTTTTATATTCTTATACTTTTAAAATTCTATCAGATTGATTAGATTGGTTAGATGGGCTGATCTTAATCCATTCCATCTAAAAATAACTAAGTGATATTTTTTGAGTCTTTTTAAAAAATAAATTTGTCCTTTTTAATATAATAAATCAATAAATCTAAATATACTTTTAAAATAGTATATTTTTATTCGAAATTAAATATTTAATAAATTTAGATGAATTTATTTTTATTTACTATTTTTATCAACATTTTTATCTTCTTATATTTTTAAATTCAAGATATTACTCTCACTAGTATATCAATAATTAACAATGATTATTTAAAGATACAAAATTAAAAATTAGAAATTTTTTATGTAATGATATTTTATTTCTAAAATAATATTTTTGAAAAATGTTAATACAAATTAATTTATTTATTTCTTTTTAATATTTTTAAACTATAAAATTTATGAAATAAATTTTGCAATAATTAATTACTTTTTAATTCAGAAAAGATTAAAAATTTTATAACTAACTCTAAAACTTTTGAACAATTTTAACAAAATTTATTTTTTTAAAATAACTCTTAAAGTGATATACTTATTTAATTAATAGCAAATAATATATGCTTATTCATAAAATAGTTTATTTAAACATAATACAGTAATTTTTTAATTTTCAAATAATATTTATAGATGCTTGTTAATTCAATAAAGAGGTACTGGTTCTTATTCTACTAATTAAATTAAATTTCTAAGACTATTAGTCCATTCATCGAATTTATTTTTCATAATTTATATTCTTGAGTTATCTAAGATTCTAGGAATCATCCAACTTATTGTTACGTTGCCTTAAACCTGTTAACAAATTAATAATAAATAAAGAAATAATGAATGAGTTTGCTTTAAAAATTTATTTAAATTTACCTAATTTATAGATCCTTTAACTAATCCTAAAGCCATACTTCTCATAAGCAAATATTCGATTTCGTTGACTGGTTATTTAGTTCTTTCAGCTACTTTCTAGAAGGATATGGTTCTATCATTTTTAGGTAAATTAAATACCAAATCAAGGAAGGCCATAATTCTAATTTTTTCTTCTAATAATTTTTGATTGCTAACTAATAAGGCCTATTTATTTAACAGTTATTTGATACATGTTTATCAAAAAAGAATTTACAATAAATAATTAATTAATTACATTTTATTTAATTTATGCATCAAAAGATTTAAGATCTTAGTAATACTTATCCACGTTTCCACTATTAAAAGTTTCAATCAAAGTGTACAACCATGAGTAAGTAGTGTTTTGAAGAGATTTAACAACACTTTGTTGAAGCTATATAAAATATTTAAATTAACTTTTTAACTAGCTGTTTTTGCTTAAAATTTTATTAATTTATTACAAGTTCACTGAAATTGTAGATCTTAGGTGAGACTAAAATAGCTATAGCCATCTTAAGAGAGATATCTTGTTAATAGCTAATAGGAATATCCTTTTATTAAATAAAGATTAACCATAGAATATTTTGAAACAATATATTTTACTTAAGGTTGGGTGTAAGCAAGGAATTAAAGAGCATTTAAATATAAAAGTTCATAATTTTTCTTTTGGGAATAGAACTCGTAGCTAACTCTATATAAGAAGGAATAAGCAAGAGGTTCAATTACTTGTTGCTTTTCAATTTTTTCTTTTAATTCAGTCAACTCAATATCATTTTATTCACTGTGCTTATCATCTAATCTGTAACTAATCTATTTTTTATAGAAAATATTTATAAGTTACATTAAATGCTGATAGTGAATTATTATAGCTAAGTATGTGTTAATGTATTACTTGTTGCAATTAGATTATATATCTGGCATTATCTTCTGAGAAATTAGATCTAGCTTATTCTAAGAAATTAAACTTCTCTTCATTAGCTTTATTTTTAAAAAGATAGTAAATAATTATAATTTTCATTGAATATTTTATTTAAAGTAATATATTTTACTGTCAAATGCATTAGCTACGAATGTCAAGAATCTAGCTAACAAAAGTTAATCAAGCTTATTAATGAATTTTTTGACAAAGCCATCATATAATTTTAATAAGGCTTTTCTCTCCTAAAGGACATTTTCATCTTGCAACAAAATATTCAAATTTAAGGTAATTTCATGCCACAATCTATAATTAAATATTATAAAATGCTTAATATACAAATACTGTGCAATAATAACTAATATTCGAAATATTATGTTGATGATTTCTTTGAGATTGGAATAGAAATCATTTATCACTTTATTATTTACTAAGTAATCTAATAGTGACTTAATAAAATAAATATGTACTTTTAAGTATATAACAAGGCTAGCTATTCTAAAATTGTTTATTGTTGAGGGAATTGAGCTTATAATTATTACAAAAGATCTGAATCCATATTATTTAACTTCGCTTTTTTTTCTATCTGTATCTATAAATATATTTCTTTATTTATTTTTGCGTTTCTTGAATTATTTTAAAAATAATGATATTCAATTATTATTTCTTAGCAATATCTTTTATTTATTTATTTATTTATTGTTTCTTTTCTTCTTAATTTAAAATCTTCTCTCTAATGTGTTACAAGCAATTTAAAACAAAATCAATATCTTCTATGATCTTAATGCAAACCTTTAAAGATTAATTATGTTATCTGGCGATTCTTAATATTCTTCTTGAAACTCATATTAAGGATTTTGCTTTATTTTATTAACATCAGATTCTGCTCTTCCAAATATCATAGATAATCATTTATATCTTATTTTGATTAATATTCATTTAATAACTTTCTTAATCAATCCTTTAAAATACCTAAAAAATTTATTAGTAATAAATCCCAAGCTCAATAAATTTTCATATAAAAAATAAATTAAAAAAATTAATATTAAAAATAATCAAAATGAGAAAGCAAAAAAAATCAGCAGTTAATTTTTAAATCTTGGAAGGCATAAACTAATTATATCATGAGCAAAAAAAAATGATATAATTTAAGCGCAAATATCTAACTATAGATAGATGCAGTTTGTTTCTGTTGAAATCTTTCATACTTTGGATTTCATTAGTTTATGTCTATAATGCTCATAGTTTTTATAAACCATCGCTGATCTATTTGTTTTATCATTTTATACTTCTTTCACTTAGAAATTCCTAGAAAAATAAATTTTATTTCTAGAGGATAAATCAAAACAGCCAATTTCTATTCCTAAAAAAATAAAATAAATGAAATTATTTCTTAAAAATCTAATCATTTCTTAAAAAATTAACTAAAAAATAAGACCTCTATGAAAACTTTGAAAAAAAGTTAAATATCTCTTTAATCTTTCTAAAAAAATCTTTGAATCTTAAATAATTTTAACTGAAAACTTGATTAAGAGAATATTAACTGAAAAAAAAAAACTAATTATTAAATCTTAAAATAAATTAAAAATTAAAGTAATAAAGACAGAAAGCACCAAATTGATTAAAACATAAATTAAAACTAAAAAGAAAAAAAAAAGAAAAATATAATTCACAAAGTAAAAAAGATGATAATTAATTTAATAATTTCAAATAAAATAAATTAATATTTTTATATTAAATAAGAAGTTTTAAATTTTCAAATAGACTATTTTTTATATTTTCTAAATTTAGCGAAAAGATTTTTTTATTTATTTTTAAATATTACTAAATTTATATATCATTGCTTTTTTTCTTAGGAAATCAGTTAAAAAAGAAAATGATGCACAAAAAAAAGATATTTGAAGTTATTTTTTTTTATTTATAAGTTCATAATTGATTATTAAATATTTATTTTTTTATGATATAATAATTTTAAATGATTAAAATAATTCATATAAAAAGATTTAAATAATTTTATTATAATTAAAGACATAAAATTAGAGATATATTTTAGAACTCAATATTCACCAAAGAAAATTTAATATTAGATTAATCCTTAAAATTATAACAATTTTTTTGGTAATTTCTATACCAACAACAATACATTTATTTAATTTACTTTAATTAAATTCTATTTTAATTATTATAAAATTAATCACTTACTTTAACTTTTTTTTCTAACTTGTTTTAGATTTAAAATTCTAAAAAATAAATAATTTTTGGAAATTTTTTAAATTTATTTATTAACAATATTGTTTTCTGAAAAATGGATTTTAATTTTTATTGATTTTCTTAATAAAAGATTTTAAATAGAAATGTATTTTTTATAATTAAATATTTGAATTGTTTTTACAAAAATCTAAAGAAATAAGTATAAAAAAAATAATTTTATAAACTTTTATTAAACTAATACAAAAAAATAGCTTTAAAACGCCTTTTTTAATAATTTTATTATATAAACAAATTCTGAGTTATTTTATTGAATTTTAAGGTTAATATGTTTCTATATTGAATATAAATAATAAATTTAATTCCAAATATTTTTTAATTATTAGGTTTGTATGCCAATTTTTATAATTTTAAAATAAATTTAAAGCAATCTTATTAACAATTAAACTCAATACTTTGAAAATATAATAATAGATAAATAAAATTTGTTTTGTCTAATTAAGAATTTATTTACTTAAAATGAAAAAAATTATGAAAGAAATTAATTAATAAATTTGAATTATCCCAAATTATGTTTCTTATTTTTTCAGTTAAAAAAACACTAATAATTTCACTCACTTAAGATTAAGAAAATAGAAACTTATAAAATCAAAATATTAAGAAAACTAGACTAAGATATTGTAAAATTAAATGATAAACTTTTCTAGCTCATTAATGATAAATTAGATTTTTGTTTTTAACAAATCAATATTAAATTAAATTAGTTTATTTAAAATCTAAGTATGAAAATAAACAACTTACTTTATATTTAGCCTATTTAATCATTTTATAATGTAATTTTTTTTAACATTCTCAATTTAATTTTTTATGTAACTAGTTTTTTTGACAATTTGTGTATAAAGGCATATTTAGCTATTCACCTTATTTTAGAGTTTTTTACAAATAATTAAAAACTTTTTCATGTATTAATAATAACTTTTACAAAATTAAAAGAAAATTTGGGTATTTTATTTGGTTTTATATTGTAAATTGCTTTTCAGTATTTATTTAGAGTACTTTATTTAAAAATAATTTTTAGTTTATTTATAAAACATCCATGCATCAGATGATAAGTTGGGTTAGAATTATTTATTAGAATTCATATTATTATAAAAATATCCATATGTATTAATAATAATCTGATAAAGAAACTTCTAAGATTTTAATTAAAAAAATTACAACAATATTGAATTTATTAATACTATTCAAATTATAAAATATTTTTTTATTTAAATAGAGAGTATAAGACCATTTATTGCTAATGCTGGAATTAAAATATGATGAACTGGATATCATTATATTTTAATTCCTAGATTATCTTTCAAAATAATAAAAAATATTTATAAAAGTAATTGCAAAAAAAAATATAATCACTAAAATTCTTAAATTAAGAAAAATACATCAATGTTAATTTCATTATGCATTAATAAATTATATTTTTCTTTTAAGTCATAAAAGCAGAATTTAATGCTTTTTTAAATAATTTAAATTGTAAAATAATTTATTTTTTTATTTATAAAAATAATAAATTTAATAAAATGTTAAATAATATAGAATGACCTTTCATATCCATGAATCAAACCCCCCAAAAAATTAAAAAAATTATCGAATATTGTATTTGAAAGCTTTTAACACTATTTATATATTATATACAATTTATGAGTTTTATTGAATAGTGATTTTACTTGCTTTTTCATAAATATTTTAATTTATTTTTTTCATTTTAAATAAAACATAATCAAGGTATTAAAATATAATGCTATCAATTTTATCATATTTTAATACCTGGATTAGCAATTTAATACGAAAATAAAAGTTTTAATTAATAAATTTATTATAAAATCATAATGTTAATTATCATTTTATGAATTTTTTATTACTTACTTATCTATTTACTTAAATATTTAAAATAATTTTTTTTGTATCTAGTTTCAAAAATAAAAATTTTGCTCATTATAATATTATTATGAAATATTAATCTGACCTTTTTTTTTATGCATTTTTTATTATATTTATTAATTTTTGCGCCAACTTAAATATATAAATAAATTTATCAATAAAAATTAATGTTAATAAATAAAAGAAAGTTTTAGCTGTTAGTCATAATTAATTTTAATAAAATAAAAGTAAAAATTGCCACAAAAAAAAGGCAAATGGAAATTTACAAAATTCATGAGAAGAAAGGATATTAAACTAAAATGACCAAGTTTTTAATCTATTATAGATTCCAGGTTTATATACGATTTACAGCAAGTTTTTAAAGCAAATGCTCTTATATTAAAACAAAGACATAAGGATAAATATGATCAAAGTAGACCAGTACACGTTAAAAACTAGTCAAATAAATTATCCAACATTTTAGTTATTAGCTTATTTTTCACATGAATATCAAGTGATACAATCAATTACTCATAAAATTATTATATTAAACCAAAAAATTCTTTTCTCCAAACCTTATTATTTTTCATAAATTTAGAATTTTATTTTAGCATTGAGCAATTAGAGATAGTATAGTTTAGTTTCTTGAGCTTCTTATTCCACCTCTCTATTCCAAATATATGTTAAGGGCGTTATTAATTAATATTATAAAACAAACACAATTTCTTTCAAAATTACAACAATAAATAATGGCAGATAAAATTTTAAAATGGCAATAATCCTTTCCTCTTTTTTATTAAATAAAATAAACAAAAAAATCAGTTAAAAATAAATAAAACACAAACAAATAAATAAATACGTTAATAATAAATAAATAAATAATTAGAATATATAAAAAAACAAAATAAAGAAAACATAAATTAATTAAGAAAAACTGCAAATCAGTTAACTAAATAAATAATGATAATAACAAAAAACTAAAAAATAAATAAAAGAATTAAAAACCAAAGCGAAATCAAATATTCATTTTTACAAACAGTTTAAATATAATAATGCGCTTCATCAATAATTAATTAATTTTTATGATAAATAATAAATAAATAAGTATTTCATTTTGATATTTTCAATTTTATTTCCTAATATTAGTTTCTATTGTGAAAACTTTCAATTAATATTTATGAAATCCTAATAAATATTAAACATAATATTTTTTTATAAAGTGTTTTCGCAAAGTGAGTTTTTTATATTTAATTCATGCATACTTGCGGCTTGGATATAATATTATTTTACAAAAGATAATAAAAAATATCTTAAATTGTTAATATTACTCATTTTATTTATTAACTTATCGTTTCATATTCATGAAAATATAATTTTCAATATTATATATAAACACAGATAAACTGTAATTGAGATGCTTTAAAAGCTTATTCATATATAAATGTTTAGATTAACAGAAAATAATTTTAAAATTAGATTTATTATTATTTAATTTAAGAAATATTATTTTTATTCAATTTATTTTAACAACTATTTGAAATTAGATAAACTTTTTTATTATAAATTAAAGTTATTTTGGTTTTTATTTAATGTTATAAAACTAACTACTTATTTTACTTAATAAATTTATTTATTATTCACGTATAAATGTTTAGATTAATAGAAAATAATTTTAAAATTAGATTTATTATTATTTAATTTAAGAAATATTATTTTTATTCAATTTATTTTAACAACTATTTGAAATTAGATAAACTTTTTTATTATAAATTAAAGTTATTTTGGTTTTTATTTAATGTTATAAAACTAACTACTTATTTTACTTAATAAATTTATTTATTTGATTTATGAAATAAAATGTAATTTAATATTTTTCAAAAGCGTTCTGCAATATTTTTTAAATTTATAAGTCTTATTTGGAGATAATGTTGGATTTCTTCATGCGACTTTAAATTATATTTATCCTAGTTATACTTTAAATATTAATTAAATTCATGAAGGGTTATTAGTTTTTTTAATCTGTTTATATTTTTTCTACTTATAAGCTAAATGGATTATTCATACAACTCTATTGCTTTTGCATTCTATTTAAGATGTGAGTAGGAATGAGCAAGCAAAATTTAACATTATAGCATATATTAATTAGATTTTTCTTAGTTTATATTGAGATTTTCTATTGCTTTTTCATATTCATTACAATAGTAATGAGCTCTTCCTAACATATAATAGTATTGAGGTTCTTATTAATTTGAAATGTTTATAGCAGACTAAAACAATTGTAAAGCTCTTTCTTTGCAACCTATTTATAAATATTCGTTTGCAATTAAGCAAAGGACATTATGGTCTGAAGGATTTCTTTCATAATACACTTAAAGAGTGTTTAAAGCTTCTTCATGTCTACCTAGGTATGAAAGTACTTTAGCCTGAGTAATTAAAATTTTTTGATCTTTATTATAAACTTTTTAAGCTAGGTAAGTTTTATCTAAAGCTTCTTTGGCCATATCTAAACTCAAAAGTAGCTCTGACCATTGAATATAAACTTAGGCTAACTCTTCATCATTACCTTCATTTATTTCAATTAAGTTATTCATTTATCTTTGCATACTTTCGTTATCTTGCATCTAGACAAATATTCTTGAAATCTCTATAAAGGCTTTTATTTCAACAGGATTGAGTTCAATGATTGAATAAAGGATATTCAGCGCTGATTAATGCTATTCTAAATCAGAATAGATACCTATCATAGAATAAAGAACATCATAGTCTTAATCATCAATTTATTAGCATTACTCATAATAAGTTAGGGCTATCTCTAAGCAATCATCTTCCTCATATGCTATACCCAAATTATAAAGACCCACAAATTTCTATTCTACTATCCTATCAGATAGCTCTTGATTTTTCTCAATCATCTGAAGTCCGTATTAAAGAGCTTTTATAGCTTCATTATATTATTTCATTTCTATTAAAAGACTACCTTTTTCGAGTATTAATTAGTGTGATTTTGGATATACAGAGAGACCTATATCCAAATAGCGCATAGCTAGTCTGTACTTCTTCTATAATTTGTAATTTTAAGCAATATATTCAAAATTAAGTTCAGAATAATTATTGTACTTAATTCCTCTTCTCAAAATATTATTTTGTTCAATAGGGCATTATACTAATTAACCCTTAACCCTCTCTAAAATATAATCATTTCTTTTTTCACCTACAGTAAGCTTCTACAAAACTTTGAAAAATTTATGACTTTTTTAATTTTAATTTGAATCTTTGAGTCCATAAGCTTATTCGCTTGTAAAATCTATGTAGTCTTAAGCTACGTTAAACATAGACATATTTTCACAATATTCACTAATTTATTATTGAATTAATAATTTAAATAATTTGGCGCTAGATAGATAGTGTTTCAAATGAAAAAGATATATTTGATTTTAATTAGCAACTTTTTCTTTCTTAAGCAAACTTAATCGTTTAAACAGATCTATCAATCTGTTCATATATCAATTAATCAATATATAGATATATCTATCTACTGATAACTACTCTAATTTTCAAAATGTTAAAAAATATTATTTGTAATTGGCATATTTAGAGTAATCATATGCAGTTAATACATTTATTTTTATTAAATCAAATGCATAACTCAATTATAAATACAAAAGATAAATAAAAAAGGAGTATTTATATTACTTAAAACAATATTTTATATCTTAATTTTTCCTAAATAAAATTTTTTGGAATTTAGAATAAGGAGAAACTTATTTATTTTAGTATGATTTCTTATAGATTAAATATGAATATTTTTTTAATTAGATAATGAATAAAATGATATATAACATAAGATTATAATTTAATTTTTTAAACTCTTGTTTACATTTTTAAGATAATCTTAAATAGAAAAGTTTAAGTTTTATTATTATATTTGGTGTATTAAGTAAAATATGAGAATTTTTATTTTGTTAAGCATAATATATTATTTTTGAACCATGTATTATTATCATACTAATATAATTCTTATTAAAGTTATTAGTAAAATTCAAAAACAAATACTGTATCAAAGTTATGATAATGAATTTTATTAGCTTATTTTTGATAAAAGAAACTTTATTAAATTGCATTAAAATCTTTCTATATCAATTTTATCTAATAATTTAATTATTTGCGTAATTAATAACCAATAAATATTAGTTTAAAGTATAATATAATGATTGAATTTTTAGAACAAAGTGATAAGTTCATATGTTAGATTCACAGAGACTAAATTCCTTTATTCATTCAAGTAGATGAGGATGGATCTTGCTCTTTTCAATGCCAAGTATGCGTAGCCAAAAATTCTTTTAAGTCAAGAAGGTTAGTTTCTATAGGTTAAATTTTTGAAAAATCTAAAAAGGCAGTAATACACAACTGGCCACCTTTGGATGATAGCTCTATTTATGAAAAAATAGAAGAGCTTTTCAATCAATAATAAGAATTAAGTGAAATTGAAGAAATTAATAAATACTTCAAATAGGTAAAGAATAAAATTATTTCAAAGTTAGACGAAATTGAGGGAATCGTCATTAAAAAAGTCAATGAGTATTCTCATATTAATTTAGCTAATGTATATAATACCATGAACTAAAAAGAATAAATATAATAGCATATGATGAATCTTGATACATTTTAGTAGCAAATGAAATAAATAATACAAAAAGCATTTTAAGATAAAAATTCAAATACACAAAAGTTGATAAATACGATTGCTCAATTTGATGACAGATATAAGTTCGATAAAAATGTTTTAGATAAATTCTTAACTCTCTAACTAGAAATTTTAGGAGAAATAGAATAAATTATAGCATAAAAGTCATCATAAGAAGACAATTAAAAATTATTGAATGAAATGGAAAAGAAATAGGTTCTTATGTTGGAAAATTTAGGATCAACCATATTAAAAGATGAAAACGAAGTAGTAAATAGGTTTTCAACAAAAACACTAATTGCAATTGAAGATGAGATAAAAAAAAATCTAGAAACTTTTTCAAGAAGCTCAAATAGTTTATCTGATAATAAATAACTTCCAGATTTTGATAAATATACTTCTTCTTATTCTTCATCTTCATTAACATTTAAGGCTTTAAACAAAAATAACTCAAAATCTAATTTATAACAGAGAATTACATAAAGCATCTAACAAAAGGCATTTAAACTTTCTAAAGCTATTCAACAAAATGGATTTTCATTCAAAAATATAGATCCAAAGGAATCATATTATATTGGCTTCATTGAAACTTATATTGATCCTATCAAAAACGAACAATTCACAGTCAATATAAAAAATTTATAGAATTGGATTGGTATTGGTCTAGTAGAAAAGGAAAAAATAAATAAAGATATTCCTGTTTAGTAAAATAGTGGTTCTTCAGAAGCAGAAACAATAAATGGTTATTATATGCTTTCTCATAATGGATATTTTTGGCAACAAAAGTAGTAAAAGAGTTAAGATAAGCATGGTTAATTTATATTTAAGTCTGGGGATGTTGTTACAGTTACAATTAAAGGAAATCTAATGGTATTCGAAAAATAAAACTACAGGCATAAATTCGAAATATAAATTTCGTTATCAGAAAACTCCTTGTTCTATCCTGGATTCATTTTATACTCTTAAGGAGATGAAATTGAATTTGTCAAACAGGAAAAAAATGTTTACTTTGAATAGATAAATGACTGAATATAATTATTTCGAGTTGTTGATTTATTTACTTTTATCATTAGATGGATAATTTTTAATAATGCATAAATATATTTTTAATCCACCAATGAAATGATTTAATTAAAATCTTATTATTTTATTTAATTTTAAAATGCAATAAAGTATTTTTTAAACTTTTGTTATGTTTCTTTTTATTTTTAATTAATATTTTTTTTATTAAATTAAAATAAACAAAAAAACTACAAAATATTAAATTACATAAAGTTATATTTTATTTGTATTATATTCAGAAGCTTTTAGCGTTTTTTATCAGCGTTTGTTTTCTATATTTATAGAAAAATACATCAAATACTATTTCATATTCATAATTAATATAATTTATAAAACTGTTATATTTAATTAAAGGAATTTGGTTTATTCTTATTTATGATGATATGAATGAAATAGAAATCTGTTTTATAAACTAATTAAGCATTAAATAAATCGGGTTAAGATTTTATATGTTAATCACTAAATTTTATTTATTTATTTAAAAGATATTAATCAATTTATTTTGAAAATAGGTAGTGGGAAAATAAGAAATTGAAATTATTTATGAAAAAGAAGAAAAATAAAAATTAAATTTTAGAAAGATTAGTTAGTTAGTTATTAACTACAGAAAATAAATAAATCGTTATAAGAGAATCCATCTCCATTTTAAAATTAAAAATTTTTTAAACCCCTTAATTGCAGTGTGAAAACCTTACGAGATAACAAGTTTTTAAGTGATAAAAATAATTTTAATATGGAAGATAGAATAATCAAAGATGGATTGTCTATAATCGAAAAAAAAAATAATAACTAATTAATTGAATCTATTCATTTAATTTTAAAATGTAATATTAGCTGATAGATAATGCTTTAGATAAATGATAAATTACCCACTTTTAAAGTTTTAGAGATAAAAGTTTTTAATACCCAAAAAAAATGGTTTCAATTTTCGCTAGGCAGATAGAAAAGTGGAAAATTTCATCAAATTATTTAAAGCAAACTATTATGCGAAACATTACAAAAAAATTTAATGAGTTATTCAATTAAGTAAATTCTCTCTTAGTTCTAATTAAAAACTTTTAACATATATTTATCAAATAGATTTTTATTTTCATGACAATTTTTTAGTTTTACAATCGAATATTTATAAAGATAACCCATTTGTAGCATAAATACACAGAACAAAAACAAAAAAAAACAAAAATTAAATTAAATTAAACAAAAGAAATAGAAAAATAAATACTTGATCCATAAAAAAAATAAATATAGTAAATAATACTTAGCAATAAATAAAAAGTTAAACCATAAAAGTTAAACTCAAACAAACACAAAATTTAATTATATCCTAACATTTAATATTTACCTTCCATTATTTATTTTATTTTGTTTTTATTAATATTTTTTGTTTTGTTTAATATAGGATATTTGGATTTTGATTTTAGTTAATTGGGAGCAATTATAATTTTTATTTAATTAAGAATGCAAATATCTCTATTTCGCATTAACTTTTCTCAAAGCAATTAAAAAAAATATTTAAAATTTTACTAGCTTAATAAATTTAATAATTTTTTAATAAGAATTCAATCTTTTTTAAATTTTTTGAAAATAAAAAATAGTTTTATTAATAAATGAATGGATTATTTATTACTTTAATATTATTATTATTATACTTATTATTTATACCTAATTAATTATTTAGAGTAGTATTTATTTTTGCATTTAACGGTGATAAAAATAGCTAGCAAAATCATAGATTTTAGCTGGTTTATAAAATATGAATTAAATTTTCTAAATCTCTTTATTGAAAGAAAGTAAAAAATTTTCAATTCAATTTATTTATTTGTTGGTAATAATTAAAATAATAACTTGCAATTTTTTGAAACTAAATTTTAGGAAATGTCATATATTGGTTTGAATACCTAATACGTTCAACATTTAGGAGGTTAAGCAGGGTGTCAATAACACAAAAATAACCATTGCTGCCATCATGTTCCTCCTACTCTAGAAGTTTAGGATGTAAATTACGAAGTAATAAGAGAAAGAGAAGAACTGAGAATAAAAATAGCATAGTTAGAGCAAAATCATTTATAAGAATTAGAAATATTAAAAAATAATATTATTGCTTAATGCGAATCAACTTTAGTATGACATTTCAAAATTTCATAAAAATTTTTAGAATTATAAACTAAATATTTATTAGGAAAAGGAGCTGAGAGAATAGGAATTATCTTATGAGAATTAAATTTCTATTTTAAACTAAAAGATAGACTCTCTAAGTAAAAAATGTGCTTAGTAAGATTAGGTGATTTAGACTATGAAAAAAGAAAATGCAGATTTAGAAGAATCAAGCAAGTAAGCAAATATTAAAGTTGCAAAATTAAAAAGAAATGTTACTGAATTGGAGTAAAAACATGAAAAAGATATTAAAGATTTGAATGAAAGTTTGAATGCAAAGCTAAAGAGGGAATTAGTAAATAAATACATTTATTATTACTTTTACTACTTTCTTATATTTAAAAAGATTTGTTTTTCAGTACTAATAGATATATGTATAGATTATTAAAGAATCAAAATTTTACTGCTTTTTTAAATTGTTATTAATTCAAAAATTTGATTTATTAATTATTTATTTATTTTATTGTCTTTGGATATTCAAAATATAAATAATTGCTTTACATCAAAATAAAATCATCTATTTTTTATTTAAGTTAATAATTAAATAATTACATATATTTTTAACATAGGAAGAATAAGAAAATATATTAAACAATGCCTTTGAAAGAGAAAGAATTAGATAAAACTCTTAAATAGAAGAGCATAAGTTAAAAATCAATGAATTTTAATCCAGAATGAAATAAGTTGCATCTGAACTTGAAAAAATCAGAAGTGAACTTCATGCTAAAAAATTGATTGCTGATGAATGGAGACTTAAATACGAAAGTTTATAAAGATCTACAGAACTTGAAATTTACTAATTGAGAAGGTTACTATTTTAAATATTTCTTAAGCAGCAAAATATCTTATTTTATAAAATTATATAGGGAAGTAGATGTTTATAAGCTTACTCCACCTCAAAAGAATTTAGAGTATGAAATAAAAGAACTAACAGAAAAGCTCTAAAGAAAGAAATTAAAAATTCAAAAGGTGAGAGAAGAAGTTAGGGTAAAAACAGAAACTATTGTTGTTGAGAAACCAGTAGAAGTTGAAAAAATTGTTGAAGTTGTCAAATACATCCCAGTCGTAAAATAAAATTGAAATTAAAAAAATTGAAATTAAATTTAATCTTGAATAGGAAAAAATCGTAAAAGAAATATAACCTCCCAAATAGCCAATTATCATTCAAGAATGTGGCGTAGCTGATAAGTCTGACACCTTAATTAAAGACTATCAGAGAGAGTTAGAAGACAGAGATAGGACTATAGAAAGATTGAAAATAGAAAATGAGGATTTAATTGTATAATTAAGAGAACTTTAATTACAATTCGATCAGCTCCAAGCCGATTATCTTTTACTTCAACATGACAGAGAAAATTTGTAACAAACAAACTATATAAAATAGCTTTTTAAATTTTTATTAATAATTTTTAAAAATAAAGAATAGCATAAATTAGCAGCTTCAACTCGTATTTATAATAATTAGAGCAAGCCTATGGATAAAAGAATTAAGAATTAATGAATAAAGTACAATAGTTGTATTCCTAAATTACTAATTAACCTAAAAATGTTGGTAAAATATTGGTTAGAATTGGCAAAGATGGTAAACCAGTTGTAGAAACTAAGTGATTTAACTTAATTAGAATAAAAAAACATCTAATTAAGTTAGTTATTATTTAATTAATTTGTAAATAAAATTAGAGTTATGAAAATTCAATTTAAATATTTATAAGATTCAATTAATGTTTTGATAAAATCTTCTTTTTATTTTGAATACTCTTTATTTGTTTGTTGTAGCTTAATATTTTAAAGATAATTTATATAAATAGTATAGAGCAATCTTATTTGAAATATAGATTTTTTTATTTAAATTAATAGAAGCAAATTAATATTTAATAAAAAATTAAATATTTTTGCTTATTTCATTCACATTTTTTGAGTGAAGAACATTTATTGTCAAAACTGTTTTTACAAGCGTTTTATAAAAGCGTATATTTTTTAAATAGATTTGCTTATTAGTAATAATTATTAGTTTTAGTATTTTCTAATACCTATAAGATTTAACATTAAAAAATATCCTAAATTTAAACTACTAATCGGGCATTTTTATTGGTAAAAATAGTTTATTTTTTAAAAAAAAAAGTATTTACATGGTTGTGGTTTGGTACTATTAACTACCTTTGATAATTTACATTCTAAATAAATGAAATTAGTGAAATCTATTTATTATTGATGATAATAAGTAAACAGGGCCAATCGATTAAATTGAATGAATAAAGTTGTAAATGATAACTTATGATATTTTCTTGTATTTTACAAAATCTCTCATATACTTATTTAAAGAGAGAAAGAAAGCGAGCAAGAAAGAGATAATTTCAATCTTATTCATTAAAGTGGAAGAAAAGTAGGTGAAAAAGAATAATTTTTAAAGGAAATTATAAATAAAAAGATAAAGGGAGTATTAGCAATAATAAGGTAAAAATGTCAGAGGAAGATACGAGGTATCCTCATGAAAGCGCATTGAATAAAGTAGGCAATTTTAATTTACATAAATATATCATGCAAATATTCATTTTCATAATTAGAAGAAGTTTTTTAAAGCTTAAAAGAAATTATTTAAGTATAAAAGTTGACATTTTTAAATTTTTATCAAGGGAAAGCATAAAATGGATGGTCTGCTTCGTGGGCTGGATCTAAATAATGTAGTTATAGAAAAACGCTCTAGAAATAATTCAGAATCATCGCATTCCGTATCAGGTAGAACATTTTAACAATAATTTAAACTTGTTCATTTTTAATCGTGCATTTTTCTTAGCAAAATAAAGATAAAATAAGAAAAGGAAAATTTAAATTTTTTAAGTTTATTTTTTTATTGCATCTTTTTTAAAAAACTGATATATATTCATAATAAAAAGGGGAAGCTGCATCTAAAAAAAAATCAAACACCACTTTATCTGACACAAGCAAAATAACTAAGCACAGGAAAAGTAGCAATGAAATTTATTTGGCAAAAGTAATCGAGGAATAGGAAGATTCATAAGAGGATAATCGTAAAGCAAATCAATAAAAAGATTTAAAAGAGGTTAAAGTAAAAAATTCTACAGAAGATTTAAATTCTTAGAGGAGAAAATTGAGATCTTCAGGAATAGAAAAGTAAGATGAAATATCAAATATTAAAAGTAAAAAGCATCAGAAAATTAATGCTAAAGTTACATAGCATACTGAAAAAATTATGAACTAAAAAGTCTAGTAGGAGTAGAGTACATTTAATTTGAATAACTCGAACGAAGAAGGATTATCTTCAACTTCTTGCTCTTCAGATTTATTAAAAAAGACCAGTAAAATACTTGAAAATTTAATTCAAAATACCTATATTTTAAATAAAATCAACCTATTTCTACTCTAAACCCTTAATTAATTAAGAATTTATAAATAAATAACACTTAGAATAATATTTATGCTTTCTTAAATTAAATTAAGATTTTGTCAAACAAAATTTTATAATTTTATATCTTATCAAAATTTCCGAATTCTGCCATCAATAAATATAATTTATGCTAAATAAAAAGGAAATAAATCAAATTATGAGGTTGAAGTACTCAGTTCTCATAAAAATCCTATTCATGTTTTAGGAAGTACTTTGAAAATTGAAAAGCAGGTAGAAAAAAAAAGGAAAACTTCTGATTCTTAAAAAGTAGAGCCATCTGCTGAGTAATCTAAAGTAGTATCTAAAGAAAAATAAAAATCCTCTCAAAATAAAAAAGAAGAAGCTTAATTTCAGAGTCAAAAGTAAATGTTAGATAAAGGCAATGTATTTGGCTAAGAAAATTTTAGAAAATCAACACGCTCAAATTCACTGAGTAGTGAATCTATTAGAAAACATAGTTCTGAAGATAATACAAATTCTTTGAAAAAGTAAGCACATAAAAAAAAGGATTTGTCGTCTACTCCTTTAAAAAGTTAAAGTTAGAGAGATCTAAGAGCTTCAAAGAGAGAGATATTTAAAAATTAAGAATTGCAAGAACTTCAATAATTAGAAAAGATTTCATCAGAATAAAAATAAATTAAACAAACCGATTAATTAAAAACTTTAAAAAAGTAAGATAACAACAAAGAAAATTTAGCTAGCAAAATAGAAAATTAGAAATATAATTCCAATGAGCATACAATAAAAAAATAGGTTACATTCAAAGAAAAATTAAGTGAGATAATAGGGGAAGAAGCAGAGTCTGCACCAGTTAAAGGAAGCTTTAACAACGCCTACGACTATAATGTTCATTAGGATTCTGATTCGGAAAAAGATTACTTTCCTTCTAAAAAAGCATTAAAAAATCATAAGAAGGAGAAAAGAATTAAAAAAAGGTAAGAAAATAAATTAGAAATAGCAATTAAAAAAACTTAAAAACTCCTCAAAACTAAGAGTATGTAAATGAGGCAATAAAGAACTATAATTAGTGTGGAAATTCCTTCTGAGTCATCTTTCGAAGATGATGAAGATGAAGAGACTGCTGGGTAGAATCATAAAACAAACCATTTAAAAAATTAAAAAGTTGCATTTTTCTCAAAAAAATTAAATGATTTAGATAAAACAAATAGCTATAAATCAAAAAGAGAAAAAGTTATTTAAGAGAATTGTTCTAGTTTGTAAATATAAGGTAAAGATAATAAATAATATACCTTAATTTTATTTTTTTAATTTATTTCAATCTAATTAATAGAAGGAAAAAAAAGTCAATAAATTTTAGAAATCTCAGACAATAGAAATGGAAAAAATAAGTCTAATGATGTTATGCTTACATCTTTATAGCAGAAAAATATAAAATCTTTATCTTTAGAAGCTTCTGGCTAAAGTAATTACATTATTTTCTTCAAAGCATTGGTTACTAATTATTTTTTAATTTTTAATTGTATAAAAAGAAAATTTAAATAGCAATCTATAAATAAATTCTTAAGGTGTAGAGAATGAAGCTTAAACACAAAATGGCAAAATAATTCAAAAAAATTAAAATGCATATGGCAAGAATAAAAATAGCGAAAGCAAGTCTGGCAATAATAGTTTAGAAATTTAATCCTAAAAAAAAAATTTATAGATATAATAAATTCATTCTACTAATTAGTAAGTAAAAGCTGAGATTGAATTTAAAGATAAATAAATTAAGAAAAAACAATCTTTTACAACAAATCTTTAAAACTAAATGAATTTAAAAGATAAGCAATTTTAAAACACAAATAATTTTAACTCAGAAATAGGAATTACCCAAAGAGAAAATAACTCAGACCAAAACGAAACCGACTTAAATCTAGAATAAAAAAATCTTAAGCGCTTAAACAATTTTAATACACCATTAGAAGGTTACCCAACGAATATATGCTCCTCCTCTTCTCTACTTATTATTGAGGAGGATAAGTTAGTAAAAGATGTAAATAACGATCCACATACTTTGAGCCAAGATTAGGCTAACTAATTTACCAATTAATAAGAATCATCTAAAACATAACTTATCCCTAAATGCGCTCATTAAGATGGCCAATAAAAACTATAAAATGAAGAAAATTTTTAACAATAAGAAGAAGACTATCAAGATAATTTTGCTAGTAATTCCTAATAAATAAGAAGTGCTGAACAAGATATTACAGGCTAAGTAGAAGTAAATTAAACCTAATAAAAGAACATTTTCAGTTAATAAAGACAAATTTAGAATGAAAATCGTAAAAGAGATGTAAGTAGCCCCTTCTTCTATGATCCTAAAATAGAATTTATAAACACCAACATTTTCTTTAAAAACTTTTATACAGAGTTTCAACCATAAAATAGAAAAACCTTCTATTAAAAAGTAGCATATTAACACCACTTATAAACTTACTCACTAACTTAGTAACATACTCCCAGTTAGTAAACCCAATCTATTGTTTAATAAAGTTAGAAACCTGAAAGCAATAATCAAATCTAAGTTGTTTCTTAACAAAATGAATAATAAAAAGAAGAGTAATTGTTATAAGCAGAAATATAGGATGAGGAAAAATTACTCAAAGAGTAATTAAGTATTGAATAAAATTACTAAAATCATAGTAACTAATTGATTAGTATTGGCTAGAATGATAATTTTATAGAAAAAAATATTTGTTAGGAAAATTCATAAGATTTAAATCAAACTAATAGCAAAGTCCAAAAAGACATTACTAGCAATGAAATGCAAATTGAAAAGTAAGCATTAAGCTAATAAGCTTAATCAAACTTATAAAATGCCTAAGATGAGTAGAATTAAGAGCTAAAAAAGAAACATATTGGAATTTTAGCGGATAAAAATAAGGAATCAGGCGAAAATATGGTTTAATTGCAATCTGAGCTAGACCTATTATATGAAAAGTATTACCCAAGCTAAACTTATATAAATTGTGATTTGAAGTACTTTAACCTAGAATTGATAATTTAAAATACGGGATTATTTGATAGTAAAAAATTAATTAATTATTTATTTATTTATTCAATTATTAAAGAAAGAAATTAATTATTTCAGAGAATAAAAATTAGAGGGAGAGAGAAGAAAGGAATAATTAAATTTTATTTTATTTATGAATTTTCACAATCTGCTTAATTTATTTTTTACCCTTTTTTAAATTTTCTATTTAGAAGCTAAATTTTCATAAATTTAAAAAGTCTTAAAAAATTTTATAAAAAATAAAACGTATTTATTTTATTAATTATAAAATTGTTTTAAAATAGTTGTTTACATGGATCCTCCTTGGAGAATAAAAGGTGGTTAGCAATTTGATAGTTAGTTCATGTTTTCTAATAGTAAATTTTCTTTGGATTATGATACAATGTCTAATAAAGAAATTATGGACATTCCAGTTGAGAGGTTATCAAACAAAGGTTAGTTTTTATAATATCTATTCTTTTTCTTTAGGATTATTTCCTAGATTTTTGATTATGTATGAATTGGTTTACTTACTATATTCTTATTATTTTAGGTTTCTTATTTTTATGGATTTTGAACACATAAATGAATACTGCTATATAGATGATGCAAAAATGGGGATACAACTTGGTTGATAAAATCGTGTGGGTTAAAATGAAAGATAAAAATGTTTATCTATCCCATGGATATTATTTTATGCATTCTTTTGAACTTTGTCTTATTGGATATAAGAATGATACCAAAGATGACCTTACTAGCATATATCCAGCATCAAACCCTTTTTCAGTTATAGATGAAAATATTTTAGAAGAAAACAAGTCGAAAGGAGGCAACAAGAAAAGTGAAATAAACTTGGAATACCCTCATTTTTTTAACAAAATTTCTAACAATGTCATCTTTGCCGAAGTTAGAAAGAAATCGCAGAAGCCTGATGAAATTTATGAAATTATAGATCTATTAATACCCGGAGCTAAAAAAATTGAATTATTTGCTCGTAATAATAATTTGCGTCCAGGCTGGGTAAGGTAAAATGAAATAATTAGAAGAATAAAAATTAAAATAAGTTATTTTTTACCCACTAAGAATAGAAATCATAAATATTTAAATTTTAACAAGTTATAATTTGAGCAAAATAAATAAAATCTATCTATATTAAATAAAACATTCTGTCTTGAGAGACAATTTTTCTTAAAAATATTAAAATAATCATCTTTTTTTTATTTTAAGCATTGTTTTATGAAAATCTACTTACTTAAATATTATTTTCAAACTAAATTAGTGTTGGCAACTAACTAGGTGAAACTTACGAAAAATGGATGCATTAAGTAAATTGTGATAACTGTCACTAGGAAATTGTAAAGGGAAAGCTAAAAAGATATAAGTCTCGTAGGATAAATAATTATGATATATGCGAAAATTGTGTGTTGAATTTTGATAAGAAAGATTTTTATGAAATACAAAACAAAGTAAATGAGGATATTTTGCATAATTATCAAAGTTGTAATCGTTGTGAAGCTGAACCAATATGGGGAATCAGATTCCATTGTATGATTTGCAAAGATTTTGATTTATGTGAAGGTAAAATAATTTAAAAGTTACCCTTATTTTAATTTTTAAAAATCAGTATCCTCATCAATTTTTTTAAATTAAAAAGCTTGTGTAGATGAAAATACGAAGTTATGTGAAGAAGAGTAGTTCCATAACTTGCAACATGACATGAAAATTATCGAAGTGCCAGTATTTGCAGATGGATTTCCTGTTCATGATAGAAAGTAAAAAGATCTAAAAATTTTAATTGATTATGTTAACTTTAAATTTTTTATTTTAATATTTATTATCTAATTTAGATGTTAATCTTGCTTTATGAGCCCGATCATAGGCACTTGTTTTACATGCAAGTAATGCTAAGGGAACTTTAATCTTTGTAAATATTTTATAATTTTAGCTTTATACTTAATGATTTTTGCTATTATTTTAAAGGTTAGAACTGTTATTTTAGCAAGCCAATAGAGACCATTAAAAACAAAAGACATAGACCAGAACATTAAATGGATGCACTTATAAGTCCAGTCAAAAATACTAAAACTAAAAAGATTTAGTTTAAATGTGCAGGATGTGGAGTTTTAAATTTAAAAGATATGTACAAGTGTGAAAACTGTTATGGTTTTTATTTCTGTCTATCATGTTATGAGACTAAATGCGATGATTTTAAAACTTACATGGCGAGTTCCCATAAAAATTACCATTCACTTATTAGATATAATCTTGAAGAAATTGAGAGTTAGAACGAATAGAAAGTTGAACTGCAAGATGCTTAGGCTTAGTAGATCAACAACGGTAATAAATGCTTATGAAATAATTTAAAAATAATATTTTTTTTATTTAGATCCTATAAATAGTCAACTTATACTTAATGTTATATCTCAAATCTTAGACACAGATGAAGTCAATAAACCATAAAATATTGATAATTATGCTGAAGAAGGGAGATAAGACTAATTAAAAGAATTGAATTAGAAATAAATTGATGAAGATGAAGATAATATCCTAAAAAATAAAACAGAAATATAAGAAGAGTCTAGAAATATTAATTAAGACACTAAAAATAAAAAAAATGGCTAAACTAAAAGACCCTATAATAGAAAGTAAAAAGTTAAATCAATAGAAGACAAAGATGAGACCAATTTGGATAAATAAAATAATAATTAAGTTGAATTATAAAATGATAAATAAAATGAGTAATTAAATATTGAATAAGATTAATCAGGAAATTAAAATATGAATCAGCTAAAGGAAGATCAAGATGAGTTGGAAAAGGCTGAAGAATAAAATTTAAAAAGCAATTTAGTGAAAAAAATAAGAAAAAAAAGGGTGAGTAAGAAATAAAAATAATAACTAGAAGATTAAAGTGAGGAAAAAAAAGAAGAAAATAATGACTAATTAATTGATAAGAAGTCCGACTCAATTAACAATGAAAACAAAAGTGTAGACGAGTCTAAATAAAATTAGATGGAAGAGGAAGAAGATTAAAAAGAGGAAAGCAATAAAAATGAAGATGATAAAGAGGAGAATGAAATACAAGAAGAAAATAAAGTTGTTAAGAAAAGGAAAAGAAGAACTAAAGAAGAGATAGAAAAATTCAAACAAGAAAAAGAATAAAAAAATTTGGAGTACTTGATCGGTCTACAAGATGGTAAAGAAAAGAAAAAAAGAGGAAGACTTCCTAAATTAAAAGATAATTCCAAACTGTAAGTATTGTTGAATAGTTAAATAGAATAAAATTAACAACAAAAGTAATCAGATGAAAACTCATTTTTGTAAATAAACTAATCAAATATAAATGAATAATTTTTTGATAAGCAGCATAATGAATACAACCAAAAACTCATATAAGATTAACTATTGTTAGAAACCTTATCAAATTAACCATCACAAATTGTAACAGAGTTGTAATATAAACTGAAGCTTTTAGAGTCTTATTAATAATAAAAAGTTGTTTCCGAAAATGAAAATACTAAGCTTAATAATAGTAATAATGATATATACTTTTTATCAGATATCAACTAAGCTTCAGACTCTAAAGAGAATACTCTCCATTTTTAAATCTAAAACTAATTAAATAAAAATAAAATTTCAAATTTTAATTACTCTAACTAAGAGGATTAACAAATTTAAAATCCATTTGACTATGACTTACTATAAAACCTATTAAATTCAATAAATAGAAACTCTCTATAATAATCAAACCACTCTTACAATGAAGAAAATACAATTCAATATAATAATAATTCTGTTGAAAAAATAATTTAAGATGTCAAAGAAAATTAACAAAAAGAAAACTTAATTGGCCAAGTCAATCAAGAATAGATTAATTAAGAAGACTAAAATGATGATGAATCATATGATTCGTCTAGCTCTTCAAGTTGAGAAAGCTAGCTCATTTTATGAATTCCATAAACTAATTTTATAAAATAAGTTAGAAATTATTGACTATTTTGTAAATCCTTATAATTAAATACTAAAAACAAAAAAGATATTTAAATTTTTTTATGAATTGATACCATTTTATGTTTAATATTGTATATGAGCTTTAATTTTCATTCAATCCATTTCCATTTCCATCTTCATCTAAAATAAATAATGTATAAATATTTTTTTTTAATTTTTGAAAACATATATAAGTGTATTAAATCTTTATTAATATTCATTTTTATATTTAAATATTGCAAAGTTTAATAATTTAAACTTTATTTTCGCTTAAAAAATATGAAGAAATAACTTCATTTAAAAATAAATTTTATTATTACTGACATCGTGAAGTATTGAAACAGATAAGTAATTTAAACTTTTCTTTGTATATACATTTAAATGAATGCATTTTGTAAGTATTTTTTTACAAGAAAAAATTGCATTAATATTGAAATATTTTCACTTAAATAATTTAATTATTTTTTAAAAGATTTAATATTGGAATAAATGAGCTATTTTAATGATATTTTTTTAATTTTAAAATTTATTATAGCAAGAAATATTTTGTTATAAATTATTGATATTTATTCAAAATAGTAAACAATATTAAAATGAAAATATATTTAATAAATATTCCTTGGTTGCTTAAAAAATAATTGAATTTATTTAGAAAAACTAACTTAAAATTATAAATCTAATATATCTAGTTAATTTTATATTTATAATTTTAATTGTATTTTTTTATGAAAAAAAATTAAATATTTACTAATTTTATTTTAAAAATGTTTTATTTAATTAATTGAGAAAAAAAAATTATTAATTTTTTAAAATTTTTGAAAAATCTAAAAATGACAGTTTAATTTAAAATATTATTTACAAATAATTATTTATCTAAAAAATTTTTAGTATATTGATTGTTGAAAGTTCATCTATCATCAATCTGAATCTTAGTCAATAAATATTTTATCATCTTAATTATTATTATTATCATCATCGTTTTCTTCATCATTTTCATCATCTTCTCTTTCAGCTGCAGTTTATGAAATACGAGATTTTTAACTTTTTGCTTTCTTAGTTTGTTTCTTTTTCTTTTATTAAGATTTTCTCTTCTTCTTTTTACCTGCAGAAGAAGTTGCTGAATTAGATGAGGATTATGAAGATGATGATAAAGAGTCATCTGAATCTGAAGAATTATTACAATTATTATTATATTTGTCTTTAAGTTTTGGCTCAAATTCTTCTAGCAGCTCTTCCTTCTTTTCTTAGAGATCTTTGTAAACTTTAATAAGATACTTGTAACGATTTTGCTCTGACTTATACAAAATTGTACGATATTTATAAAATTCTTCTGGAGTATTATAAGATTTATTAGTTTTAGGATCGTGATAGCGGAATTTTTTTTCTTTTATTTATTTTTATTGATTGAAAGATTACATATAGTTACCTATTGTGCTATCATATACTTCTTATGTTGGATATATGATTAAATTTTCATCTGTTTTAGCAGAGTTTTTATATATTATCTTAGGTCCTTCGTCTATAAATTTTTTACTTAAAGAGAATTATTTTTTCTCTTCTTCCAAACGAAGTAAGTCTTCTAATTATTTTCTATTCACAAATTCTGTAAAAACAGCTTCTTTTAATAGTTACTCTTAGGTCAAGAAATCATGGATATAACGTTTCTTTTTGCCTCCAGCACCCTGTGCTTATCCACCTTACTCTCCTTATTACCCATTAATGTCTACAGATCCATCTTCGTTTAAGCGCAATTTCTTTTTTAAACGAGGAGAAAGCTAACTTTGAGATAAAAGAGATTTTTCATTTGTGCTTTATCTTAAGGTACGTTTTTCAAGCTAAATTGTGATCTATGCCTCTCTTTTCTCCTTTTATATCTTTTAAGATATTTAAATTTCATTTTCTTCTTAGGTATCGAGCTATTTCAAGCGCTCAGCTTTTTATTTTTGTCTCTGCTTTGCTATTTTTTCTTATTCTTTTCTAATAACATCATCTTTTTTCATTAAATAGCTAGGCTTATCTTTATTACGTTTTTTCTTTTTCTCGCTGTCTGAATCTTCATCTGACATATTTGAATCATCATCGCCATCATCTTCTAAATCACTAGTGTCTTAAAAATCACTATCGAATACATCCTTTACGTCTTTAAACTCTTCTTCATTAAAATCTTCGTCTTCTTCTTCATCATTAGCCTTTGTAACTTCAGTTATTTTACCAAAATATTTATTTTCTTTCCAAAAGTCATCTAAATCATCTCCGAATCCTTCATTTCTTTTTTATAACTCCATAAGCTTTTTGATGCCTTCACCTCTTCTACTACGAAATGTCATTGTTCTTACAGCCTAAACTACTTCTTCACTACTACTTTCGTCTTCATCGTTATCTTCTTCATCATCACCTTCATTTTCGTCATCATCATCATCCTCATCACCATTCTCTTCGTCTTCTTCGTCATCATCAACTTCATCGTCTTCTTCATTGTCTTCTCCTTCTCCATCATCTTCACTTTCATCAGCTTTATTTTTAAGTTTTGATGATAAACTATCGCTTTTCTTCTTGTCCAATTATTTTTTGTTTGTTTTTATATTATCACTGTTTTAGCTATTTTCAGAATCTTCAGAACCTGAAAGAATATCTTCTTCATCCTCTTCGTTTTCTAAAGTATTGTCTAATTCCATATCTAAACTATCCTTTCTTATGTTTTTAATAGCAGATACCTTAGACCCTTTAGAAGTAGTACTTTATTCATGACCATTATCATTTTTATAAAGCTTCGAATTAGGTTTTTTACTATCAACTAAGACCTTGCTTCTATTTTTTAAAGATGATTCAGATTAACCTTTTTTATCATCTTTTACTTAATTTCCACCATTTTGATGCTCAGTATTTAAATCTGATTTACCTAGCTTCTTTTTAAGCTAATTAGGATCTGATTCTTATTCATCTGTCTCAGGTTCTATTTCTATTTCTTCACTCTCTTTATTTTCTGTAGGCTGGAAAGGAACGTTTTTTCCATTCTTTTTGTCTTTAATTATGCTGCTAAATGCTTTCAAACTAGAAGATTTTTCTCCTTATTCCTCTTTTTGCGTTTTTAATTTAGATGCAGCTAGAGTTTATTGTGTTTTTTTATTGCTAGCTTTTGCAGCTGGTTTTTTTTTTAGCTTTGAGATATTATCGCTTTAATAAGAAGTAGCATTTGTTTAGCTATATTAAGGAGGAGTTGCATTACTTTCATCATTAAATACTTCTTCTTTTTCATCTTCTATGATTTCTGCTTTACCCTATGAAATTTTTTTTGTCTTTTTAAGAGCGCTATTATCTGCTTTTTTCTTATCTTAAGCACCTCCTTTTTTTTTAGTAGCTGAACCTTTCACTGGAGCCTTTTCTCCTTTTTTACCTTTTTGTACTTTCTTTTTACCTCCTTTTTTAGAAGCGGCACCACCTTTGTCTTTTCCTTTTTTATTAGTTTTGCCTTTTGAAATAGCTTTCCCTTTCTTTGGAGCTTTTGAATCTACTTCCTAGATGATGATAATGATAATAAAATTAATATTAATATACTTAGAACAATAATTCACTTTAAAATTATTTAAATCTAATCATCTTACTTATGATTTCTTCTTTTGATTTCCTTTTGATGCTGTGACTTTAGAATTTTTAGCTGATTTATCTTAAACAGCTCCTTTTTTAGACTATGCGCCTACTTAATTAGAATTGTTTGAATGTGATTTGTTTTAAGGAGTTTAATCTTAATCATCTTAATCGCTATTATATATCTCCTCATTCTTGTTATCATCTTCCTCCTCAAAGAAAACCTTTTCTTTCTTTCCCATATTGAATATGTCAAATATTCAATTTTTAAACTAAGAATTTTTATTATTTATTATTTATTAAAAATGAAATTTAAAAAATATTTCAATCCGCGAAGGTCTATTAATCTTTATTTATTTATTTACTTATTTATTTCAAGCTATTATTATTTTAATTATTAATTCAGATATGTCTTAGATAAAATTTGTCGATCGATCTCTTTCTAATTAATTTCCAAATTATAAATATTAATGACTACTTGATTTCATAAAAATTGTAAAAACTAATTTAAATAAAGATATATTAACATTTTAACAACAAACAACTATATATAGATATCACACACTAAAAGCATAAACATACATCTTCAGTTTTGTTTTTTTATTAATATTTAAATATAAAATTATTTTTTATTTATTCATACAAAATTTTAAAAAATTTAAAAATATTTAAATCATCAATAAATCTTGTAATTATGTTCATATTTTCTGATTAAATTTACTTTCTCATTCCTCTTTTTCTTTTACAAAAAATAAAATAAGTCTTTATTTATCATTTTTAAAATTTATATGAGTATGTAATGTATGTTTCTTAAAAAGATTTTTCAAAATTATTAAAATTTTAAATAATTTATTTTATAATGTTTTTTTTATAGGATATATATCTATCTATAAAACTAAAATGGCCGAATATAATTTTTTATGATATATTAAATTTTCAGTAAATTAATTATATTTATAGAAAAGCAAAATAATGAATTTATTCATTTACTCTGTTTCAAGCTTATCTAAATAAAAATGAATGATTATTATATTCTAATTTTTATTAAGCAATTTTTTAGATAAATTAATAAATCTTTTAAAACTAATAAATTTTCATCCATATATTTTTACAGCTACAATTTTTATCTTAAATTTTTAGAAATAAAAATTGATAAAATCGCTTTAATTTATTGGAATATATCTAATCAGAATACAATTATTTTATATTGATAGTTTGTTTACAAAGCACAAAAATGGGCGAAGATAATCATCATACATAGAATGAAGCAGATATTGAAATACATAACAAGGTAGAATTATTGCCAATATAATCAACCAATCATTCATTTTTGTTTAATAAATAATACTAGGAATAGAATCAAGCTATTATCAATGATCATAGCAATAATAAAAATAATATCTAAGAAAATAATAGCACTCCTTCAAAAAAAATAACTGAATAAAACTAAAGCCTGAAAATTTCAATAGAAAATTTTGATCCTAGCTCAAAAAAATAAAATTTTATTAATTCTCCTCGTACTCTTAAAGCTTGTGAAGCAAATGGGATTAAAGTTACTGATCTATTTTAGAAAACAAGAGAAGACATACAAAAGCTTTTCAAAGGAAAGGCAAATCTGACTGAAGAAGCTATAATACAGTTTTAGAATACTATAGAATTAAAGAGACTATAAAAAGTTGATGTTGTAATCAAAGTAATATTTTAAAATTACTTTAAGAAATGCAAAAATAAATATAATTCACTTAATAAAATCATGAAACTTATTTTGAGTCATTAATTTTTTTATATTAATTAGGCAAGGTAGCAGCTAATAAATCAAGAGTAAAAATAGTCAAAGATGCTTTAGTTTAATCATTCTGAAGTTTATATAAGAAAAAATAACAGTGATTTTTTTACAGTAATTTTTTTGGAGTTATTTATCTTTTGTAAAATAATACTTTATTTTAGTCCACAGGCTTTAAAAACTGGAAGCATTAAAAAAGTGATTTCGATAGTCCAGCTAAAACTTAGAGTACTCAGAAATCATAAGATTAAAACAATCTTTCAGATAATAAATTTAACCACAAGGAAGGATCAAACAGAAGTTTAGATTCCTGCTAAAATTTTAACAGCCAATAACATGGTTACAGTATGTAGCACTAACTTTAAAAGATGAGAGAAAAAAGCGAGAAGAATATCTCAAAAACATAAGAGAGATAGGTAAAATCATCACCATACATATTTTAAATATTTGAAAGCCAAAATTTTTTAAAAGAAAAAAGATATACTTTCGAGGATATTAACTGAAGTAGAAATAAGGAACATGAAAAGAATGAATGAAGTTAAAAAATAAAAATTAGAAGAAAATTTGTTATAGTAGAAGCAGTATCTAGAATAAAAAAAATAAGAAGTAATAAAAATATATTTGTTTATAATAGATAAAACAAAAAAATTTTTAAAAAAGTATCAAGAAAATAGAGAAAAGAAAGAGCAATATAGAAAATTAAAAGAATAAGAGCATGAAGAAAAATTATTAGCTGAATTAAATTAAAAAGAACGGATCGAATATAGGAGATAATAGTTAGAAAAAGAAAAAAAGAGTCAGTAAGCTTAAGAATCACATAAAAGGGAAGAGTAAAGAAAAAAAAATCACGAAAAGGCTTTACTTCAAATTTAAGAGTAAAATGAAAAGCACTAATATGAAACACTTATGAAACTATAATATGAGTAGTAAAAAGAATAATAAATAAAAATGAAGCAAGCATAAGAAAATGAAAAAAGAAAAGAAATTAGTCAATAAAAAGTTGAACTTTAAAAGAAAAGACTTCAAAAGAATGAATTACTCCATATGCAAGAAATGGAAAAGAGAGAAGAAGTGATTTTTAAATTATCTTTTAAAAATATTTAATTTATTTTTCATATATATCATTAGGAATATAGAAGAAAGTAGTAGGAATAGGAAATTAAAAAAATAGAATTAGAATAACTTAGAAAAAATATTTTTGAGCTTTAAAAAAAATAAGCAGAAGAAAAATAAATTCAAATACAGAAGAAAAATGTAACTTTATTAGATTTAATGAATTTATTGTTAATATTTTGATAATAAAAATATCTTTTTAAAATGTAGAAAGAAATGCAAGAATAAATTGAAAAAAGAAACTATGAAATTTACTAAAAATTATATCACCACGAGTAGTTATACCAAAATATGCAAAGAGAGAAAGTGATAAATGTAATTGAAAAGGGTAAAAGATAAAAAGATAAAGAATAAGAAATACTTTAGAAAAAGCAACAAAATGATCAAGAGCAATATGAAAAATTCCATTAGATATTTTTAGAAAACGAAGAAATGATTGAGAAAACCAATTAAAAAAAGGAGGAATTATTAAAAAATAAAGTATAAAGAAACTAAAGTGCTCAGTTCATAAAGAGATTCCAAGTTAATGACAACAGAACTAGACTTGATTAGATGCACTATTATAAAAACATTCAATTACAGAATAGATTGCTTCATCATAGCCAACGTGTTTAAGACCATGAGTAAGCATATTTATTTACTTGTTGATATTGATAAATAAGTTTATAAATTTTTATTACATAGAATTGAGAAAATGATATTCAGACAATAAATTTAACAAATAGAAAGATAAAATGAAAAATAAAAGTAAGAAATAAAAGAAAAAATGGAAAAGAAATTTCACAGGGCTTAAGATATAAATATTAATTAAATTGTACATGAATTTAACCTAGATATTAGTAAATTAATTTTTATTTTAATTGTTTTTATATATTTATTTGGTATAAATAAAGATTTACCTCCTGAGGTTTTTGACGAGGATTATGGAACCGGTAAAAGAAGTCATAAAATGTCTTTATCACAAACAAGCAACTTCTATCAACCTTAAAGCAAATCTAGTCTCTCAAGATAAACTACTTCCCATGCTAATCATAGAAAATTAATTCCTACCTAAAAAATCTACAGTTAAACTCCTTAAGGTCGTTTAAATACATAATTTAAATCATAAGATAACACAACCAAAGCTAAAGAAGATTAAGATAAAATTAATAATTTTATTTAAAAATCTGAAGCATAAATGGAAAATGAGAATATTCATCAAAAAGATGAACACTAAAACTAAAATCATGAAGGGAATAATTAATAAGAAAATGTAAATCATAACATTCAATCTTAACCTAGTGTTAATCAAGAAAATATGTTTATAACTTAACAGAATTGAATCTAATAAATTCAATTATAATTATGTATATATTTTTATTTGTTAGTTTATTAAGTGAATTGTTTTATTCTTAATACTTATAAACTGTCTAAATAAATAAATATATTTTGTGCCATCTATCTTAATAAGTTATTTATAAAAATATTAATTCAAATTGGCATTTTGTAAAAATATTAAATAGTATAAAAACAAACTTTTTTATTAAATTATTTTAACCTCAAATAAACTGAAATATATAAAATAGAAAGATAAATAAATAATTCCTAAAATCAGTTTTTAGCAGGTTAAAATTTAGGCCCATGCTAAAAGCTATCTTTAATAGCAGCCATTAATTTTTTTGAATCAGTTTTTCTTATAATTAGGTCTTCATTTCTATCAAATGGTTTTCTAAAAGTGTCTTTTCCTTATTATTGCTTCTTTTTTAACAAATTTTCTTAATGCATTTCCATAAGAGTTTTATTTCTATATTTTGATTCATATTCAGAAGCACTTTATCTTGCTTCAGAATCATCAATTTATATATGCTCTAAATCAATAGGGGCGCTTCCAGGAGCCAAACGGGAACTATCTAAGCTTTGCCCTACCTTTTTTTTATTATGGTCAACTTTTTAATTAAGTAAAAACTTTTTAACATTTGAAGCCTCAACTTCTTTAAAAGAGTCATTCAAAAATGAATCTAAATCTTAGGCTAACCAGTCATTATTTGCTTTTTATTATGGTTGAGATATTGAACCTTCTATGAATTTCTATTTTTCTTCTTAGCTAATTAATGATGGTCCAACAGAATTAGAAGGAGCTCTAGGTCCAATTTAACTAGGAATTAATGGTCCAATTTAATTTGGAATCTATGGTCCTATAACAGATGGTAATTAAGGGCCAAGTTATTTACTTTATTGCTTCTAATTTTTTTAATTACTTTCTTCATCATCATCATCTTTATCTGATAGATCATCAGAATCTTCATCTTCGCTATTTTTTTTCAACTTTTTAGAAGGCTTCTTTTCTTTTACTTTTTCATCTTCATCATCACTAGAAGAATCTGAGTCATAATTACTATTTTAGCTCTCTTTATCACTATCTTAATTATCCCCTTCATTATCAGAATCAATATCTGATTTGGATTCTTTATCTTAATTGATTGCCTCATTAATAACATTAAACATGTAAGTAGAAAGAGAGAAATCTGTTTTCAGAGATTTACGGAAACCAGGCTTTCCACTTTTTTGCTTGATTTTAAGATACTTGAATATCTTTGCAAGATATTTTCTAATTTTTGGATTTTCAATATCCTAAATTTCAATTTCTTCTCCTTCATCAAGTGAAGTAAATATAGATTTAAAATCTTCAATGTCATCTTCATATATTTTAAGGAATTTATTCAAGGTTTTTTGTAGTTTATGAATTTTTATTCCCTTGCTATCTTTGTTGTTTTTCTTTTTTGGCTTTTGAGCTTATGCAAAATATTATTCTCTATATTTATCCCTTTTCTCTTAATACTCCTTTTTCTTTAACTTCTTTTCTTTTTATACTTCCTTTTCATGCTTTCTCTTTTTCTTAAGTTTCTTGTTTAATGTTCTATGGCCTTTATTCTTCTGCTCATCAATATCGTCTTCCTTTTTTCTTTTATCTCTATCTCCACCACTCATTTTTATTTCTAATTATTCTGATCTTTTGAAAAATTCTAGATAATATTTAATTTATTTAATAATCAATAATTATTTTTATAGCATAAAAATCTGAATTTAATTTAGGATCTTAAAGTGCTACTTTTAGCGTAGAAATATGTCAAAAAACTAGACAGTTAGTATAAACTATATTAATTTACATAAAAAAGTAAAAATTGAATATTTTTATATTAGAATTTTTAAGTCATTGTGATATTATATGAAATCAACATATAGGATTTTGATAATAGTAGTAATATTAAAATTATTTATCACATCGAATCAATTAATTTAATGAACGAATCAGAATCAGACTTGCTTTTAAGTGATATCCTTTTAAGATAATAATTAATTTTATTTAAAAGAATTTAATAAAAAAAACATATTTTGATTAATAAATATTATTTTGTTAATTAAAAAAAATTTTTTTAAAATAATTTCTGAAAAAAGAGAAGAATTGAAAAGAAATATTTTTTATGTTTTAGAAAATAAATAAATGTATTTCAATTATATAGAACCAACTTACGTCATCATTTTATATGAGCTTTTATAGGAAAACTTATTCTGACCAGTTCTTTTTAATTTTTTCTTCACGGAGTTTTTTTACTATATGTTCATCCTTCACTTTAACGAAAGTCTCACAAACTACTTGCTTTAAGACTTCGTAAGAAGGTACGATGAAGTACCTTGGAGGAATGATTGATTAATCACTTTTTTATTAAATAACTTAATTAAAAAGCAGTTAATCTATTTATTTTTCTTTGTCTTCGTTGACTTCATCAAATTTATTTGAATGAAAATCAATTTCTTCATCTTTTCTTTTATTCATCAGAGCTTAAATGTACATCAATTTTTTTTTCTTTTGAATATAAATTAAAATAAAAGAATTATAAATATAAAGTTTAAATAATTTATTTTACATTTTTTTATTAAAATATTTTAAAGTATTTAAATAAGTCCTAGCTGTACTCTACTTTCCTTCTGTCTAAATAACACTCTATGAATTTCTACCTAGTGGTTCTTTTATTTTATAAAGTTTTTTAACATTTGAATGTTATTAAATAAAAATATTTATTTACTCTGTCTTTACTTTTTCTATTCTTCTTGCATTATTAATTATTGTAAAAAAATCATCCTTGTCTGTTCCTGTTTTTGAAATAGTTTCAAGAACCTTAGAAAAGTATTTATCAAACAAAAAGCCTAGCATTCTTTTAAAATTTTCTCTTTTTATTTTAAAGTCTCTCCATCTTGTGATTATCATGTTAACTTAATTTGAAAAAAGACAATGTTAAATATATGTATTTCTTATTTATCTTACTAGTGTTGTAATATCCAAAAACATAATGCTCAATTGAGTAAAACTATTTTTTATTTCTTAAGAAGTTTGTAACTAATTTTCCCGCTGCTTGCTTAGACTTCTTTTTAAATTTTTTGCAAAAAAACTCTAATGCTTCTCTTGTATTATAAATCGCTTTTTGTTCAGTAGATAAATTTCCATAGTTTTTGTTGATTTGTCTTTACATTCTGATAATCATTAATTTTATTCTAATTGTTATATCTTTTTAATTCCTCATATAATTAGACTTACGCTATTTTATTTTTAAAATATTTTATTGATAAAACACATTTATAATTTTATTTTAATAATTATTTTACTTTTATTTTTTGGTACAATATTTTAAATCCCAAAATTTATAAAATTATTTTAGCCCAAGCATTGCTAAATTTAATAACTTCCTTCTTTCTTTCATTTATAGCAGAAAATGTTTAATTTAACTGCTTTTATAAATCTTTTATTTTCATTGTGTAATCTTTGTGGTAGTATTACATTTCGTCCATTTATCTTTTTTTTTCGGTCACTTCCTTATGCTTTTAGTTGAATTATTGGTATTTTTCCTAAGAAATTGTTTTATGAGTGTCTGGGTTATAGTAATAAACTTATTAAATATTTTGCTACTAAAAGTCTTTTTCTTCTCCATTTTTTTAATTATGAAGCAATTTCATTCTCCTTCTTTATTTTATTTCAGCTTTTTTTAGTTAATTTTTTCAAATTGTCAAATTTATGTTCAAATTTTATCAATTTACCTACATCCTAAGCAAGGATTGGAGTGGAAATATGTCTTTATTATCTTTTCATGTTTGTCCTGCTAAAATCCTATGTAAAAGAATCAGGTTGTTCCTAACTCTTCACCTTATTGGTAATCATAGGGACGGTTTTCTTTTCCATGCCAAATTTTATGGTTATCCTTATTTCTTATTCTATTTCTGAAAGAATTCCAAAATACAGCTTATCAAAGGTAAATTAACTGTTGCTTCCATCATCTACTCTTATGACATTACTCTATAATTCATGTATTTTAATACATTTTAGTAATTAAAAATTAATTGTGATAAAGTAAAATTTATTTTTACCTATAAAATGTAGTCATTTTAAAATTTTGATGGAAATATTGTAGATTTTGAGATGAAAACTTTTAATTTTGATATTGGAGTTTTGAAGCACACTCTAATTGGAGTTGGCATAGCTTTTACTTAAATATATACGTAAAAAAACTCAAGAGTTTCTGCCTTTATAATATTCTAGCATCCCTGCTTATGTGAAAGCTCAATTGATTCAGCTTTTGTAAGGTTCTTAATATTAATATAGTTAAAAATCCCATCTTATTCATCGTTATGCTAATTAGACATATTCATGTTAAGTTGGGCTTGTTATTGCTACATTTCTATTAAAAAATTATCATTTTGCTGCTACTTTGTTTCATTACCGTATTGTAATTTTTTATTTTCAATATCGTTTATAAGATTGATAGTCTTCTCATAATATGGATTTAATTTGCTAGTTAGATAGGAAATTCTAGAAATTAGCTTTTCTTATTTTGGAAAAATATAGCCAGAAAAAACATTGTTTTATATTTTTTATTTCATAAGTTCTACCATTCTATGCTCTTTTCTACTTGTACTAAAAATGTCATTCTCGCTATCCCTTTTTTTGAAAATTAATTTATCATTTTACACACTAGATTAGTTCATCTGAATATTAGGATTGTTTTTAGGAGACAAAGCCTACTAGAAAGTATTGAAACCACCACTATTTTCCATTAAATTACCACTCATATTTTAACTGTTGTTTAAATTGAAAATTTCATTGGAGTTGAAATTGGAATTTGCTTTAATCTCCTCAGACTATTCGTGCATGAATTAATCATTTTATCTTTAATAAGGGCTATAAAAGAAAGTTTAAAACTATTGATTTTTAAAAATCCTTTTTTGTTTTTAGTTCAGGACTAAGATTCTATTGTTAACTTGTTAAGACATTTATTTTTAATTAAAACTTTCTTATTAAATTAAAGAATTTTATTTAGAATGTTAATTTTTCTTAAAGAAATATTATGAGTTATAATTGTTCTACTATTGTAATTATATAATATTAGAGCTATTATTGTTATTATTTACTTGATTTTAAGAATTATTTAATTATTTCTTTAATAACTTTGACATATTCGAGTTTTTAGGTGTTTAATTTATGACATTATCTAGCTGATCCTAACTGTTGTTGCATGTATTCTAAGTATTTGTATAAAAACTAAATCCTGTTGACTTCTAATTTAAGTTTTTAGGTGAGCTGTGATTAGATTACATATTATCAATAAAATATTTATTTGAATATTTTATTTGCATACTTTTACTGTTTGGGTTCAAAATAGGACTTTGAATACCGCTTTAAGATTTATTAGTAAAGTTTTACGTCATTTTAAAATTTTACTGACTTAAGTGAATCTTAACTTAATCATTTAGATTCAATTTCTATAAAGGAGACTCTTCTTTTTAAAAAGCATCATTATGTGGTCGATAATTTATCTTATTCTTTAGAAGTGGAGATTTGGATAAATTAAATGAACTATTTTTCATCTTAGAACTTTTGTTAGCTTAAATAGAAATATTTTTAGCATTTTTTTGGCTTTGTAATTCTTTTTCATTTAAAGATTTTGTCTTTTAGTGGCTAATTAATTTAGATTAACTCATTTTCTAAAAGCTATTTATACTTTTAATTAATTATTAAATCCTTATTTCTACTAAATAGGTTTATTAATTAATTTTTAGTTTGTTATTATTGTAAAAAAATTTTAATGAAAACTTTATTTTATCAAAAGAGAAAAAAAATGCATAGTTTATCTACTAATGTCAGTTCAAAAAATACTAATAAAGCTATCTATAAAAATATTTACTTTTATAAAAATAATCATAGTGAAATACATCACCTTAATGCTTCATTTATACTAAATGCTTATTTCTATTAGTTTGAGTTCAAGAACAACTTATATCTTTACCTTGACCCCTTGCATAAATAGTTAATATTAAATTCAAAATAGAGAAAGATTACAATAATTTCTAATATTTATTTATCATTTTTTAATTTAGGTAAAAAAAATTCCTTTATTTGATAAAACTATCTGATAGAAAAGTTAGCTTTAATTTAATAATTAATTTATAAATTTATAAGATGTATTTATTATTGAATGTAACTAGTAAGAAAATGAGGATCTTTTAATTAATAAATAAAGTATTTATATGAATAATAAAAATAGTATTAATACATCCTAATGGCTATATATTAAAAATTAATGGTTTATAGATAAGTAATAAGACACAATGAAAAAATTAAACTTAATCTTAATTGAAATAGTAAGTTATTGTATTTCATTCTAATTTAATCATATGATAATAATTATAATTAATTAAATATCAATTTAATAATACAATAATATAATGATGCAGCTTAATGAAAACATTTAAGTAAACAACTTTTAAGATACAAATAAGCGTTAAAGTATAACAGATTCTAGTTAACAAAAACAGCTATACAATTTCCAAGGTCGTAGAAGTTAAATAAAAGGGAGGAGTAGTTTAAATTAAAGTCAGTTATCAAATTTGAGTATGCAAGAGCAGTATGAATAATATCAAAAAAAATAGATGCAAATGAAAATCAAAGATTCTCTCAATAATTTAAAATCTATAATATCTTAAAATGTGGCATTTAGGAAAGGTGATATATCAGGTAAGCCCTCCGCTTTATCAAACACAAAATTCTTTTCGAATCTTGCTGGGATAAAAAACCATTACTAAGAAAAAATTGAAAATAAGGTAAATATTTAAGAGTATATTGTAAATTTATTTATATTTGTCAAATGGATCACTGACTTCAAAATGAAAACTACTCCAGATGATTTAGTGTGTTAAGCTTATTTTAGCTTAAATAAATAGTAAATCACCCAAAATAAAACATTTACTTATTTAATGAAAAGAATATCTTATTTTGAATTAGAAGGTATCTAAAATATTAGATATCTTTCCAAACATTTTATTAAAGATTAAAATAAATACTTACTGTTGTTATCTAAACATAATAATTAAAACATTAAGTTCTAAAGGATACATTAAATTTTTCAATGGCTATTTTTAGATATATAAAATATCAATCAAATGCATTAATTTTATTGAATAAAAAACTTTATTTCAATCACCCATTATCACCACTAATTAACTAATAAATTAAAATAGGACTTATTATCTGCAGACACCAATAATAAATTACAACCTAAAGGATTTTAAATCAATAAATCTCTAAGAAATCTTAGCATTATAACATAAAAATAGGAAATATCTAACTAAAATAAAGGTCTGCAATTCATAAAAAATGGAATGAAAGATGAATTTAGTGCACATAAGCCATTATATCAGAGATATTTTTCAGAAAATGCAAACAATTTCATAAAAACAATATAGGATCCATTTGATCCAAAGCTAAGGAGTAAAATTTTAAAAAGCGATAATGAATACAGTAAATTTGTTTAATCTTACTTTAATAAGCCTAAGCTGTACAGATAAAAGCAAAACTAGCTTAAAAAGAATGGATCTTTATCAACCAATACCTCAACTTAAAACTTATTTACGTAATTTACAATATATTTTTATTAAGATATTCGCTTATTAATTTACAGCCAAACAAATTCCACTTATTACCAAAGTAGTAGAAAATATTAAAAAAGTCAGAGTAGAGTTTTCTAACCACAAATTTTCATAAATTAAGTGAATTGAATATTTTATTAAAAAATATGCCATTAAAATTTACTGAAATAATTTTTTTTTATTTAATGTTTATTTAACATAGGTTTGAAGGAAGGGACTTCCTAACTTTAAACAAATAGTAGAGTGATATAGAAAAAAATTATATAAGTTAAATTAGCGACTTGGATAATTTTTAAGAAAACCATATGATCGATACCCTTAATAAGTTTCAGTATGGATAAATGGCTTATATTTAAAAAAAGAAAGTTGATGTTGAGAAAACAAGAATGGCTAGAGTTATATAGATAGAGAATGAAAAAAGAAAAAATTTAGCAACTCCATTTTCAAGAACACACACTTCTGGTGGTTTTAGATGCACAACAGCTAATACTGTAAGCAATTAGGCAGAAAGAATTAATTTAAACGATTAATTAAGTGTTTAATAATCAAATCATTAATCTTAACAATAAGGTGTGTAAGCCTAAACTAATTCTCATTATGTAAGCAATTCTTACTCAAGTTCCTAAAAGTTATAAAAAAGATTAGAAAATTAAACTAAAAAAGGTTACCATGTAATTAAACGTAATTAAAGTGAGCATGCCTTGGCATACCATCAAGAAGATTTAATAAGGGACGAAAGTGATGATAGTTCTAATGCATCTAGAACAGAAGCAACATTAGATGTATTATATAGTGAATCAATATATATTTAAAATAGATTAGTTTCAGATAATTAAGATGGCTTAATAAAAAAATTAAAATAACTAATTAGATTAGAAAACCTGAAAAAAAACGTACTTGAAGCTAACTTGTATAAATTAGAGCATAGATGATAAAACAGTTAGATATATAATATCTATTTAAGAAAAGACAATTAAGTTTATAGGCAATTTTTCAAATTTAAATTATTATTATTATAGAAGTAATCAACTTAAATAACAATTGATAAAATTGTTATTAAATTTTTTGAGCAAAAATAATTTAGCTAATTCATCAATTTAAAATATTTAATATAATTTTTGTATTTTGTACATAATTTATACATATCAAATTGTAAATAAATCCTCCACTAATAATTTCATTTCAGAGATAAATTATTTAATATAATTCTTCTCTAGAGTTTTTATTTATAAGTTTAATAAGTTAAGCATAAAAATAATAAGTAAAATGGATTTTTATTTTTTTCATGTTGCTTATTATTTTTATTAGTTAAATTACTTAATATCAGAAAAAAATTTGCCAAAATTTATTACATTATATTTGAAACATAAATATTTTAATTAAATGTAGCAGTTAGCCATAAATAACTATAATAACTATACTAATAAGATTTTATGAAATAATTAAAAATAATTTCTATCTTTATTAATAACTAATAAATTGCACCTTTTTTTTGAGCTGTGCTTAATAATAAATAATTTAACTTATTATTTACAAATAAATACTTTGCATTTAAAAAAAAAGTATCATATTCACAGATTTTGTATATTACAGATAATTCTTTAAATGCTCAACGATTTTAATAAATTTTAAATAAATCATCAATTTCAATAATTAATAAGCAGTTTAAATATTATTAAATATTTAGTATTTTACAAATAATTCTTTAAATGCTCAATAGTTTTAATAAATTTTAGATAAATCATCAATCTTAATAATTTAAAAGCAGTTTAAATATTATTTAATATTCTATGTAAAAAAAATTATAAAATTGTAAAAATAATAAAAACAACAAATTTTTTTTGAAAAACTATTTTAATAAAATTTTTGAAAATTTGAATAAAATTAATATTCACAAGTTCATAAAATGTATAAAATAAATGTAAGGACTACTACCACTCACAGTTTCATTAACTTTAAATTATTTATAACAGGAGTCTCGGAAGTCCATCTAGTTTTTCAAGAAACAAGTTTGTCAGACTTGTTGCTTTCTTGAAATGAAACTTTATTATTTCCCTTATTCGAAATTATTCAATAGAGGAATTTGAATAATTTATTAAAGAATTGCAGGGAACAATTAAAAGATTTATAATGAAATTGAATAAATGAATGAATTAATAGTGAATTAATTTGTTACATAGATTTGTTTATTATATGTACATAGTTTAATTTTTAAATGAGTAAATAAGTAAAGAAATAATTTTGAAAAGTTTTAAAATCAAAATACTTGGTAGTAAATCTTAAACAAAATTTTGATCTATCTATCGATTAAAATAAACTCATAAATTTAATAAATTATATAAATTCTTACTATTTTATTAAGTTTTATTCTTTTATTATTTATTTGCTTAATTTCAAAAGTGTAAATAAATAAATAATAATTTGCTTTATTAAAGTGTATTTTTCTTAAGATTAATTTTTTAATTATTTGAATCTTCTTCTTTAAATCAATTGGCTAGAAAGATGCTAAAAAAATTAAATCTCCAAAATGTAAATTCACAGGCAGATTCAAAAAAGAATATCTTTTCATATTTAAAGATTAAATAAACATCCTTATTTAGTTTTAGTCTATTTAAATTTCAAAATACTGTTAATTTTTTTCATTAAGAAGGTTTGGAAAATTCAAATAATAGAACCCTTTTATGACGTTTTAATGTGCGGTTTTACTTCAAATAATAAAGTACTATTTTTTTATTAAATCAAGTAAATCAAACAAAATATACGCTTTTGCTTAACTTTATTTATGCCCTTCAAATGGAGAAGTTTAATACCATAACAAATAATGAATAAAAATATTCTATATCTTTGCATAACTTAATTTTTGAATTCACATATTTCTTAAATTCTACTAAAATTAAGAATAATATTGATGTAATAATTATTTGTACTATTATTTATCTAAGATATTTTGATTACCTTGTTGTTTGTTATTGACGAGATATATATTTCCAATTGTCTTTCAAAAAACAAATCGAAATCAAATTAATCATAAATTTGTATCTCTTTTTTAACTTAGAATTGTCTTTTTCCTCAAACCTTTATTTTCTAAAATTATGCTCTTATTTATTTCAAAGCGTTCTAATGTACATATGATGTACTTATTATTAAAATAATATGTGTATTTGTTATATCATTTCATTTCTGAAAAGCGAATGACTTGACTTTAAACAAATTTTGTGATCATTATTTATAATATAATTAAATTGCTGGTCTTACAGCAATTTTTATTGGTAGGGTTATGAAAGAAGCTCATATAAAGCTTTTAAAAATAAGCGCTTAGTGATTATTCATTTAAAAGCTAGCTTGGTTCCATAAATATTTTCAAAAGCTAATAGAAATCAGACACACATTTGTTTTCTTACTTTAAATATGATGATTAATCAAGTTTATGATAATTTAACAATAATCAACATTATTGGTTTGTCTATTAGAGTTTTGAGTATGGGATTGTTAATTTATTATGAATTGAGGCAGGTTATTTATTTAAAAAGTAGTTAGTTATTGTTTTTATCTTGTATTTTTAGTACTTTTACAATTTAGGGCAAGTTTATTTATTCACTCTCCTTTTTTTTTTACCTGTTCAGAAAACAAAAAAAAAAAAAAGAAAAAGAAAAAAAAAATTATAGACCCGCAAAAATCTTTTAAGTATTTAATAAGCAACACTGTATAAAGACTGGTTTGACATTTGTTAATAATTAAAACTTAAAGTGATATTTTCAAGTTAAGCTGAAGTGGGGAGTTAAGAAATTTGTCTACACAATCTAAAATGTCAAAATGCAAGATAGGAATATTTGGAAAAAGAGAAACAAATCCACTTAAACTTAGACTTATAAATTGTTTTATTTATTAAAGAATATCCTATTTATTTTATATTATCATTAATATTCTACAGACTAAATTTTATTTGCCTTTATTAATAAGTATTATGCATAAAAGCTTTAGATAGATAGATCAATTAAAGATAAAATTTTTGAAAAAAATTTAAAATCTTTAATTAATGAAGATTTAAAGTATTTAAAATCTAAGTGATTTAAGTTCAATCTAAAATATTAAATTCTTAGTTATATTTGTCGAGGAGGGGGATTGAGCTATTATTTTATAAGTATTATAAACGTATTAAGTACAAATCAATAAAATAATAAGTTAAGGTACATTATTTTTTTATTTTTGGGGGATTGATATGCACAACAATCTGAGCAATTCTTTTGTGGATCCACATTTTAGACTTTGCTATTAAAACCCGATCCTGTCAAGGAAATTATTTGATATAATTTTTTAATACTTAAAAGAATATTTATTTATAAATAAATAGCCAAAATAACTCGTTTAATTACGTAGATATATTTCAAATAAAACTTACATACATTAGCATATAACTTTAGTAAAACAAACATGAGCAGATTCTTCAAGTTTATGAACAATTTCAGAAAGGTAGCTTTAGGAACAACTTTGGTTGCTACAGGATTCGGTGTCAACACTCTCTTGTGCTAAGCTCCTTAAAATATGAACAAAGACTACCTCAAATTCTTCACAGAACGTGAAATGAACGACTTGAGAAAGAGATACCCTCAATTGACTGTCCTTCAAAACAACTAAACCTAATTGATCTTCTCTAAGATCCGTAATAAAGATACTCCTACTGCTGAATTCCGTCACCATGCTGATAGAATCATGAGATTATTGATTGAAACTGCCCTCAACGAATAGGAAATCTAAGTTACCAAAAGGGAAACTCCTTGCAGTTATTATGACTCCTCTGAATTGAAAAATCCTACTGACTTCGTAGCTGTAACTATCATGAGAGCTGGTAACTCCTTCCTCCATGAACTCCTTCGTATCATGCCTGATATTGATGTAGGCTAAATCCTCTTACAAAGAGATGAAACCACTAAAGAAAAGAGACCTATCCTCTACTACACCAAGTTACCCAAGAAAATTTAAGGAAGAAAAGTCCTACTTTTCGATCCTATGATTGCTACTGGTGGTTCAGTTATCAAGGGTATTGAAGAATTGATTAAAGTCGGTGTTTAAGAATAAGATATCACCTTCGTCAACCTTATTGCATGTGAAAAGGGTATTAAGAAAGTTCTTGACTTGTATCCTAGAATCAAGATTATTACTGGTTCTATTGATCCTTTGCTTTTAGAAGACTCTAAATATATTGCCCCTGGTCTTGGTGACTTTGGTGACAGATACTTTGGTACCAATTGAGTAGAAGATGAATGAAAGCATTTAAATTGAAAGCTTTAATAAAAAAATAATAAGAACAACAGCAATAATATTAAACAAGTATTTTACTTAAACATAACTTAAACAACAACTACTTATACTATACTATAGAAAATTATTTTAAATCTCTACCTATTTTATACCATCTATTTTAAATAAATACTGTATTTTGTATTAAAATTTATTTTAGTATATTGTTTTTAAAGACTTATACAAATCCTTTTAACGAGGTCCCTTTTAATCTAGCATCTACTACCTTAGTGTTAGATGAGACTACAAGTAAATCCATTTTTTCAATAGAACTTGACCTAAGTTTTTTTATTTTTCTAATCTAAAAAGTGCTAGAGAAGCAAAGTTTTCAGTTCTAATTTTTGAATTTTGTTTAAATAAAAGTTGTTTAACTGAAAATATTTTTTTCATTTATATTAAAAAATAAATAGATGATTCAAGTTTTTTAAATAAAAGGCAAACAAAAATATTTTATTCATAGAATTTTGAAAAATTATAAAAGCCTTCTTTCCATTTATAGATAGCAAAATTAATTAACAAAATAAGAATAGAAAGCAATTAAAATAAAGATTAATTTAGATCAGGTTAATATTTATTGAAGAAAAATAAAAATTTTTAAGCAATCACAGAATTTTCTTCAAAATTAATTAATCACTTATTTATTTTTTTATTTACTTTCAATCAAAGATTTAAACAAAATAAAATTGTTAAAATCTGAAGCAATTAATCTATCCTTTTTTATTAAGTTTTAATTAATAATAAAACTAAACGATCATATAAACAATAAAAACGACAAATCTTTTTCAGTGAACAATTAAAAAATTGATTGAATTATCACCATAATTATTTAGAAAATATGTGTTTTTATTTAATTCATTTATTCACAATAATTAATTAAAATATTTTTTTTCATAAAATAAATCTTTTAAAGATTTGTTTTATAATGTGACAATTATATTAAATTGATTATATAATTTAATTAATTAATAAAAAATAATTAAAAAGCTATTTGTTTGATTTGTTCTAAAAATATTTCTATCTATTATTTTTTTAAATATGTTTTAAATAAAATTAAAGATTTTTTTTTAAATTTTTGATAATATATTTACATAAAAAATAAAATATTAGTTAAAAATAATCGAATAAGCTATATTAAATTTATTAATAAATTTACTTATTAAATTTTATTCTATTCATTTTTTATATGAAAATTAATCATAAAAACTATCAATCTATTTATTTATTTAAGGAAAAAAAAAAATCTTTTATTTTGCAAGTTTTAAGATTTGGAAATATAAATTTTCAATTGTTTTTTTATTGAAATTAAAAATGATTTTTTGAATCTTTTAAAATATCTAAATTTAAAAAATTTATTTGATATGAATGTATACTATAAGTTTAGTGAATATTCATTACATTCTATTATATTAATATCCAAATAAATTATTATTTTAGTAGTTATTTGTTTATACAACTCCAAATACATTTCTGGTTATTCTTTAACTGAAAGAGTTTCCAATTACATTAAAGAATTCAGAAATAATTTCAGGTCTCTTTTAGATTGCTATTCTAAACTCACTATATGAAATTTGACCATCATTATTTTAATCTGCTAATTTAAAGAACTCTTCAGTATTGTTTTTAAGTTAATCTATAGAAAAGCTTATTCCTCTTAATCTACCAGCTACTTCAAACATCCTAGCTACTTCATTCTTTTTTATAAAAATAAATTTTTATGAAATTCATTTAAATTATGTATTCATACCTTATCCAAGAACCCATCTCCATTAACATCATAGGATTGATAGGCTAATTTTAACTTTTCTTCCAAGTTACCGCTAATAAGGATAGACATATAACAAACAAAATCTCTAAAATCAATTAAACCAGTGTTACGGAAATCTAAAAGTTAAGAGATATTATCACTCAAGGTGTTATCTATTCCATTTTCGCTATTTGAAACGGAGAATAAATAATTTTTAAAAAGATTTTAATGAAAAATGTAATTTACAATAGTATATTTTTGAATTCTTAATGGGTAAATGAGCCTATGTTTTTATTTTGTACACGATTCATAGAAGCTTTTTTAAATTGATTGTACAAATTTTCTATTTTATCCCTATCGAGACCTGTTTTAGAAAGCAGTTCAGAAACAATTCTATTTTTATCCTCCATTACTACACTTCCTTCTTAGAAGAAGTCATCTAGGGTGTTTGAATGATTTCTTTATTAAATATTTTAAAAAAGTAAATAATACAATTACATTTATTGCTTTTGCTTTACAAATCAAAGAACTTTTCCGATGCATTTATTCTTTTTTACATAGATATATGAGACATATCAAATAAAATAATATTTATTTTAGGAGTAATATTAGGAGACTAAGCAACTTCCCTTTAAACTATATTTTCGTATAAGCCTTCTTAGTTGAGATTTGCATATTATCCATTTTCATAGATAATAAATATTTCTATTGGACTTACTTTAAACTTTTCTTCAACCTTATTAAATAATTATAAAAATTTTCTAAGCTTCAATTCATTCATATTTGGGAAATATATTAATTACTTAAATTAAAGCTTAAAGAAGAGTATGTGAGGAAGGAACAACTATTTCTTTGTTTTCACCATTAGGGTATTACTTATAATAACAGTTTAAGATAACATTTTAAGAAGATGTATTTTGTGGTCTCCTCTTTAAATAATCCTAGAAAGCTTCTTACTTAACTTTAATATAATCTAAAAGTAAAAATTTTAAATATTTTTATTACAATTTCTTAAAAATAAAAAGTTACTTATGAGTTCATTGAATTTAACTTATAGTGAGTGAGTAAACTATTAATCAAAAGGTAAATCCTAAGGTTTGCTAAGAATTGTGAAGCAATTCTAAAGGAATTACTAATAGCTTTCAATCAAATAAGGCATAACAGAATGTAAAAGTGCAACATCAACTTTGTTAGCAAAAATATCATTAAAAAGCATTTCAAGAGCTGATTATATTTTGCTGTAATTAGAAATATCTAACAAATCTGATAGGATTCTATTGTACCTAGTATCACTAATTTATCTATAATTTTACAAATGTTTTGCAATCCAATTCAAAGAGTCAAATGACAGCTTCATTATTTCTAAATTATAGGTGCATTCATAATAATTATAAAATTCTTACATTATTTTATCTTTTTCTCTAAAATCTTATAAACTATGAACAAGTCCTCTTTAAAGGTCAGAATCAACTACATGTCTAAAAAATTTTAAATAATTAATTTTTAGGATAAAAAATTAAAATAAAATAAATACTATAATTTCTCATTTTATAAAAATAATTAAAAAAGTAAAAATGAAAAAAAATTTTATTATCAATCAAATTTTTTTAAAAACTGGCCTAATTATATTGTGGCCTTAATATATGAACCTTTACCGTATTTTTGTATTTGAAAAAGAAATAATAAATTTTTTAATGAATTAATCAAATATTTATAATTGTAGTTAGATTTTTTACATGAAGTTTGCATCAACTTTAGAGAGGAGAGCTTCAATAATTAGAAGAATTTTTTGCTTAATAATAGATTAATCATAAATCTTTCTGTATAAGAAATTTAGGAATCTATAATTATTAATTATGTAGAAGTAAAATCCTTACTTAATCAATTTTTCAATAATTGATAGTATTTCTAATTAAATTTCTGTGTATTAAGACTAACCACTTGAAAGGAACTCTTAACATATTGAAAGGAAATCACATTCAATAATAAACTAAGCTTATTTAGAATTGTTCATAACTATTTTTTTAATTGCACTTAGACAAGCGACTTTTACTTTAAAAGAATTATGCTTAACCAGTACTTCAATTATTTTTTGCCATATAAAACAATTTTCTTGAGTGATTTCTATAAATGGAAGAAGATAACCCAATCCAACAACTGCATTTGCTAAAGTGTCGTCAGCAGTAAAATTTAAAAATATTTTCTATAAACTATCTGCAAGGTTTAAAATGACATTCAAATCATAAATTTTCTACCCTTAAGGTAGAGTTTAGCCTGCTAAAATACTAAGTGTCCAAGAATGATAAATAGACTCAAAATAGTCGTTTTAGTCATTTAAATTATTCAAAAGCTTCATGCAATTTTCACCTATAATTACATGGGCATTTTCACTTAGCAGATAATCTCTTATATCTTTATTTCCCTTTGCTAAAAAACCTATCAATAAAACAGACTATCCTTTAAGCTCAATAATATCACTATTTAAATAAGATCCAAGCAAATGTTAAACTATTCCTTCTTTAAATAGACTGTATTAATAGTGCAAAGATTGCTACTCATATTTTGATCCTACAGGAGCATATGCTAATCTAGGTCCTTTAGATTTATAAAATGTTAATGTATAAGAAATTTAAACTAAACCAAAAATTTTAATTGATTGACTGATTTGTTACCTGCTGCATAAAGAGTAGCAACTTGGAGAGCTTTCCATACAATGTTAGGTTCAGTGCTGTTCACGATTAAACTACATATCCTTTTAATTAAGGAGAATTCTACTAAGTCATATATTTTAATAAGCAAATGAGATATTTTGAATCTTTCATGGGGTGTCTTAAAAATCCTACTTAACTCCATCAGTTTTGTTAAGACATCAACTGCATACAAAACTTTCTATTAATCTGGTGAATGTAAATGCTAATTTTTTTTTTTTTTTTCTTAAATTCATTTTTATTCTCAAGAAAATAATAATAATGCTTACTTCAACTATATTTTAGAATTCATTGTTGAAAACTAACTAACACTCCTAAAAGAACTAAACCTTTAATTAATTAGTGAATAAATAGTATATTATTTATTTATTTTATTTTTTGTAGTTGATGAGAATTGATTCAAATTAAAATTGTATGAGATATCTTGTAATAATATATAATAAGAGACAAGTTGATAGAGCTTACTTAATTTTATGTGAAAAGTAATAAACTATTATTTTACCTTATCTACAGCAGACTCTTTGACATGAGCAAAGAAGTTGTAATTTCCTAGTTTACTGGCATTAACATCATTTTGCTCAATATCTAAGATATGTTTTTCGAAATCACTCATATTTTTAGTTAAAAACTGTAGGACTTCAAGGTGAACCATCTTTCTTTCAAATATTAGGGACACTCCTTCTTGGTCGTTATCATTATTAATTTCTCTCAATACACCATTTTGAGAAAGATACTCTGCTAAGGCTTGTAAGAATTCATGCCATTAGATAGTCCCATCCTTATTGCTATCCATGTTAGTTATTAATGTATTTATCTCCTATTCTGTCATACGGTCTATATATTTCAAAAAATATTATTTAATTACTCAAATTCATTAAAGTGGTTGTGTTTTAAAGATTTATCCCCTTAATGATAAAAGTATAATTTATAATTTTTTACAAAAAATTAAATGATTTATTACTTTAAGAAAGACGGACTATCAAATTTCTCATTTCTTATGTAGAGAGCTCGCCTGAGTGGTCAGTATCTATAATAGTAAACAGTTTACGTATTTCTTCAATCTATGTTTTGGTTAAAACTTTTTAATCTATAAGCTTCTTTTCTAACTCGAGAGAAGTATTCTCGTAGCTAACACCTGAGTTGACTTAGTTCATTTTTATGTAATCTGCGTATTTATGTATGTATGAATCTATCTATGTATGTATGTCTAATATAATTTTGATCTATTTTTAATTCAAGTGTAAGAAATAACTTTTTATAAAATTTTGTTTGAAAATATTATTTTTTATTTATTATATTGTTAAAGGATTTGACTTTAGCTTTTATTTTCAATAATATCTATGAATCCTAATTGAGAATTCCATAAAAATTATAATTTAAATACAAACTTAATATTTAATTCAAATTTTATCTGATGGAACGAATCTTTGACGACTTTCAATACAAACAAATCAACCTTTTGTAATATCTTTCTAATCAAAATCCATAACTTTTAGTTAGCTTTTTTGTGTAATTATCACATTCTGATAAATAAATTCTATTGAATATAAAAATTTGCCCGCTTTTTTTAACAAGATTAGTCAATATCTTTGTCTATATTAGAATAATCACTGAGATCATTTGATCAATTAATATAAATTTTATGTTTTATAAACAATATTAGATATAAAATTCCATACAAATTCATATTTTAAATAAATTTCTTCTCTATAAAGTAATAGTTAACTTATAAATTAGTATTTTAAATTAGGCATTTATTAAATAATTTTTAGAAATAAATAGTCTTATTTATTTTAGGTCAAAACAAATATTTAGTTTTATTTTCTTAAAATATTATTTTTTCAAAATTTAAATAAGAAATGTATTTAATTTTTAAACTAATTTTAATTTTATGATAAATAAATAAAATAAACTAAATTAATTTTATGTCATTATCAATTAGGAGCGATTTGCTATTGGTTTCTATGTACTTCAATAAGTTCATCTTTTATTAATTGACTTTCAGGAATAAATTATTTTATTTGTTGCTTAAACTCAAAAGTATTTTTCTACAAATTTATATCTTAAATTATTTATACATACTTCAATGCTTAGTTTATAGAATTAAATGCCAAATTATATTATCCCAACTTAAAAAAAGTCTCAGCTTGCAATCTAGAGCTCCAGTAATTCTTTTAGTTATTTTAAATTTACAGGATATGACTCTCTTTAATTGCTTAGCTCTGGCTTTCTTCTTGTTTACTGTGTCCTTAATATTTATTAATAGCTTAGAAGCCTTTGTCTATATCTCCTCTATTTACTTCGATACAGGCTTTTATGTATTGTAAAACAACCCATCTTGGTTTTTTAGTTAAGTCATAATCTTAACCTTTATGTTTTTAATTACTCTTCAATTATTCATAAATCTTAATAGCTTAATAAACATGTCTTATGCTTTCATCGTAATTTTTTTCAATAAAAGACAACTCAGTCAGGTCTTGGTAGACAATATAATCCATGTAAGATAATGAAAAATCTATTTTTAGTTAAAATAAAAATATTTGACAATTAAAATATTACGAGTTTAATCTTACCTTTTTACAATTACTTGATTTTCAAATATGCATTTCCTATCTACTTGAGCAAGAGTTTTAATTAATTACTTTTTAAAAAAGTGTACATTTCAACCACTTTATTGTGAAGTATGCTAGAAACATTGTTTTCAGATATGAGTTTTTCCAAAAGTGAGAGAGCCTCTTGAAGATTTTCTTCAGCTTTTTCATATGGGATCTACTAATTCAAAAAACTAATCTAGAATTATAGGCATAAGGTAATAAAACGATCTGTTAAGTCAACACAGTTTGGATTCTGCTTTAAAACTTGTACAGCTCCATCAATATTTTTTTAAGCCTCATCAAGCTTCTGTATTTTAAGATAAAAAGTAGAAACACTGCTTTTTGATAAAACAATGTGAGAAGGTAATTAAAGCTTTTCAGTAAGTTTTATCCACTTTTATCCATACTCAGCAGATTTTTCGTTATTATTCTTGCATGAGTACAAAACAAACAGATTGTTAAAGCAAATCAGTAGCATATCAGAAGGAATTTAATTAGGCAAATCATTCATTATCTTATGTAGCAATTACTCTGATAATTCAATAGCATCATCATATTTCTTTTCATATTTAAGTTTAGATACTTTAGATATTATTTCCTAAATTTATCTCCTAGAAGTATTTGAATTCCTCATTTCTAATTTTTAAACTTATATGTCTTCTCTTATTTTTTTACCCTCAAAAGTGCTATAGTTTAACTCTTATTGCAGAAGAGGAATAACTGTTCCTTGTATATCTTATTTTAATTCATCATATTTACTAAAGATTTGTATCATCTTTTATCCCAATGTAAATAAAGATTACTTTTAATGAGTATCCTCAAAGTAATTTAGCATATTTTTATAAATCGGATAGAATTATGGAGAATTATCTAAACTATCTAGAAGGTTTATTATCTTATTTTCATATTCTTTTACCATATCAAAATCTTATAAATCTCTATAAGATTAAAGAAATTTCAATGAAACCTCTAGTTTTTATTCTTAAGTACCTAAAAATTCTATAAATTGTTCTTCTGCTTAATCAACATATTCTTATTAACTATCTTAATCTCCAACAATCCCAAAAATTTAACTCATTTCTAAAAGAGAATTAGTTAAGTTAAGATTGTGATCAGTTTACTTTAATCTCTCGTAGTTAGGAGAGCTTGGATTTAAATACTATTCTGAAATAGTCTTATTGAGAAAATAAAGTATTTAAATTGCTTAGTCATATTCCTACCTATAAAAAAGGATTCTACTGAACAAAAAAGATAGCTAAGCACTATTTAAATCATTGCTATTCATCTATCCATATTATTCTTTTTGTTAAACTTTAATTAGTTAATCCATCAACTAGTGATAGCTTAAACTTTAAAATTATGGGAGAAGATAATGATAGTCTTTAGGTAGAAATGAAGTTAAATTATTTAACAAAAAAATATTCTAATTTCTACTATTTTAGGAATGATCAAATTAATTCGAACAAAAATAAAATACATTTTTCCTTTAATATTTCCTAACTGCTACTTAGTAGCTCAAAGCTTGTTATCTATTTATAAATTTTAAAATTTAGTTCATTTTTAACTTAATTAAATATCTGAAGTTTTAATGCAAAAATAATTATTATTAACTATAAATTGCGTAACAAGTATATTAATATTGATTAATTATTTTTTTGATAGATCTTATTATTACCTCCACAAAATCAAAAGTGTATTTTTGTTTGTAAAAATTAAAATAAATGAAAAATCATCTTATTTTCTTATCACAAAACCTATAAAATATAACAAAGAAATTTCTTATAATAAGATTACTCATATAATTTTTATTTGATAATTAATGAAGTTTAAGATTTATTAGAATTCCTACTTTACATATTTTATTAAAAATTAAATAATTCAAACTCATCTTTTATCTCAAGAAATGATTTTGAATTAAATGTAAAAATATTGCCTTAAGTTTTTTAATTGATGAAATAATTAAAATAAACTTTTAATAAAATATAATTTTAATTTGATGCATACTTAAAAAAATAAATATATATTCTATTTTATTCGATATTTAATATTCTAATTATCAATCGATACCTATATTTTAAGCATAGAATATAGGAGCTCGATTTTTCTAAAAATTCTATCTTTCTCATAAAATTAATTAAAAAAAAATCAAAATATATATTAATAGATACAAATATTTAAAAATTTTAAAATCTAAATTCGAAGAAACTCATTAATTCAATTTAATAATCTAAATTTATTTAATAGTAAAAAATGAACTAATTATATTTAACAGCTTTAAATGATTATTTAAATATATTTACTATAAGTGCTTGTTTTAAATTAAAAATTTTTAATAAATAATAAAATAATTTAATATCTCAATTTAGTTTAATCATAAGAATGAAGCCACATAAAATATTTATGAACCTAAATAGATCTAAATTTAACATAATTCTTAAAATTTGTGTAAATATATAGCCATACCTTTAAGAAATCTATTATTTTTTAAATATTGCAAATTTAAAAATATTAGAGTGAGGTAATTAGGTAAAATAAGATTTCATTAAAATTTAATTAAAAAATTTTGAGAAATAAAAAATATTATAAATTTTAAATAACAAAAATAATTCAATTGATAATTAATATTCAATATTTAAAGCTAAACAAAAGTTTGTTTTTACTTCATTTACTATTATGAATTATCAAAAATTAATTATTAAAACATTAATTTGTTTTGGTTATTAATCTACTATTATTTGTTATCCTCAACTTTCTATTTAAAAAAGAATCAATAAATAATCTATTGGTTAATAAAAAAATCATCCAATTAAATTATATAATATTTAAACTAACTCAAGCAACGATTTTAACAAATCAGTTTTAAATAAATAAATATTTATGAAGTTTGGAATTAATCTTATGATATTTAAATATTTAAAAGTTTATCTTTTTAGCGTCAAAGAAAAAATGAATGAAATATTGAGATTTGAATAGAATAAATTACATTTTTTAAGATCTTAAATAAATATATTTAAACCATAAGTAAAATAATTTAAAAATATAACTAAAGATAAAATAATAATACTAAAATAATTAAACTATTATGAACATTTATAATAGATATAAAGTCTTAGTATCTTTTAAATTAATTTATTTTCAGTAATTTTATGATTAAAGTATTGTTATTTTCGTTTGTTTATAATATTTTCTAAAAATTAATTCTTGTTAGACATACATAAGCTTCAATAAGAGGATTTTTTAATTTATAAATAATATTTTAATTATGAGTTGATTAAGAAAAAATTTTGTTTAAGGAAAAAGAGAGAAGTGAAACAAAAAATTAGTTTATGTATATATAATGAATGTCGCTTTTAAATAATGAGAGTAACAATCAAATTCAAACTTAGATACACTTAATTTTTAATGCCTAAGGAATTCGTATATAAATTTAAATTTTCTCTGCTTGATTAATTTTAGAAATTATTTAATCTATGAACAAATGTAATAGACAGATTCTTTAAACATCAACCCATTCGGAAAATAAAAGCCTATCTCAAAAAAAAAAAGAAATTGAGATATTATTTGTCGGAGATCAAATTCTTACTAATTTAATTGAGGGGGAATTTGAGTGATAATAAAATGAAACAAAAAGAGAGCAAAAATAAATCAAAAAATATTTAATTTTTTTTATTACTTTTACATACTTGATAGAAGAATAAGGAAACTTTGATAGAATGAGTGAATAAATAAATAATTGATTAATTGATTGATTGATCCATTAATCAATAAATTAACTAATTAATTAATAAATCAGTCAGTCAGTCAATCATATACATATTTGCTAATACTAATTCTATTCATTTTACATTTTTCTATCTTATATAATACTAAAAGAAGAAAAAACAAAGAATAATAAAAAGAAACACTAAAAGCAGTGAGCGGGAGAAAGAAAATAGTACTTTGAATATTAGATAACCTTAATTTAATATAGCCACTGACAATTAATATACATACATAATTTATCATAATTAATCTAAAGTAAATCAAGATAAAGTCTAGGCAAATATATATAATATTTAATATTCTTTAAACATAGTAAATATAAATAATTTTTTCATATACGATATAGCTAGATAGCACTCCTTATTTACAACATTATATAATTAAAGCAACCAAGAAGGGGTACAATTGATTTGCATATCAAATATTAGAATTAAAAAAGATATATTTTGCTTAAACAATCATAAAATCTTATAGTGAAAAATGAGTATTTAACCAAATTAATTTACTTCAGGGCTTGAAAGGCAAATAGATTTATAAAATTTGAGCTTTTAAAGCAATGCATAAGGAAACAACAATTCAATTAATGGTAATGGAAATGTAAACTAAAGCTTCAATTTTTTCTAGAATAGGATGTCTGCATAGTCTAATGGAAAGATGTCAATTGACAGTGTAGGGTACAATCCAAACCTATTAGCAGCTTTATCTGGAATAGGTGGTGCAGATGCATTGAATAATATATCGCCTGATAAATCTTAGAATTCTATAAGAGACCCTTACAGAAATAATAGTCTATTTCCTTCTTAAATAGAAAGAAAAACTATAGATGGAATGTCAAATATTGAAAATAGGTATATTTATAATATATAAAAAATATTTATTTTTAGAAATCCTTTCATTTCAAGTACCAAAACGATGATTTATTATTAGTACTAGCTTCTCTTACAAATAGCGTTTGCATACAAATGTTATCAATAAATCTTAATGTTTTTGAGCTAAAGTATGTTATGAAATCTAGATATTTTTTAATTTATAGATTGGAAGTCTAATTAAAATGCAAAACTGCAATAAAATACTTATGAATTTCTATTAAACATTTTCATATTATAAGTTAAAAGAATAGATCTATTTTTAAGAGTTTTTGATATTTAAAGAGAGCAGTAAGCTGCACATACTAAATGAAAGGATGTTTTTTATACAAATATAAATAAAATAATTATTATTTATCAATTATTTAATAATATCAAACTAGGTTATCAGAATATTAGGACCAACTTTTCGATTTTTAACAATAAAACCAGAGATGCTCTTTAGAGGACACATTATAAATGACAGCTAATAGAAATAGCTAATTTTAGAATAGTTCTTATCTAAGTATTACTTTCTTTATTTATTTATTTGATTTTCTTTCTCATGCTAACTGGTCATTTTAAAGTCATTAACAAAAGCCATCATAAATATTTACTTATTTACTTTTCTAATAATTTTTGGGTGTTTGTTATTCATGCATCTTCTATATTTAAAAAAATAAATGCTAATTAAAATTTGTGGATTTTATTTTAATAAAAATTATTTAAATTAAATAGGTAATAACATATACCAGTCAAACAGAAATAATAATAATAACATTTTTGGTAGATATTAAAGTTAAGTACCTTGCCTTAATTCTATGTACAATAATATGTATACAGATGATAAGTCAATTCTTCAGAGCACAGCTCCTAATTAATTAATGCCCTAATCCTACAGAATTAATACTAATCAGTTTGGTTTTAGTAATCCATAGTACATTTCCACTTAAACAGTTGCATCTTCTCAGATGTAATCTATTATTGGAGAAACTGCTTTAGCAGATAATGTCTCTATGGGAACTTAAAATAACTCTGCAAGTGCTATGAGCCTTGAGGTACAAAATTTTGAAAAAGCTCTTCTAGATTAACTTGAGCAACCAAATAGAGTTCCTGGAGATATTGCTGAGTAATTTGCTATTACAAGCAGCACCAATCAAGTAACTTATCCTAGTTCAGTTGGTGGATAAAATCCAAATTTTTATAACCTAAATGCTGCAGGTCAAAATGTGGCCTAAAGTTAAATTCGTTACGCTAGTGGACTTAGTGCTGGAAACTCTGGCGTTCCACTCATTTCTGTTGCTTAGTCTTAAGCTAACTTAATAAATATACTAAATTAAACAGCAAAAGCTAATATTGCAACAGATTAAACTAATATCTTTAGCAGTAGTGATGCTTAAACATTGAAATTATTGCAACAACAATAATAATAGTAATAGCTATAGCGTTAAATTCTTTTGTCCTCTGGTTCAGGAATGATTGATATTGGAATGACATTTGGAAACTTAAATCAATAAAAACTTTTTTAACAATAATTTAATGGATAATAACCTGGATCAGTATCTACAGCAGCATCTGTAGGAATGGGATTTAGTTCCTTACCTGCAGATATAAATATGTTTGAGACTATGGCAGCAGTAAATGTAAAAACTGAAAATGTTGGTGAAAATGAAGGTAATGATTCAGATAAGACTGAAAAAGGAGGATAAAAGGAGGAAAAAGAATAAAAGCGATAAATTGGTAATACTTCTTATCCAAGCATAACTAGAGGAGCAGCTTTCTCAACTAAGCAAGAAGTTTATTCTGATGATATCTTTAATTCTCTTTTAAATCTAGAGGAAAGCTAAGACCGTTAGATGAGTATTACAAATGATAATATTAATAAATTTTAAGAAAAAATGAGCTTAGCTAGTAATATTGGAATAAATAGGAGTCTAAATATTAACAGAGATACAAAAAAAGAAAATGAAAGCTTAAATTTTAATGAGATTAAATAAGAGAAAGATAGTATAGGAGGACTAAGTGATTTAGGAAGTGCTATTAATTTCTAAAACAACAATAATATCTTAAATATCAGCGGATTTAATAGTGGAGGAAACTTAAGTATTTAGCGTGGAAGTAACTTAGCTAACTTTAAAAATAACAACCGTACAACTTTGATCAGCCGTCTATCAAATGGCACTAGAAATTCAGATTTAAATAGAATAAGTTTCCCAACATTTGATTACGATTAGAAATAATTTTTAGAAAGTAATGGCATAGCTATTAGAGATTAGCATGGAAATTATATAATTGGACAAAGTAATAGAAGCTCTGCCATGAATAGTGAATCAGTGATGTAAGATGAAGAGAATGAGAAAAAAAAGAAGGCTGAAGAAATAATTGCTTGTAACTGTGGTAAAACTAAATGCTTAAAGCTTTATTGTGTTTGCTTCTAGCAAGGTCTTATGTGTTCAGATTAATGTCGTTGTACAGATTGTTATAATAAAATAGCTTATCTGGAAGAGCGTGAGCGTGCAATAAAAGCAATAAAGTAACGTTACCCCGATGCTTTTGAAAAGAAGGTAAATTTCCTCCCTGAACTAGCAAGAAAAATAGAGGATGCTGAAAGACTTGATGCAGATTTAGAGCTATAAAATTAACTTTTAGCACATAAAAAAGGTTGTAATTGCAAAAAATCTGCATGTAAAAAGAAATATTGTGAGTGTTTTCTGGCTGGTGTCAAATGTACTTATTTGTGTAGGTGCGAATAGTGCCAAAATGGTAAAAATGATGGGCCTGAAAATTAAGGTCAGCATATAAATATTGAAGGTCAGAATTTTGTAGATCAAGAAAATTACAATAAAGGAAATGTTGTTAGTATTAAAACACAAAATAATACATTTGGAAATATCAAGCTAGAAGTATTTCGTCCAATTCATTAGTAATAATTTATTACTAAAATTGAAAGAAATAGCAATCAGTTACATGAAAATGGTGAAAATCAAGAAGATAACCGTATTATAAATATGGAAAACGATAATTTTAATGGAGAGAAGCTAAACCATTCTCGCTTTACTTATTCTGAATTAGAAAACCATTACACATAAAGAAAAAAATAGAAAAATAACAATGAAGATTTATTTGATTCAATGAGCTAAGAAAAGTTATAAGCTGAATAGTTTGATTAGGTATTCAATTAAGAAAACTTACAAAACTAAGATGGTATTGATAATAACAATAATAATTAAAATAACAGCTAAAGATAAAGCACATTGACGGATGATGATATATAAAAAATGAGAGCCTAGTAAGAGCAAAGCTTCCATGAGCATTAATAATAATAATAACAGATATAATATATGAAATAATAATAACATATGAATGGTGAAAACAACAACAACAACAATAATAATTTTAATGATTTCTAAAATAATAAAACTGAATAACATGATTTAAAAATAGAAAATAGCTTACAAGAAAATAATGGTTTTGATTTTAATTCTTATAACTAAAGTAATAACCAAGAAAATGTAATTGCTTCAAGAAAGAATATGTAATTCATAAATATGAAAAGAGGAGCAACAGATGATAATGAATTTATGGCAAATTGATTGATATTGGCTGATGAGAAATTAAAAATGAAATATAAAAGCAAGCAATATTGCAAGAATAAATTTAAAATTATAAAATAAATAAATAAAAATAGTAATTAATTATTTTCTTTTAAAAATAAACAAAGAAGATTTCTTTTTAGAAATTTACAAATTTATTTCTTATACATTTTACTAATATACATAACTATTTATTCCTTTATTAATAATATATTACTTAATCAAATATATATACATCTATTCCAAACTATAGTAAATCAATCTCTTCTCATACTCATTTAAATCAAGAGTAACTTTTTATTAGATTATTTCTATGTTTATCTTTATTAAAAAACTTTAAATATAGCAAAATAATATTATTGTAATGATTATATGTAATTATCTATAAATATCAATTTTTGTTTATTCTAAAATGAATCTACCATTTAATAAACATCAAAAAGCTAAGGCATATTATATATTCTTTTAATTTTTCTTTGTAATTAAAATAAAATAAATATCTTGAGTTTATTTATTAATCATTTTTTATTTTCTATCTTTAATTTAGTAAAAAATATTTTAAAAAGATATTTATTTATTTATTTTTAGATGGTTATTATTATAAATTATATTTTTCTCCAATTGTCCAATTTGAGCTGAATAGCTTATATTTAATAGACGCAGCTTATAAGAATATGTGATCTAATAATTTCTACCTTGTTTTAATTTATATGCCACTAATTTTAAATACTTGATAGTAATTTAGCTTAATCAAACTTTTAAATATCTAAATTATTAATTAAGTAAAGATTTATTAGGAAATACTAAAAAAAATTAATATAAAGTCATAAAATACAATCAGAAATTTATAGCAAAATGAATTAAGGAGTAGAGATGACATTAGAAGAAGCATAAGAAAAATTTCATTAATGGGGAGTACTGCTATTGCTTGATGCTCCTGCTGGAATTGAATTTGGTATTGATAATACAAGTTGGAAAGTAGGAAATAAATTTAAAGGAGTAAAATTAATTCCACCTGGAGCTCACTTAGTACATTATTCGTTAAAGAGTGAGGAGCATAAATTTAAACTAGGTTTTTTCATACATATAGGAAAGAAGAAAAGAGTTTGGGTGAAAAAATGGAATGTGGAAAAGGAAGATTTCATTTCTTTACCTACTCAAGAGGAAGAGGAGAGATACATATTAGGAGTAAATTCATATTAATTTGATGAATTTTTGGGACCATATCCTTTAGATAGGTTATAGATTTGGGAAGAATGCTCAAATTTTATCACTGAGTCTGTCTTGGATACTCTAAATCCGATAGAAAGAAAAGTTCATTAAATTGAAGAAGAATACAAAACACAAAATTATACATCTACTTAACAATAGAATAAGATTGATTCTTTAGTTATGGAGTTTATATCTTCTTAGAATAAGGAATAGCAAAGCGAAGATGATAACAATTAAAGTAGTTTTTAGACTGAAGAAGCTTAAACTGTTTAACAAAATACAAATAACTAAGAAACAAATTTGAATGGACAAAAGATGGAAGATGAAGAAGAAATTAATTTGTAAACATAGCAAGGACAATAAATGCAGTAAGATAATAAGATAATTGAAGAAGGTTAAGAAATTAAAGATAAAAATCATAGTGAGTGCAGCAAAAATAACAGGAGCATGAATGATATTAAAAACGAAATTATTGCAGATGGTGCAAAAGAAGACTTTAGAGTTATGGCTGGTACTATCTATTACACTGATATTCCAAAAATCAAAACTAAGTTTGGTAAATAAGGAGGCGAACTCACTCAAATAAATATAGATAAAACTCCTATATTGCTTGAATATATTAAAAACAGATAGAAGGTGGGAAAAGAAAATTTTTTAAGGAGAAAACCAAATGCTACCTAAATTGAAATAAAACAAGTAGAAGAATAAGAAAAATATTTTATATTTGGAGAATTTTAGTATTCATTTGCAATGCTTCTACTTCTTGAGGATTTCGAAAGTTTTGAGCACTGGAAAAACATATTCTCCCTTTTAATCAGCAGTGATAAATACATAGATGAAAATCCTGATTTTTTTATAGAGTTCATTCCAGTACTTTATAACATCCTTAAGCAATTTCCTAAAGATTTCTTCTTTGATTCTATTTCTAAAGATAATTTTCTTAAGACTTTGTTATCTGATTTTTTAGAAGTGACAATTTAATCTGCAAATAAAAAACTCTCTCAACGTTCTAAAAAACTTCAAAAACTATTAGAAGAATATTTCTTATTTTTTCCAAAAAAGCAAATTGTAGAAGTTTGTTAAGGAAAATATAAATTTGAATAAGAGGATGACTAAGATGCTCCTCAGATAGTAGATGATTAAGATCCTGTCTATTTTTGAAAATAATTTATTTATAACTTATGTTTATTCATTTTTTAATGAATTAATTAAAAAATTATTAAAATTGTAAATTTACCAAAATTAATTTTAGTTTTCTATTTTTTTTCATAAAAAAGTTTCATAAATATATTTATGTATACTAATAGATTAAGTAATATTAATTATCTCATTTATTACTTTTAAAATAATTCTCTTTTCTTTGTGTCATTTCATTTACATAAATTGTATTTTTAGTCAATTCAATTCAAATATAAAATAAAATTTATTTAAAATATAAATTGGGCAGAAAAAAGTAATCTAATTGATTATGTTAATTTTATTATTGCAATGATAATGTTGATTTTTTATAAATATTTTAAATATTAAGATACATATTATTACATCAACCATTAAATAAAAATATTAATTACAAAATTTATACACATATTTATTTATTTAATTTTTATTTTGTAATTAGAGAAATATTTTTCAAAAAAAAATAAATAAAAAAATATCAAAATTTATTTATTTAATTAAACAATGTAATAATATTAATAATATTTCCTTGTTCTAAATGAATAATACCTAAATTCTATTTTGCAAGATGCATATTTATAATAAAGATTAACTATTAATTACAAAATTTATATTCATATTTATTCATTTAATTTTTATTTTGTATGTAGAGAAATATTTTTCAATAAAAAAATATCAAAATTTATTTATTTATTAATTAAAAAATTTAATAATTTTAATAATATTTGTTTGTTCTAAATGAATAATACCTAAATTCTATTTTGCAAGATACACATTTATAATAAAGGTGAACTATTAATTACAAAATTTATATTCATATTTATTCAATTATAATATTATGTTTTGAGAATTTTTTTCAAATAAAAAATAAATCTGAATAATCTAAATTAATCAATTTATTTAATAAAGTTTATATTATTTAATAATTATAATAATGTTTGTTTGTTTTTTCAAGAGGTATAATTCTTAGATTCAAATATTTAAACAATTTAAACAATTATAAATCTTGGTTTATTTTAATCAATACAGCATGTAAAATTTGAATTTTAGATTGATTTGATTATTTTGAAATAAGTTTTCTCAGTATTTGATTATGTAGATGAATAATTTATTAATGATCATTCATTTGTGATTATCAATATAATTCGCTAAGGACTTTTAAAATTAAATATAAAATTGCTATAAGATATTCAATATGTGGACGACAGTTTGGATCTGGATTTACACATTTAAGCATAAGCACTTTAAGTATTTTCATGATTTACTTAATACCAAACTCTTTCACTACTAAATCACTATAAATTAAACGATAATTTCTTTGATTTAACTTTGATTGTAATTTTTGTTAGTTGATTCTCTTAAATTCAATCAATTTTTTATCAAATATAATTTCACTAATAATAGCTCCAATCGAATACACATCTGAAGCTGGTGAAAAAGTATTGCCAGAAAGAGATTCGATAGGCGAATATGGCAAAGTTCTTCCTGCTCTTTAAAATACTCCTTACTCTCCTATATTTTAAATACAGTAGCTTTCACCAAAATCGCATATCTTAATATTTTACTCCCCATCTAATAAATAATTTTAAAAAATATGAACCCTCTTATAAATAAATATTAATTACCTAATAAAATATTTGGAGGTTTAAGATCTAAGTGATAAATATCTATTGATTGTAAAAACTTAACACCTTGAGCTACTTAAAGTACCATTTATACTCTCTTGTTTAAAGACATAATAGAGTTGTGGTAGTATGCATAAGAACCCATAGAATAAAAATATAAATCCATATATAGCCTATCTTTTGTCTCAACATCGAAATAATATCTTGTGATAAAATTTGATCTAGGAACTATGTGTTTAATTACATTAACTTCTTTTTCTATTTTCTCAGTGTCTCTAGCTTATGGATCTTTTTTTTACACCTTTATAGCAAAATTTTGGCAACTAGTTTATTCTGTGCTCTTTGATATGAAGTTTAACTCTGTTTAGAATATATCTGAAAAACCACCTGCAGATATTTTTTTAAGTTTCTTTTCATCATAATCAATAACTTTGATATATTCTAATTAGCTTTCAGCTTCCCTGCTGTTTTCTTCATAAAAATAGAGAGAAAAAATAAATATTTAAATAATATTTAAAATAAAATAAACTTTATTACTTTTCTCAATAACATCTAAACATTTTAAAATTTCTTGTCTATCATTGATATCTACTCTAGTTTTAAAGATATCTTCTTCTTAAAATTATGCAAAGGGTTTTACACTATTTTCTAGAAGGTCTATTGCATTATTCAGTCTACGAATAGTTAATTCAGGAAGAAAAATGGTTCTGTCCTTTTTGTTATTTTGCTAATTTTTTCTAAGAATTTCTTCAAGTTACTTATAAATAGGCATCGAGATAAGTCCTAGATAGATTCGTTAAATAAAATAAAAAATGTTGAATTAATTAATAGATATTTTTAATTATTTTACCTATCTTAACATACAAACTGAGCATGTACATATTTATCATAAAGAAAGCAGTTGAGAAAATACTTTTTATAACTCTAATTAAGAAATTATCAACTTGTTCTTCAGAATATTTTGAAAGATTATTGTAAGTACAATATGTAAATGTAATTTATCCTGAGATAGGATTAATAACAAAGCCTCCTATTTTTGAAACTTTCTTAATAAAAAGTCTGCTCACTTAAATTCTTGTGAGTTTGTCAGGGATTATAATGGGTTCATAATTTTCTTTGCAAAAGTGAATAGTGCACTTGAAATAGTCTTTTGTTAGTTTAATTACACACAAATCTAAAAAATGATCCCAATGGTCAAACATTTTGAAAGTAACAACATATTAAAGCTTTTTAGAACTATCTTTTTCATCGTTTAAAACTGAATTGAAAATAGTTTGAGAATTTGCCTAGAAAATAGATTCGATTAAGGTTTTTGTTCTTTGCATTTTATTTTTTATTTAATCATACTACTTTGTCTTTTATTTATTTTGATTTTCAAATTCGTCCATGATGAGAGTATAAACTAATTTAAGCTCCTCAGCCTAGTTTATGTTAACTGTTGCAAATTCACTATCTGACATTTCATTTGTTTTAGGAATTTATTAATTAATTAGCATTATTTCATTAAATAATATCTAGCGATCATTTATTAATTCTAGTTTATCATTAGTTGATTTTAGATAATCTGGAGATTCCAAGAAATTTAATGAAAAGCTTTTTAATATTAATTAAAGTTAAATTTATTTCAAAATATTTCAAATAAATAATAAAAATGTTTGTCATTAGTGTGTGTGTGAGTGATTATTTTATGAAATTCTATAAAAAATAAATTATTTTACTTTTTAATATGATTATAGATTATTTATGTTAAATTTTTGAGTCCTTTGATTTTGTTTCTAAGTCTTGAATTGATTAATGAGTTTAAATTTACTTAACAGTTTAACTTTATTTAATTGGCAAGTTCGACCCAAGTTTTTTCATTTATTGTTTAAGATTAGATATAAAGTATAAATTTTGAATTAATCTATTTATTATTTAAATAATATAAATAACTTGTAAGAATAATTTTAATGAATTTTTAAAACATTTAAATTAGACAGACAGACTCAAGAGAAAGTAATTTAAACAATCATATTCTTCTTTTTACAAGTTGTGTAATTTAATAAAATGTAAACTACTCACCTTGAGTCTTCATGTCAATTAATATGCTCAAATAATTTAGAATAATTTCTCGTTTAAAATTCATTAATAAATTTACCTCTTTGAAATCTTTTATTTTTCTTTATCTCTCATCATCATCATCTTCTTCTTTTGCAATTATGCACATCATAATTAAATTAATTTACAAATATAAATTTATTGTCAAGGCTTGGTACTTTGTTAATTCCTTATTATATTCCATCTCTTCTAAAACTCTACCACAACTTCCTCTATTAGAATAATATAACTTCAAGGTTTCGCTTTCATTATCTCGAATTAAATATATTTGTGAAAGGTCAATCAAGTAAAATTTTTTGTTTTCAGTAAAAGTCTAATCAAGAACAAAATTCAGCGAGCTGATAAAAACATGGAATAAATGCTTAGAAGTTGTTGATGCTTATATCTAGAATAAATCTTTTTCATTTAAAACAAAGTATTAAAAATTATTCACAGACAAACAGACAAACATTAAAAATGATATTTGCTCTTTAATGATTACCATGAAAAAAATCTCTTAGCAAAGTCTTTTTGTTGATATCTTCTTCTTTAATAGAAATAGTCTCTTCTCTTAAATTTATATCTTTAGCTTAAACTTTCAATTTCTTTAAATCGTCGCTATTGTTGAAGAATGTTCTTCCATACATTTATTTAAAAATAATGTTTGAAGACATTTGTGCTTTAGTGGAAAATATTATTTATTTATTTATTTATTTATAGGCTATTTGTTTCTTTTTGATTTACAAATTATTTATTTTTAATCAATTAATTTTATAATAATCAATGTATTGATAATATTTTTTATTATATTATTTAATTAATTGATGGATTTATGTATTCTATTTATTGTATCAACCAATATAAGGAATAAATGATTTTAAAAACTTTTACATACAAATGTATAAACACAATTTATCTATTTTAGATATTATTTTATTAATTAATTTAATTCTCTATTTAAATTTTTAAGTAATTTAAAAAAATTCTATTTTTCCTTAAAATGTGATTTTAATTTTTTTAATAAAAGTGTTATTTTTACTCAAATTAACTTATTTATAAGTCGATTTACATTTTATCTGCTTTTTTAACTCAACTAGATTCATTAGTTTATTTTTTACTTATGTTTTCTATATCTTACAAAAATTGCTTTAGTAAATCTTAATTATTAGGGTTCGAAACAAATGGATCTTACCCTCCTTGTAAAAATGGCTTAGGAGCAGGAGCCTAACTTACATTCTATATATTTCCTCCTAATGCTTCAGGTTGCTATGCTTATTTATTTTCTGTTTTAGTTACATTATTTCCTGATCCTTATTGGACCACTACATTTCTTGGTATAAATTATTATTTCTTTTATGTTAAGTCAATTTTACTCTTTTTTACAGTACTCTCACCCTATACAACTATTGGTTAAGGAACAAGCATTGGGGGTGGAGGAGCATTATTCTTATTTTATTAAGGTATTTAAGGTTACTGCTAGTAAAAAGGAGGATTAAATGGCATTTAGCCTTATATTTGAGGAGGAGGCATATTTGGAGGAGGTGGCATATTTGGTAGAGGTGGTAACATACCTGGTGGAGGAGGGAACATGCCAGGTGGAGGTGGCATCATGCCAAAAGGAGGAGGAGGCATATTAGGAGGTGGAGGAGGCTAATAATAAGATGTACCTTACTAGTTTTGATTTTACTGTTTTTGCTATTACAATTACTATTATTTAATCATCTCTTATATTGGATTATAGTCCTCTTATTCAGTGACTTTGAATAATGGATCACTACTTTCTTACTCTTTTTGCCTATTTTAAAAGTGACGATTCTAAAAATTTTAATGCTGCTTAAAGTTTTAATTTTAGTTATTAAAAGGAGGCTTATTTGCTTAATTTGGATTTTGCTAGGGTTTTTAAGGGTCTGGTTTTTAAATAGGCTATTCACTTTAATCACCTCCTTCCTTTTCTTATTTTTCACGTTATTCTTTTCTATCTCTAGCAGCCTATGCAAACAATTTTCTTTTTTCTATTTCCTATTTGTTTCTTTCAATCTGCTATTATGATATAAAATCTGACGAGTATCCCGGAATTTTGATGGTTTTATTTGTTAACGCTTTTTAAGCATTAAGAATATTGGCTTCAGTTAATATATCTTCAGATTTTGAAGAATATTGTCCCTATCTTCTTCTTTCTTTTTCCTTCATTATATTATTCATAGCTTCTCTACTCATAAAATTGCCTTCTTCGTCTTCTCCATTTCCTTATTTTTAATTAGATTCCTTATTTTTAACATCAGATTAAGTTCTCTCCTTGAAATCTTTCTTTCTTTAATCTTATTTCTTTTTTTCTATTTGCTTAGCTTTATTCCAATACAGTTGCATTGAACTTGAAGCCTACTTGCCATTGTCTAATAATACTTTATTATTCTTTCCCATTAACAGAATTGTAAATACTTATCAGAATTTAAGATATAATTTTTGACTTTTTTAATAATTATTAAATTATATTAAAAGCAATCAATAAAGATTTAGTAGCAATATGACTGATTGACTGATTGAATTAGCGTCTATAAATTTTTTATAAATAATTTTGTATATACTTTTTTTAATTGTTTATTTTAAGTAAATACCAAAAAAAAAAATAGAATTTTTAAAAAATATTTAACAAAGAAGAACATTAAATTCAAGATTTTTTTAAGTGATTAAGTTACCAAAAATAACAAAAACCTTTTATTAATTTTTTTATCCATTTATTCTTTAATGGAATTTAAAAAATTTTACTATTATAAAACAATTAGATATTTCAAAAAATAAATAACTAAGTATATTTTTTATTGAATTTTAGTCTTTTTATAATTTTAAATTATTTGATTAAATACTTTTATACAATTCCTTTTGATTGATATTGTTTTTAATTAATAATTAATTATCATTTTTTCTTTACTATAAAAAAAAATTTAATTAAAAAAAATATTTTATGATATGGTATTCATTATTTTTAACAATAATAGTTAACAAAATATTTAATATATTTAGGTATTTATTTAATGATTTAGTTAATAATGTTTTCATATTTAGAGGTTTATTAAAATGTCTGTTGAGATCTAAACTATAATTTCTTTGTTTATACACTTTACTAATTTAATTTTAAGGTTAATTGAAAAAAAAAAATTAATAAAATTAAAATCAAATAAATTTAAAATATTTGAGTGGAGATTAATTTTCAGTTTTCAAGTGATCTATCTTATTACTCAATAGAAAGATATCCTTATAAACTTTATAATGAAAGATAATTACAATATTAAGATATTCAAATAAAAAATAAACATGCTTGAAAATCAGCTAATAAACAACTATGAGGTATAAATCAATCAATGACAAATTGATTGATTAATAGATAGATATATAAATAAATAAATAGATACATGCAAATATGAATTAGAAATGAAAAATAAAATTGAATAAAAAAGGGAGGTTATGAATAAATAATGAGATTGATTCGTTCGTGATGATAGTAATATTAATAATAATTTATATTTTTAATAAGAAAGTATAGGAATACTTAACAATAAAATTAAATAAAAAAAGCATAACCTCATTCAGAGATTCTAAAAGAAAACTGCAATAAATAAACAAATAATAAATTAAAAAGTTCAGTCAAATAAGTAATAAAAAATATCAATAAAGGTAAAGAAAATGAATAACTCAGGATATATCTCAAACAGCACTCAAATCACTAACTAGAGCTAAATAGATCGTGTTTAAAAGGTTTTCGATCGTATCAACAATATCCAAAACAGTATCGAAGGTGAAAAGCAAAGCAGATTTACTGTTATTACTCAACTCATATTATAATTCGAGCAAACTCTTAACGAATTAAGCGCCCGTAAAGAAGAAAAATTTGAAAATTTAGCTGAAAAACTCCGCAAGTTGGAAGAAGCTATTGTTGAAGAATCTGAGAAATCTGAGACATAAGATAATGATTCTCAACGTGAATTAATTAACTTAGAAAAAAATTGCAAGCGTCTTCTTGAACTTAATAGCAAGGAGCGTGTTGAAAGTGAAAAGAAGCTTGCTCAGCGCATTGCTTAGCAATTCGAAGCTCTCACTGTCGATATTAATAAAGAAGCTTAAGCTTAAATGACATCTCATGGCTACCTTGATACCTACCTTAATGAGGATCTCCCTCGTTTGAAGGATGAATTAAGCTATGAAATTTAATAACGTCAAGAAGTTGAACAAAAAATTCATAGTCAATTTATGGATAGAATTTCTGAACTAAAGGAGATATTTGAACGTGAACGCAAGGAAAGAGAAATTAAGGAAGAATAGCTTGTTGTTTTCCTTAAAGAGCTCTCTCACCGCACATAAGACAACCTTGTCCGTATTAAAAGAGATAGAGAAAGAAATGAAGAATAAATTGTTACCTTAATTGAAAGTGTTATTGAAAAATTGAAGAAAGAAATGGTTGAGCTCGAATTGTGAGCATATTTATATATAAATAACATCATTATCATTAGCATGTATCGTTTAAAAAACTAAAGTCTTTTTGTTATTAAGTGGTTATGTATTAGGAATATTTGCTTTTAATCTCACAAAATGAAATCTAAGTAGTTTAAATTAGCACATTTAGTTTAAATTAACTAGCAATTTAGCAAGAAAATATATATCATCATCATCATTTTTCAAGTGTTAATATGATTTAGTAAATAAATATATTATGAATGAAAGTAAATTAGGAGTAGTAGATAATAATAGTATTCTTAGTCATATATGAATGAAATACATGTTAGTTAGTTCTCATAAATTCTTTTTTCTATTATTTCATTTATTTTTTTCAAATCTTTCCAGTCCATTTTATTTCTTATTAAAATTTAACAAAATATAAATAATTATCAAAAGATCAGCAAAAATATAAAAATATCAACAATTCATGAAGATTTTTAAAGTATTTCACATCAACTTGTTTTCTCATAAAATCAAATAAGTTTTATATATTTTATCTTTTTAAGGACTAGTATATATTTTTAAAAAACAGTTTCCCATAAATGAAATTAGCTTGAAGATAGATGTCTTTTGCTTTTGAAATTTTAAGGAGATAGCTATATCTTTTTTTATTTATTTTTATTTATTGATTTATAACTTGATTTATTTATCTATCTATCCTATGAATTAAATTTAAGATTTCAAAAATTATGAATAATTATTTATTGATTAGATGATGTGCTCATGAATGATTGATTAATTAATTAATTATCCAAAGATTCACTTTAAAATAATAATTTTTTTAAATTTATTAAAAAATATCTTTCTTCCTTCCTTCCTTTTCAAATTTTAAGATGAAAAAAATCAGTAAAAACTCATAATTCATTTTTTGTTAAATTTAAATAAGTTTTATTTTTTTTTCAATTAAAATTAATATTTCTTCTTAAATTTCAAGTAATTAAAGAGCTCCATATTATTTGATTTCAGCAAATTAAGTCTATTTTTTAATTATTTTTATATCAGGACTTAGGATGAAAATTTAATCCAAATTAATACAAATTATTTTGGAATCAAAGTAAAATTAAGAAATAGAAAAATATTAATTATTAAACTAATAAATTAATTCCTGAATTATTTTTTATTTCTTTAATTAATTAGTTATAAAAATATAAACAATTACATATCAATTACACTTTTTAATTAAAATATTATTTTAAAAATAGCCTAAAACAACAGTATTTTATTATCCTATGTAAAAACTACCATAACCATTAAGCTTTCCCATCAAGAATTCTCCATGATAGGAGCAGTTATTTTTGAGTTTTAGAAAACCAACTCCTGAGAAAGTATTATTAAAGTATTATCCATCATAGGATACCCAATCATCATCATAGATAAAATTTTATATTCTAATTTATATATTTTATGGAGTTGGTTTTTTTAAGTTATTTTATAAGATGCTATTTTATTCAAGTTGAGATCTTAACTCATTTATATTTAATTTTTTGCAGCTAGCTTGTTTTTCTCTATGGGTACTTTATTCACTAGCTTTAAAAACTTGAAAAGAATCTCCACTAAGTTATTCACTCAACTCCACTTACATAATATCAATCTAGATCTATTATTGATTTATTATACTCTGCTAATCTTCATTTTTATAAAGGGATATATTTTCTTTTTATTATACTTCATTAAACAGTTACTAGGAATTGGTTTTCATATCATCAACTGACTGTAGAGAAGATTCTGAATATATATTTTGTGATGAGTTAGACTTAATTTCCTATTCTAAATTATTAATTTATCTCTTTACCTAATTCATATTATATTCTATATTATTTGTATTAGGTTATTAATTTTAAACTGTCTTATTATTGCTTTTTATTGTTTGACTATTGATTTATGAAATATCACCTTATTTATCTTTAAAGCCATCTTAATGTGATTAAATTTTAATACTCATTTAGTCAATTTGTTTAAAGTTTATACTATTGTTGTATTACTTTGCTTGCTCTTACAAGCTTTGCTAATTCTAGGAATTATTGAGATCTTGTTTCATTCCTTTTTTAGAAGATCTACTTGTTGATTTGGGAGGAAGATTTCTTCTATTCGACAATACAGGAGACTCTTATAATCCTTTTTATGGTTAATTGCTATGGAAATTCTGATTAAAATTATTTTTTTGTATTTCTGCAGATGTGTTAGATTAAAATTATCTTTCTTGGTCTTAAATTTCATAATTATCAGAATACTTTTTATAAATTTCATACCCTGCCTAATCTTTGTCAAACTCAGATAATTCATTTTTTTATTAGTCTTACAAAGAATGTTTTTTAGTTGTAGTTTATAATTTAACTGAGATACTATTCAAAGAATTGTTTAGCTAACTTTAGTAGTTGCTTGTATTTTAAAAAGAAGAATTTAAAATATTCCTTTCTTGCATGCTTTAACTTCTATTTATGGAGCTAGAAGTTAGTGACCTACTTCTCTGTAAACAAGAATCAATTAAATTACTGAGAGTTGAGTACTATTTTTTAATACTCAGTTAGCTTCTAACCCTATCGTTCATTTAATTTTCATTTTTATTTATTTAAATTTCTTCTTTTTTTATTCCTTACAACTACTGCTGCTATTATTAAATATTTTGCTCAGATTATAATTATTATTATCTTTTTTGTTGATTGACGTTTACTTGAGAATTTTAAACATTAGATCTTTAGTTATTTTAGTTGTTTGAAGTATAATTCTAATTCTAATCAACCTATCGGTTATTTTATTGTGATTTAGATTTTTCTTAAATAAAAATTCTATTTTCTTTTTCATGTTATCTATTTGAATTTAAAGATTTATCTCTTTGTAATTAAATAGTAGATTCCTTAAATTGGTTGACATAATCTATAGAATTGTTTAAAGACTAAGATATTTTTTATTGAGAAAGCTTTTTGATCTTATCTTATTTAACAAAATTCAATTCGCTATCATTATTTTTATTTTTCTAACTCTTAAAATAATTATAAACTAGCTTGCTTTGATTTGATTACGATTTGCAACTTTAACTTTCAAATGAGAGGTTTTATGGAGACTCCATTCCATTTTTATTTGAAGGGTTAGATAAATAGAAGTCTATCATTGTACTCGATCTACTTTGCATAGACATATTTCCTTAGTTTTCTTTATTATCCTACTTTGAAAAATGAGTCCTCTTATTTTTATTATCAATAGCATTAATATTCTATTAAAGCTAGCTCTTTTATTGATATTATTCTTTTACCCTCTTCTACCTCTAAATACTGATTCCGATATTTTTTTCTATATTTTCTTTTTCTTGTTTTATGAGAGTCTTTACTTACTAAAGTTACTCCTTGTATGGTTTGCAAATATCATTTACGATAGGACTAACTTCTAAAGATGGAATGCTTATCCCTATGTTACAAATTTCATCTAAATTTTTGACATTTTAGTTTCTTTATATTCCTTTACCTTTATTCTTGATTGATAAATTTTATTTGAGAATATTTGAATTTACTAAAATTTGCATATCTTTTTCTTAGTTCCTTTCTTTAGATGTTTAAGAACTATTAGATTATGTACAAAAAGATAAGCTAGAAGAGTAATTATCTTTATTTTAACCTTCTAAAATTTATAAATTTAATTATTAGTTATTTTTGATATTTCTCTGTTATTTGTGAGCTTAAATAAGACTTTTATGAGGTGAGAGAGAGATTTTCATACAAGGAATTTTTTATTCCAAAGTTTGATTTTAGCTATGATTATCTTGAATTTCCTAATTCTTTTAAGCTATAGATTAATTTATAGATATTTTAGACATTTAGATTTATGGTTCAGAAATATTAGATAGACTATTAATATTTCTAACTTAACAAATTTAGTTATATTCAAATTGATTGCTTGAATAGTAATGCTTTAAAGCCTCAAAATGTAATAAGGCCTCGCCCCTTTTTGAAGGTTCTTTAGATAATAGCAAATTTAAGACAGTTTAAAGTTAATTCTATTTGTTTTAACTTTACGATAATAGAACCAAATCTTAAATTCTACTTTAGAGTAATTTAAAGTTTATCTAATATATATCTTCAGATTAGTTTTCCTAACAGCTTTGAAGATTTTCAAATTTAAATGAATAAAGATCTTAACTAGATTCTAGAATTGCTGCTTCCAAAAAAACCATTCCGATGGCCCAAAAATCACCTTCAGCAGTATAGAATGTTTTCTCTGGAGGCAAATAGCTTTGCTAAAATTATTAAACCTTTTCTTTTTAATATACATCTGGATTAGTAACAAACTAATCAGCTATTTTTACAAATCCGTCATCACAAAATACAACAGAAGAAGCATTAAAGTCTCCATGAATTATATTGTTTTTATGGAGTTCGCAAATTCCAAGTAAAACAGATTCTAAAGTGTTAAGAATTTCTTCTTCTGTCCAAAATAACTAGATACTATTCACCTTTGACATAATCAATAAACCTTAGTGAATTTAATCTTTACTGTGTAAAACTACTCCATTTTCTTTCATAGATGATAAAATATTTTTTTTGTTACCTTTTCTAGTCTCCAATTCGCTATCAAAATCTCTAATAAAATTATCAAATACTACTCCAAATTTTTAGTCTGATAAAGGTTTTTTTGTTTGCTGCTTCTCAATTAAGAATAAATTTAGTTTGAGTATATTATTGCAATCGATAGCTTTCCGTCGCATAAGCTCAGATTACATTTCTTAAAAGCCTTTATTTTAAGGAATAGCAAATTCCTATAAAATATTATTTTCAAAATAAATTACTGACATCAAAAAATAATTTTACCTTATAAATAACTCTCTTTCCATTTACAGTATTCTCTAATAAAAGCTAAGAACTTAATTGCAAAAGAATCTTGTATTAAGATAAAGGATTTTCTTAACTTAAATCCTAGTTAGTTGTAGACTATCTAAAATCAGAAATAACATATGAGTTAGCTTATTAATCATCTTAAGTATTCTTTTTTTAAGCTGTCGATTCATTTTATCTAAAGCTATAACTTTTGTTATAATCAATTTTTTCAGTCATTTTCAGTTTTTATTAAACTGTTAAATTTTAGATTTGTTTAGATTTTTTGATTGATTATTGTTACTATCTTGCTTTATATTTTTCTGTTAATTTTCTTAATGTTTTTTTTATATTTCATTTGATTTTAAAATCTATCAAGTTAGGCTTATGTAATCAATAATTACTTAATTAATTTTCTTATTTCAAATAACAACAAAAATTAATTCAATAATGGTCTTCTTATTCAAAATATTACTTTTTAAGAATCTTAAAATAACACACTAATTTCATAAATCTAGAAAATTTTTATAAGCTAATTAAGATAATAAAATCTTTAATTTATAAAATAAAATTCAACTTTAAATAAAATAATAATTTAATAAAATTACCTTAATATCTAAAGTTTCAGTGTATTGCCTTGAAAAAGTCACTACCCTAGGGTACTTTACATAAAAATATAATTTATTTATATAAAAATTTTTAAAAATGTTTGTTTGAAAAATAGTAGCTTTGAAACTATCTCTTTATTCATTTATTTAATATCTTAAAAAGTATTTTAATTTTTATTTAATTTTTTGTTATTAAATAAAATTTAGATTATTTTTATTTGATGAAAATACTTCAAAATGCTTATATTACTTAGTTATGTAGAATTTGACATTAGAATATAATTATCAATTGGTAAAGCGAAAATTTTATTTTGAGTTTTCTAACATTAGGTATAGTATATTCTTTATTTAACATTAAAAATATTTTTAAAAGCTATTTTAAAAAAATATTAAAATAATAAAAAAAATGAATTGTTTTTGAAACTTAAGCAAAATCAAAAATATTTTATTCTTAAAACTAGGATTGTTTTAAAATTTTCCATTTATTAAATGTAATAGAAAAGAATATGAAAAAAATCTGATAGAATTTGCTTATTAAAGATGTTTTTAGAAATTTCCATCTTAAAAAAAAAAATTTATTGTAAATTTGCGTATTTATATTAAATTGTATTAACAAAATAATATCTGAATTAATAAATAAATAATTAATTAATTGCTATTAATAAAATATCTTTCTAAGTATTCTCTTTTATAACAAAAGTATAAAAAGTAATAAAATTAAATAGAAAATGGCTCAAAAAGTAGCTTCTGCTGTTTCTTTAGGTGTTGCCGGTGTTGCAGGACTTATCATTGCATAAAGTTGCATTTACACAGGTATTTAATTGGAGTTATTACTACTATTACGAATTACTAAAAAATAATAATTGTTTGGTTGAATTGCAAATAAATTACTAAAATAAGATGAATATTTTTTATAAAAGATGAAAAAACTAACAAATATTATAAAATAAATAGTTGAACCAGGTCATACTGCCTTAAAATTCTCTAGACTTACAGGCTTGAGTGATAAATAATATAACGAAGGATGGCATTTAAGAGTTCCTTACTTTGAAAGACCCATCATTTTCAATACTTAAACACGTTATAAAACTTTCCCTGCTAACACTGCTAATGCAGGTATTTTAAAAAATTTTATAATTTTTAAATTAAAAGAATTTAATTTAATTTTTATGGAATATTAAAAAATGTTTTATAAAAATTAAGATATGTAAAGTGTTAACATTACAGTCAGAGTTCTTTTTGAACCTATCTAAGATAAACTTTCAGAATTATACAGGTAAATAATTAATGAATATTATTTAAACACAAAAGAACAATTATATACAACGAAATTTGTTAAATTATATCCAAATAACATGAAGCTAATATTAAAGATTTTTAAAACGATTTTTATTATACTAAATACTAACTCTATCTATTATAAGTAATAACTAAACTAATTAATTAATTAATTATAAATTTTAAAGATATGTTGGATAAGATTATGATAATAAAATTCTTCCTTCTATTATGAATGAAGTTATGAGAGCTGTTGTAGCCTAATACTCTGCAAGTTAATTGATGAGTTAAAGAGATAAGATTTCATAGAAAATTTAAAAAATTCTTGAAGAAAGAGCTAGAGTTTTCCATATTAACATTAAAAATATTGCTATTACTGAACTTTCTTTCTCTAAAGAATATTAAGAAGCCACTGAAGCTAAGAAGATTGCATAATAAGAAGCTGAAAGAGCTAGATATTATGTAGAAATGGCTAAAGATATTAAGAAATCTATTATTATTAAAGCTCAAGCTTAAACTAAATCTATCGAATTAGTTGGTCAAGCTGCTGCCAATGATGCATGTAATAAATATAATTGACTTTTAATTAATTATTTTGTTTGTTAAAAATATTTTTTTTACTAAATTAGCTTATATTGATTTGAAGAGAATTGAATATGCTAAGGAAATAGCTTCAGTTTTAGCTGATTCTCGTAATCATATTATGTTAAATAGCGATATCTTACAAATGGACGCTTCTCTTAAAACTCCAAAGAGAAATTGAAAACTAAAAAAATAATCAAAAATTTAAAGTTTAAAATAATTAAATCTATCTAAAATTAATTAGCTTTTTTTTATATAAATTAAATTTATTTAAAAATTTAATAATATTTGTTTTTTTATGTGTGAGCTTTATAAGTAATTCAATGCTTTTATTGTTTGGTGAGAATTTTTAAATAAAAGAAATTTTAAAAAAATGTAATTTGTTAAATAATTTAAATAATTGATAATAAAACATTTATTTATTTATTAAAAGTGCTAATTTTAAACAATAATATAAAATATTGAAAAAACAAAAATGTATGCCTTTAAATTAATATTATTAACATGTTAGTAATTGCTTTATTGAGTCTACTTTAACAAAGTTATTAATTCTTTTTCAATGGTGAGCGATATACAGCTGTACTAAATAATTATGTTTTGATCAAAAACTACTTTCATTCTTGTTGGCAGAGTATTATTGCAAAACTTCTTAAAAGATTCTATTCTAAAAAAATAGAAATTAATGCTTGAAGGAAACATTGTTAAAATTAGATTTTGATTTATCAGCACTACTTTTAAATTTGTTAGAATTTAAAAAATAATATTAAAAAGGAACAAACAAAATCATAAAATAATAATGCAATCAGTCAAAGAGAAGATTGGCAAAGTGATGAACTTTTTTAAAAGGTAATTCACAATGCCGATTGAGAACTTAATTAAATTTTTATTCGAGCGATTCTTAAAGACCTATGTTAAAAACGAAAGTATTGATTTCAACTAATTTTATAAAGAAGGACTTAAAGATATCTAGCTTAATGAAAATCTTTTAAACGATTTATTATTTCAAAACTCTCCTTATAAAATAAATAAAGCTATTATAAATAATGTATCTTCATAAATAAATTGGTAAAATATTTTAGATAAGAGTGCAATAGTAAAAATTTAAGGTTTAACTATCCATTTATCAGTATAGAACTTTGATAGATAATCCTTTTTGGCTAAGAAATATTAACAAGCGCGAGATAATAGTTAATTAGGGGATACAAATGCTATTATAGAGGAACAAGACCTTGAAGATTCTATTAAGCAAAGTGTTAGAGAATCCTTGAATTCATTTAAAAGCTAAAAATAATCTAGTGAAAATATGTACGAATAAGTAGACGCCTATAAGGTTTTAGTGAAAAAACTTCTTCTTGGTTTGAAGCTTTAAATAACTGACTTAAATATTTTTTTAGAAATACCTGAAGTAAATTCTGAAGTGAAGCAAAGAAATACTGGAAAAAACGAAAATAATTTCCTATTGTTTCATTTAGAATCGTTTTATTTATAGTAGTTTCATGACAAATAAGAATCTAAATCTTTTATCAAGTAGGTTTTATTTTCTAATTTTGAGACTAAAGCTCATGGTTTATAGGTCTACTTAACTTAGAAATGTGAAATACCATAAAATGTAATTTTATTTGATTAGAAATATTTATTGAAAAAGAATTTTAAAGAAAAAATATTTTAAATGAATCACTATTTTAGTTTAAATTTTATATTTAAATAAATTAAATGAAATAAATCAAGCCAAATAAATTTTAATTAAAATAGAATATTGAATCTAATTAATGTATTATGTGCTGCGGTCATGAATATGAATACAATGCTTAACTGAATTAATATATTCCTAAGTAATAACTCAGAATTAGCCTACAGAAGTCAAATATATAAGCTATTATACCTAAATTAGAAATTATGATTCATACTTAACAGACTTAGTAACTAATAACTTTAATAAAAAGTATTTAGTAATATAAAAACGATGAAAAGATAATGGAGTAAGTATACCAAAATTAGTAATTACAAAGTGAGAAAATAACTTAGGCTAATAAAATTTAAGAAACTGTAGCTCCTCCTAGAATGAGAGTTTATTCTTTTGACTACTAAGAAATGGCTAACTAAGTTTCTAAAAAATAAAAGAAATTAGAACTTAAAAAAAGAAAAAGTTCTTAAAAACAAATATCAGCTAAGAGCTCAGATTTAGCAGATATTTAATTGGGATTGAAAGAGCATAATTCGTTTTCTTAACATTCTGATCAATCAGAATCAGAGCATGTTGTTGGAAACGATGGCAATAAATTAGATGAACTAGATGATGGCTGGAGTGATATTGATTTAGGTTTAGACGAATAAGAAGAAAAAAAAGAAGATAATCTTATTGGTGATTAACATATAGATGAAAATTTAAAATAAATGTACAGAGATAGTAAAATAGATAGTGAAGAAGATGATACTCAGAGAGATAATGAGGAAAATGATTCAGATGATAATTCATCAGAAAATAAAATTATATAAGATTATTTTACTAAATAATTTAAATTAAAATATGAAGAAAAAATTTAAAATAGACTCAATGATTAAAATCCTATTTCTGATTAAGATATTTCGGGAATTAAATAAGACTACTCAAATGAAGAAGATTCATAAAAGGATTTTTTTGAAACTTTGTAGTTTAACGACAGCTAGTTAAGTGATATATTGGAATCAATGAGGAAAAACAACTAAGATTAACAAAAAAATAGCTAGATAACAGAGGAATAAAATAATTATGGAGCTAGCAAACAGGTAAAGTTAGAATCTAGTATTCTTGTAAAAGAAGAAATTAAAAACCTAAATAGTGAGGCTATTTAAGGCATAAAACAAGATTCGAGTCATCACTTTTTATTGTAGTCTATTCATATTTATTTATTAAAAAGTAGCTAACCTGAAACGTAAAAAAGATAATGGATTTATTCTAGAAAGAGAGGTGGAGATGAGAAAATATAAGAATCAGTGAAGTATAATATTTATTTAAAAGAAATAAGCTTATTTCAAATTAACATATCAACACTCAATGTTGTTTAGTACAAAGATGAAGGAAACTCTATGCATCTTTATTTTAGAAAAGCAAAAATCTTTGATTTAAATTGGATAAGTGTTAATCTTCAGTAAAATAATTAGAAAATATCGAGGAAAGTAGAATAGAGAAAGTAGTCTACTGATAGATCACCTTTTAATCATTATTGCATAAAATAAATTTTTAAATTAAAAACTGATTTTTCTAAAAAAGAATCTTCTACTAAAATTTTTAGAGATGAAGGATATAGTATTAGCAAAAAAATGATAGAAAACAGTTAAAAAATAAGTTAATCTAAAATATGTTTTAATCTCCTCAGTAATACTTAAAAAAATTCTGTTCTAATAGAAGTAGCATTAGTCAGTTTCAACGCAGATTACAAAACTCTCATTGATATATGTAATTTATTGTATTATTGAAAGTAATTTAAATATAAATTTTATTGAAAAGAATAATTTTTTTCTGATATTAAGCTTGAAGAGAAAAAGTCAGATGAAGAATGCTTGTCTTCTAATTAAATAAAATGTATAGAAAAATAAATGGTAGAAGTTAATTAAAGCGAGAAACTTAAATGTGAAGATTATATTAAAGATGATGACTAAAAATAACAAGATATTGATTAGATGAAAATGAGTTAGTCAAAAATATCTATTTAAATCGAGAATATTTCTTTCCTTTATTAAATTCTTGATTATAATTTTCTAAGAGAAACTCAATCTAAAGACAATAAAGAAAATAACCAAAATAATTTTTGTTGTTATTGTACTTCAAGATAAAAGAATTAGCGTTTAAATAAGTGCCCCTCCTTGTTTATTGAACTTGATTTACTAAAAATTATTCATACAACTAATACCTATTAAATGGGTTCTCTAGATAAATAATTTCCAAATTACAACATTATTAGACAGGAAATTAATTTTAATGAATTATAAATAAATATGCCTACTGAAGGTGAATAAATTACGTTTATAAGTATTCAAGGAGATAAAAATCTATCTTGTGACCCCTTCATTTGCATAGAAACTATAAAAAAAGATTAACAACTAAGAAAAGATGAAAATTTAATAAATAGATTAAATCATTAAGAAAGCTTCAATTCTATCAACTAAGAAACTGAATGTTAAAATAATTATTTAAGCTAAATCCTTAAAAGTTCTAATTTGCTCTTATTTAGTTCTAACAATTTAAATGAAGACAGAAAATAAAGCGATACAAATTCCTCAATAAATTCAGAATTGCTTTTCTTTTAAAAAGATAAGATATATGTTTTGAATGTAGATGAAGATCCTTTACAAAAAAGTAATTCTAAAAATGAAAAAAAGAAATTTCAAAGCAACTCATTCTAAGAAAACTCAACTCCGATGTGTTCTACAGAGATTTTAATGTCTGTCCCTAATATAAAAATCGATTTAAAAAAACAATTTATAGAAAACCTTGTTTTCCTCCTGACTTGCATACATAGAGAAACTGTTTTATACAGTGAATAAAAAGAAGAATGTATCTCACTGCTTCATAACTAAAATTAGAAGCTGTAATAAGAACAAAACAAATTTATTTTTAATTTGTACTCTAACAATTTTATTTTAACTTATTTCACATCTGAAAAAGATAAAATTATTGTAGAAATTAATTCTATCAAATCCAAGTACAATTTATTAGAAAGCTTATTTAAATGCTCTATTTATGATTTGATTGTTCTTGATACATAATAAGCAAAGCCAATCCTTGGATAACCTCTAAGATTAGTTGAAAGTACTAAAATTACATCGAAATATAGACAGTAAATTTTTTATGAATTATTTAATTAAATACTTATTTTTATTCTAAAAAAGATACTAAGTGTAAGATTTTATAGTGTATAAATAAGGAGTTTATACTTAGCATCAATAATTCTCTTTAGGCAAGCAGCCAATAAGAGTAAGTATTCAAAGAATTTTGTCTACGTCAAATGATGAGGAAAAAATGAATTCCTCATACTACTTTGCTTAGAGAATGATTATGATTCCTAAATCTTATGATAAATTTGAAAAAGTATAGCAAAAAGATAAAGAAGATCAAAGTGATTGGATGATTAAATTTATATTTAATGGTAATAGTTAGGAGTATGATTTTAATCTTTTTGGGTGCGTTTTTCGTTTAACTGACTTTAGTCTTCCATTTTTAGATGAAATTCAATTTTTACTTGAAAACATTGCTGATATGATAAAATAAATAAATAATGAGACTTAAGAAAAATACTTAAACGATCAATTAATTGAAAGCTAAAAATTATAGCAAAATAAAAATTCAAAAATTAACTTTAGTTTATAAATTTAAAATTCAGCACTGGACATATTTATGTATTACAATTAAAATTATCTTGAAAAAGGTGGACTTTCTAGAATGAGCTTTAGCCATTAAGTAATTGATTTGGAGCTAAAAAAAAATAATTACTACTCTAATAGTCGATTGTGTTTATTGATTCCTGATTGTAACTTTTCTATAGAGTAGACCAGTAACAACTATTTTGAAACAAAAACTTAACAACTTGAAAGCTCAGACAAGTCATAGTAATAAAAAGTGGATTAAAATAAAAATAATGTTGCTATGAATGGTTATTTATAACAGCTCTCTGGTTATTTTTTGTAGTTCGATGACCACATAGAAAGATTAAATAGTATTTTGTTATTAGATTATTCTTAAAGTATAGTATTAGCAACTGAAGAGAGTTTACTTAAACAAATGAATTTTAAATAAATATTAAATGTACATTCTTTAGGATTAAAAGCTAGCATTTCTAGTTAGAATTCTTCAATTCAAATAGAGAAGAGAGGAGTTCAGATACTTCTATGTAAAGACACAATTAAGTATCTTATTAATTTTAATCACTTGCTCTAATACAATCTTGATATTCTTGGGGATTCTGCCAACAGAAGAAAAAAAATAGCTGAAACATACATATAATCTTAGTAGCAAAATTAATATTAAAATAGCAAATTAAATTTAAAAAGCTTAGATCATCCTCATTACGAAATCATCGAAGATCAGTTGAATTAATAAATTAACTTAGCAAATTTAAATTCTTAGTAAGACCAGACAAATTTACTTTAAGCAGACAAATTTAAAAAAGAGTAAGTTAACATCAAAGGCAAAAGAATAAATTTTACAAACAGCAGAAGCGTATTCAGGACACATACAAGACTAATTAATGCGCTTGAAGAAGATGACATGAATATACTTGAAGTAGAAAAAACTTTCTTCAAGCAAGAAGCAATAGATTAACAAAATAATTTTATATACCAAGAGACAGCTAATGTTAAATTCTCCTTTTAAGTGAATTTAGATGACTTTTAAATTAATATTTTTAAAGGTTTAGATTTTAACTATGATGTTACCTGTTCTATAGATAATGTTTACCGTGATCCTCTAAAAAGAAATATGAAATTTACTTAATAAAATTAAATAAATATACTGAATAGTTGTAGTAATAAATAGATTTCAAATGAAATATAAAACAGCAATATAAAAGAAACTAAGTAATTTAATTCTCTAAAGGAATCAAAATTATTTTAATTGATTAATAACTATACACCTTAATATACTAAATTTCAATTAAAAAAAGAAGAGTATAGAAACTTATAAAAAGAAAATGCTAGAGACTATAAAAATAGAATGATTATTCTTCTAAAAGGAGCTTAACTTAAGACTGAGGAATATATTTAAGTTAATTTATCTCAATAGAATAGTGAAAGTTAGAGTGAAAATGCAGCAAATTAAAGCTCAGCTAAGAAAAAAATAATCTTAAAAGTGAAAAAATTTGAAATTATCGATGATTTAAAAAACTCTAGCATTAAAAAATTCATGACAATGAAGAAAAATAAAATAGAAATAAAAAATAATTAATAAAATTTGATGAGCTAACTTATGAGCTCTTCTACAGTCGAAGGAATATAAAATTAATTAAAACACAAAAATATTTAAAATAAGAATTCACAAATTCAAATTGAAATAGAATAAGAAACTGGAATAGATTTCTTGAATTTAGAGATTGATGTATTAGAAGAAAGCTAAGAACATATTAAATTATAAGGTGGACTGAGTATCCATCCTCTTCAATTCTACATACATGGAGTTACTCTAGATTTTTTAATTGATTTCTTTGACCTTAAATCAAAAATTTTATCCTCTCTTTCCGGAAATAAAGACTTACAAAGTCAAAATGAGTCGAGTAAAAACTAAAATTAACCTAAGAGAAAACTCTCAGCTAAGAAAAAGAATAATGCTAAAAAAATAAAAAATGAATGGGAAATAGTAGATGGTGATGAAAATGACGAGTTAGAGGCAAAAAGTGGAGAAAAGAAATAATTTAGTGATGTTGAATAATATGACGATTATTAATCCTCAGATGAATCAGATGAAGAAAACAAAGAACTTATTTTTGATAACAATATATCATTATTACATTATTATTATTAAAAAAATAACATAAATCATAGCTCTCCTAAAAAAGGAAATAATAGCATTTTTTCAGGTATTGAAGACATAAATCCTTTCTAATTATACAAAAATAAATATTCTTTTGAGATATTTGACACTAAAAAATCTCAGAATTAATAAGTAAAGGACTCAAATATTCCTGATAACTTTAATAAAACTTGCATTGAATTTACCTCAACATAAACTTCTTAGAATATCTAAAAATAAGATACCATAGTTAATCAAAAGTTAAACAATCAGCCAACTCAGTTTTCAAGTGATAAAAAAAATGAAAATACTTTCCTAGCTTAATCAAAGATGCCAGAATTAAATTTAAATTTAAAAAAAGAAAGCAGTAACTTATCTGATGATTATCAAAGCTGTAGCAAATTAAAATAAAAAGAGAGTGACTAAAATCAAGAAGAAGATGAATTTGATGATGAATTAGATAATATTAGCTTTAGTTCAATTTAAACAAATAATCAAAAGTAATTAATTAATTTATATTTATTTTTAGAAATTCTAAATTAAAATTATATTTTATTTATTATTAAGATATAGGATAGAAATAGACAATTTTGAAGTATAAGAAACAGAAATTTCAATAGATTATGATCCTAGAGCAATAGATTTATTTTAGTTGATAAATGAATTTAAATTAGAAGCTTTAAATATAAGTTCAATCTAAGGCATGAACTTTTCTTTGCCTTCATTGTATATTAACAAAAAGAATTTTAACAGTATTAACAATATCTTGCAAATAGCTGTAAATACTTATCAAAAAGACATTCTTGAAAATTAGTTTAGCTATCTAGATTTAGCTCAAAAGGTAAATCTGCTGAAAAGTGCTGCGAAAATATTCTCGAGCATGTTTGATATAGTAACAATTCCTTTTGAGAAGTACTAGGCTTAAGAAACTATAGCTGAAGGAACTTTAGAAGGTACAAAGACAGTAGCAAAAATGATTTCATATTAGGCTCTACATTTTTCTACATCAATACTTTCAACTGTAAATTCTACATTTTAGCTATTTGGAATTAAATCAAGACCTACTCGATTT